TCCTTTTGAGTGCCACACACGGAATCCACTTTCATTTACATGAGCTTTTGTTGTTTTAGCAGTATAATTTAGGGCAGCGGTCAGCAAACTTTTTCAGCAGGGGGCCAGTCCACTGTCCCTCAGACCTTGTGGGGGGCTGGACTATATTTTGGAAAGGAAAAAAAATGAATGAATTCCTATGCCCCACAAATAACCCAGAGATGCAATTTAAATAAAAGCACACATTCTACTTATGTAAAAACATGCCGATTCCCGGACCATCCGTGGGCCGGATTGAGAAGGCGATTGGGCCAGATTTAACCCCCGGGCCTTAGTTTGCCTACCCATGATTTAGGAGAATGGAATCATTTTGTTTTTGCTCTTACTGGGAGCCAATAAAACCTTGCCAATCTAGTGCAAATCACTCAAAGATGTAGGTGCAACTTGACCTTCTGCTCAAAATAATGATTTTGCCTAAAAAGTTGATGCTGCAGAAACATCCCTGGGGTCCCTTTGGGTGACTATCATGTCCTCTGTGTGGGGTCTTTTTTGAAACTTCTCCAGATGCTTCTGCTGCTGCCCAGGCTGAGCTTTCTCATATTTATTTTTATTAGATATTTATTTATATCCCACTTTTTCCCCTGACAGGAACTCAAGGCATCTTCCAGATAAAAAATAAGAACATCTAAAAACATAGGGGGGAAATCATTAAAAACAAGTAAACATCTCTCTCTCTCTTTTCTCTCTTTCTATACACACACAGTCTATTAAAACCATACAAATAATTACGATATAAAACAGCATAGCTGACTTCTCAGAAATGAAACTTTGTCATCCTCACAGAAAGGATCTGGAAAGGGATTGAAACTAAAATAGCAGGCAGTGAATCACAACACAATTGCCTGCGTTGAAAATATGACTACGTGTGAGACAATACTAAGTACAGTCCTGTATACCTGAAGGAGCGTCTCCACCCCCATCGTTCTGCCCGGACACTGACGTCCAGCGCTGAGGGCCTTCTGGCAGTTCCCTCGCTGCGAGAAGTGAGGTTACAGGGAAGCAGGCAGAGGGCCTTCTCAGTAGCGGCACCCGCCCTGTGGAACACCCTCCCCTCCGATGTGAAGGAAGTAAGAAGCTATCCTATCTTTAAAAGACATCTAAAGGCAGCCCTGTTTAGGGAAGTTTTTAATGTCTGACGCTGTATTGTTTTTAATATTCGGTTGGAAGCCTCCCAGAGTGGCAGGGGAAATCCAGCCAGATGAGCGGAGTATAAATAATAAATTTTTATTATATTATTATTATAGAGTCACAGAATTGTGGAGTTGAAAGAGAGCCATCTGGTCCATGTCCCTGTGACGCAAGAATCTCAGCTAAAGCATCCCTGACAGATGGCCATCCAACCTCTGCTTAAAAACCTCAAAGGAATGTCCATTCCACTGGCAAACAGCTCCTGTTAAGTTGTGGGTGAACATATCAGACGACACAGCGATTCTTCAACAGCTCTTGTTTATTCACAGGCCAGAACAGATTTGAACTGAAGGCCTCAGTCAGCCTGCTTATACAGAGCTCCAGTACAACATTACTGCTCACTGGAAGGACAGATCGTGAAGCTGAGGCTCCAATACTTTGGCCACCTCATGAGAAGAGAAGACTCCCTGGAAAAGACCCTGATGTTGGGAAAGATTGAGGGCACAAGAAGAAGGGGACGACAGAGGACGAGATGGTTGGACAGTGTTCTTGAAGCTACAAACATGAGTCTGACCAAACTGCGGGAGGCGGTGGAGGACAGAAGTGCCTGGCATGCTCTGGTCCAGGGGGTCACGAAGAGTCGGACACGACTAAATGACTAAACAACAACAACACAATGTTACTGTAGCAACTTTCTAAAACTATCCAATCCCTGAACGTCACTTTCGATCCTTCATTTGCATAACTATCTACAGTATCCCCCTGCTGGCCCAGGGTGAGAACTTCAGTACATAACACCCCTCCCCACCGAGATAAGGCGTTAGTTACAATCGTAATGGTTTCCTTATATACAGCACTACACGTAATGGTTCAATTAGGCACAAAAGCATATTGGTTACATTTCACATACTTCCACATACTTAGACCAACAGTGTTACATGTCCAACAACATAGTCCTTTAAATAAATTGGGCACTTGAAAACTCTGCTAGACCGCTGGGGACTGGTAGCCAAGTCCGGGGGGCCACACAATTCCTGCTGAGGCTGTGGCGCGACCCTAGGTGGCGTTGGAACCAAGTCCCCTGGATCCGCTGCTGTGGGTGGAACCTCCGCAAGTGGAGTTGGCGGAATGTTAGGCACGGCAGTGGTCTGAGTCTGTGGTAACTCTGGCAGACCCTCTGAAGTGCCTTGGTTCGGCTCCACGCCAGCAGTTGCGAGAGAGGTGTAGGTGGAGCCTCACCATCTATAAGTGTCTGTTCCGGAGCCACGAGCGCAGTTGGGGGCACCACGGTAGTGTCCAAGTCCCCAACCCTGCGCCTAAACTGGACTATGTGCCGGAGCCACAAGCGTCCGTCTTCGAGTGCCAGCTGGTACGAGCGAGGTCCAGTGACTCCCACTACTGTGGCTGGCACCCAAGGAATGTCCCCCTCAAAGTTCCGGGCAAAGACCTGGTTTCCTGGAACAAATGACTGTGGCGCGTTGGCACAGCCTGGGGGTTCGGCCACGGCAAAGTCTGGGTGCAGCCGGTCGAGCGGGGACCTGAGGCGGCGGCCCATAAGCAGTTCGGCAGGACTCCGCCCTGTGACCGCATGAGGGGTGATGTGTTGTACGAACAAGTATTCGGCGACCCGCTCGTGCCAGTCTCCCCGGACCAGGCGCACCATTGCCTCTTTTGCCGAGCGCACCATTCTCTCCGCTTGCCCGTTGCTGGATGGATGAAATGGTGCCGTTAGGGCATGGCGGATGCCCAGTCCCAAAAGATACCGCTCAAAAGTGCCTGACGTGAACTGCGGTCCGTTGTTGGAGACCAGGACATCAGGACACCCATGCGTCGCAAAAAGGCCTCGCAGCACCCGGATGACGGCCTCGGTAGTGGTGGAGGGCATCAGGGCCACCTCCAGCCATTTGGAATAGGCGTCCACCACTACCATAAAGGTCCGGCCGTGAAAGGGGCCGGCCAGATCGATGTGCACCCTCGACCAGGGTGTCTCATCCCTGCTGGCCTCTTCATGATGCACTGGAACTGGCTTCCTAGCAAGATGCGGGCTGCTGGCCTTGCGGATCTCCTGGGCGGAGCGTTCGGCAGCTTCCGAGGCCACGGCCTCCTCAATGGCTTTCTGCAGCATGAGGTCTGGTGTGCTGGTCCCGGGGGTAAGGTACCTTGGGTGTAGCAGAGTCCACACGAAGAGGGGCAAGGTCCGAGGCAGAGAGCCGGGCGGGGAACAGGAATGCTGGAACAGGAGGCTGTGCAGGGAACAGGAACACCGGATGGTCGGGAACAGGAGGCCGAGCAGGGAACAGGAGTACCGGATAGTCAGGAACAGGAAGCCGAGCAGGGATCAGGAACACAGGAAGGTCCGAGCCAACAACGACGTTGCTCCCGCAACCTGGGGCCGGGCTGACTGGGCTTTTATCCTCTTCTAAGGCCAGGGGCGGTCCCGGTCCCCAGGAGCCCCGCCTCCTCTGGCCTTAAGGCGAGCACTCCTCCTGGGGGCAACCAGTTCCCTTCGCCTCTCTGCCCTAAGCCTCTGCAGATCGGAGAGGCGAAGGGTTACTGGGCCCTGGAGGAGGCTCACCTGTGGCCACTGAGTCATCAAGCCCCTCTGGGGCCCGAAGGGCTTCACCTGGGGCCAGCTCCTGATGCACTGCCACAGGTGCAGGCTCTTCAGCATCAAGGCCTTGCCCCAGTTCAGCCGGCCCTGGAGGCGGGGACTCCTGTGCAGGCCGGGATTCCTCTGTTTCATCCTCCGAATCGGAATCCCAGGCCATCACACCATCCCCTCCCAGGCCCCCTCAACCGAGGGTCCGGACCCGGCTTGCCGGGATACGTCGCATGGAACTCTCGGAGGCAGGCAGGTGCATGGACATTGGCCGCTGGTTCCCAGGAACGGTCCTCCGGTCCGTACTCCTTCCAGTCAATGAGATACTGCAGCTTCCCTGCGGTATCGGGAGTCCACGATGCCTCCCACCGCGTACTCCGGCTCTCCCCGCCCCAACCCGGGCGGCGGGCGCCGACGGATCTGGAGGAACTCGCCGGGTGGGGCCACCGGACTCAAACGGGCCCTGTGCAAGACCCGGTGAACCTTCAGGGATGCGGGTAACCGGAGACGGAATGCCACAGGAGAGATTTGGTCTACGATAGGGAACGGGCCGGTGAAGCGGGCGTCCAACTTCCGCGAAGGTCGAGAGGGGTGGAGGTGGCGAGTGGAGAGCCAAACCAGGTCACCGACGCGACGTTCCGGCCCCACCTGGCGGTGGCGGTCGGCCGGGGCGGTGTACGCTTCCTTGGCCTGGTGCGGTTGCTCCACCAACAGCTGCTGCTGGGACTGGAGCTCTTGAAGCCACCCGTCACCGCCGGGACCGCGGATGCCGGCAGCACCTCTGGAAACAGCCGTGGATGATAACCATAACTGGCCTGGAACGGGTCTGCTGGGTGGACGCATTCACCGCGCTGTTATAGGCGAACTCCGCCAATGCCAGGTGGTCGCCCCTGTCATCCTGCTGGTAGCTGCACTAACCCCGGACGTCCTGCTCCAGCACCGCGCTCGCCCTGCTCCGCCTGGCCATCGGTCTGTGGGTGGTAGGCTGACGAGAGGCAGACCTCTGTCCCGAGGGTCTGGTGTAATGCTCGCCAGAACCGGGATGTGAACTGAACGCCCCGGTCGGACACCACGCGCTCAGGTAGACCATGCAGGCGGAAGACATGCTGAAGGTACAGCTGAGCAGTTTCCTTGGCTGTGGGTACAGATGGACAGGGAGCGCAGTGCACCATCTTGGTGAAATGGTCGGAGAAAACCAGAAGGCAGGTACAGCCACGAGACGAGGGTAAGTCCACTACAAAGTCCAACGAAACTGTGTGCCAAGGGCGCGGTGGAACTGGCAATGGCTGAAGTAGGCCGGGGGTCGCCCGGTAGGCCCCTTGGCGCGTCGGCAGACATCACAACCAGCAACGTAGCGAGCCACGTCAGCCTTCAGGCGGGGCCACCAAAACTCACGACTGACCAGATGGGTGGTCCGATACCGTCCAAAGTGCCCCGCTGCCGGGGCATCATGGGCCATCCGGAGAACCTCCAGCCGCAGTGGCCCTGGCGGGATGTACAGACGACCGTGGTGCAGCAGGAGGCCCTGATGCAGGACCAGCCCCGGATACTGTGGGCTGGACCCTTCAGCCAGCTCCCGGAGTCGGTCCTGGGCCCAAGCGACGACCCGCTGCTGTTCCCGCACCCGAACCTGCAGTGGCTGCGCCTCCTGGGTGGCCAGGAATGCGGCCGGAGGTAGGATCGTGGCGGGTTCTGCTTGCTGTACCGTGTCTGCGTTGTCTTCAGGTTTCCGGGACAGGGCATCCGCCTTCAGATTCTGAGAGCTAGGGATGTAGCGGATCCGAAACTGGAACCGGGAAAAGAACAACGCCCACCGGATCTGTCTTTGGTTCAGCTTGCGGGTGGTCTGGAGGTACTCCAGGTTCCGGTGGTCGGTTCTTACCTCCACCGGATGTCGTGCCCCTCAAGATGGTGGCGCCAGACCTCAAAGGCTACCTTGATGGCCAGTAGTTCCCGCTCCCACACAGTATAGTTACGCTCCGCTGGTAGGAGCTGGCGGGAATAGAAGGCACAGGGTAAGAGTGGCGCTTCGGGCCCAATCTGTTGAGACAAGACGGCACCGAGAGCCGTACTGGAGGCGTCGGTCTCCACCACAAAGGGTCGAGAGGGGTCAGGATGTTGTAAGATTGGTGCCCTCTGGAAACAGGCCTTCAACCCCTGAAACGCCTCCTCTGCCTCCCTTGTCCCAGGAAAACGGCGTCTTTGGGCGCAGTAGCCGGGTCAACGGGGTGGTGCGATGAGCATAATCAGCGATGAAGGTCCGGTAGTAATTGGCGAACCCCAGGAAACGTTGTAGGTCCTTGCGGTTCCGGGGTGCCGCCCATTCTTGAACCGCTGTCACCTTCCCCGGGTCCATTTGCACCCCATCCGGAGAGAGCCGGTGACCAAGGAAGTCCACAGTCCGCTGATGGAACTCGCACTTGCTGAGCTTTGCGTACAAACGGTGCTCACGCAAGCGCTGCAGCACGGTCCGGACATGTCCCTCATGGCGAGCCGGGTCACGGGAGTAAATCAGTATGTCATCCAAATACACCACCACGTACTTGTCTAACAAGTCCTGAAACACGTGGCTGATGTAGCGTTGGAACACAGCAGGCGCGTTGCACAACCCGAAAGGCATAACCAAATATTCGAACTGCCCGTACCGGGTCCCAAACGCTGTCTTCCACTCATCCCCGGCTCGGATCCGAATCAAGTTGTAGGCCCCCCGGAGGTCCAGCTTGGTGAACACCTGTGCCCCTTGCACCCGCTCCAGCAGCTCCGAGATAAGGGGCAAGGGGTATCGGTCTGGGACGGTAATTTTGTTCAAGGCTCGGTAATCATGGCAAGGGCGGAGTCCCCACATTTCTTCTTAACGAAAAGCACTGGTGCCGCGGTAGGCGAGGTGGACGGCCTAATGAACCCACGCTCCAGGTTCTTGCGCAAGAAGTCCTGCAAAGCCTCGCGCTCTGGCTCTGTTAGAGAATATAAGCGACTCACTGGTAGAGGCGCTCCGGGTTGGAGGTCTATGCCGCAGTCAAAGGCCGATGCGGCGGCAGCTGGTCTGCCCCCGCTCCTCGAACACGTCCTGGTAGTCCTGATACACGGCTGGGAGCGTGGGTGCTGCCTCCTCTGAGGGCGCGGCCGCCAGCGTCCCGGATTGAGCATGGGAACATGGGTCTGGGAAGTGCACGGTCCGTTTGACCCAGTGAATCTGAACGCTGTGGGCTTCCAGCCAGTCCATCCCGAGCACCAGGGGAAGCGGGGCATAGAGGCAATGTCCAAAGTTCGCAACTCCCGGTGCTGCTGGAAACACAGGACCAGGGGCTGGGTCTCCTGAGTAACGGCACCTGAACACAGAAGTCGTCCGTCAATCGCTTCCACCTGGACCGGTACTGGCTTGTTCCGAAGTGGCACCTGATGATGGGCGGCAAAAGCAGCGTCCATATAAGAGCGGGTTGCCCCTGAATCCACCAAAGCATGGGTGGGGATCCAGGGCCCACCTGGAGGGTATAAACGCACCGGAACCATAAGATGTTGCGAGTCCATTGATGCAGGCCCATTCTGCGCGGTTTGGGACCCCGGCAGCTAGGGCCATCAGCTACTGGGGCTGGCGGCCTCTGCGGCTGGCGTTTCTCAGGGCAAGACCGAGCGAAGTGTCCACTTCCGCCACAGTAAAGACAGAGATTTCCCTCCCGACGCCGCGCCTTCTCTGCGGGGGAAAGGCGTGGCCGCACTGCCCCGAGCTGCATAGGCTCCTCCGTTAAATCAGTTGTGACCGTGGGGCTGCCGGAAAAAAGCTGGTGCCGTGAACTGGAAGTGTCGGCGACCCCGGGCCTGACGACGATCCTCCAACCGGTCGTCTATTTGTAGACTCCGTTGAATGAGAGTGTCTAGCGTGGTGGGGCGTTCCATTGTGGCCAACTGGTCCAGTACCTCGTCCGAAAGCCCTTCGAGATACTGGTCCCGCAGTGCCGAATCATTCCAGGTCAAGTCCTGTGCCAACAGCCGAAACTCCGTGGTATATGCGGCCACCGTGGACTTGCCCTGTTTCAAACGCCGAATCGCCCGGTTGGCTTGACTCCTTTCTGGGGGCTGCCGAACGCGGCCTCCAAACGATTGCAAACCCCGTATAGTCTGCCAGCAAGGGGGAGTCTTGCCTGAGTAGCGGCAACGCCCACTCTGGCCGCCTGGTCCTTTAACAAACTAATCAAAAGTGCACCTTGGTGCGGTCGTCAGGAAAGTTCCGGGCTCGCCCCTGAATATACAGCTTGGCCTGGGCCAGGAACATGGGAAAGCTGGCCGGGCTCCATCAAATTTCTCAGGCAAAGCCACTGGGTACTTGCCAGGAGCCGAGGCGTCGGCCCCAGGAGCCGGTAGGGCTTCCAAGCGTTGTTGAAGTGCCACAACCGCGTCACTGAGCTGCTGCACGGTGTGAGTCAAGGCCTGGTTCTTCTGGGCCAAAGCCACCAGTGCAGCCGCCTGGTCAGCCATGGCCTCTGGCTCTTCCCGAACGCACCCCTACGAAGGGGGAGTGCGGGTTTGGCGGGAGCAAACTGTGCTGGTCCCGGGGTAAGGTACCTTGGGTGTAGCAGAGTCCACACGAAGAGGGGCAAGGTCCGAGGCAGAGAGCCGGGCGGGGAACAGGAATGCTGGAACAGGAGGCTGTGCAGGGAACAGGAACACCGGATGGTCGGGAACAGGAGGCCGAGCAGGGAACAGGAGTACCGGATAGTCAGGAACAGGAAGCCGAGCAGGGATCAGGAACACAGGAAGGTCCGGCCAACAACGACGTTGCTCCCGCAACCTGGGGCCGGGCTGACTGGGCTTTTATCCTCTTCTAAGGCCAGGGCGGTCCCGGTCCCCAGGAGCCCCGCCTCCTCTGGCCTTAAGGCGAGCACTCCTCCTGGGGGCAACCAGTTCCCTTCGCCTCTCTGCCCTAAGCCTCTGCAGATCAGGAGAGGCCGAAGGGTTACTGGGCCCTGGAGGAGGCTCACCTGTGGCCACTGAGTCATCAAGCCCCTCTGGGGCCCGAAGGGCTTCACCTGGGGCCAGCTCCTGATGCACTGCCACAGGTGCAGGCTCTTCAGCATCAAGGCCTTGCCCCAGTTCAGCCGGCCCTGGAGGCGGGGACTCCTGTGCAGGCCGGGATTCCTCTGTTTCATCCTCCGAATCGGAATCCCAGGCCATCACATCTGGCTTGGCGAGGAGATGCCATTGCAGACGGATGTCCTGGACCCCACAGACAATTCGATCCATCAGGTCATCATCTAAGTCTCGGAACTCGCAGTGCATTGCAGCCTGTCGGAGGGCGGTGGTGTAGTTGTTAATTGACTCCCCCTATGCCTGGTTCCGGTGGTAGAATGCATGGCGGGCAGCAATCTTTGACAGCTTTGGGGCGTAGTGGTTGCGGAGCTTCTCTTGAATTGTGTCCCATGGTGTTGCCTGGACTGATTCAGGCGCAACCAATGCTCGGGCCATCTCAAACACCTCAGGCCCACAAAGGCTGAGGAATAGGCCCCGCTTCCGCTCCTTTGATACTTCTGTCAGCTCGTTGGCTTGGAGGTAGCAGTCGAACCGAGCGAGGTAGGAGTCCCATGATTCAGAGGCTGGCGCAAACGGCGGTAGAGGCACAAGTGAAGCCATGATTCCGATGCCGGCGTGAAGGGCGATGGATGGAACACCGTGCTCTAGCCAGAACAGTCAGCTCTGAATTGGTTCTGTTCAGTGATTTCGCTCAGTGATTTCGCTCAGTGATTCAGCTCAGTTCAGAGGGTGGCCACATCTGGCTGTGCTCTGATGTCCATCGATCCCATCCTCGTCGCCAGTGTTAAGTTGTGGGTGAACATATCAGACGACACAGCAATTGTTCAACAGCTCTTGTTTATTCACAGGCCAGAACTGAACTGAAGGCCTCAGTCAGCCTGCTTATATAGAGCTCCTGTACAATGTTACTGTAGCAACTTTCTAAAACTATCCAATCCCTAAACGTCACTTTCAATCCTTCATTTGCATAACTATCTACAATATCCCCCTGCTGGCCCAGGGTGAGAACTTCAGTACATAACAGCTCCTACTGTCAGAAAGTTCTCATTAATATGCAGTTGGAATCACCTTTCCTGTAGTTTGAATCAATTGGTGAAGTTGCCTCGTCTCAAAAAGGATATTGGGGAGCTGGAAAAGGTGAACAAAAGGTTAGCAAGAAGTACATTTGCACCATCCATTCAGAGTGTGCATCAAAAAGCACAGTTCTTCTCCCAAAGCATCTTGGAAACTGTTGCTTCCCCCTCACAGTGCTATAATTCCCAGTGCCATTAACAAACTGTAGTTCCCGTGGTTCTTTGGGTTGTGTTTTAAATGAATGGTGTGGGTGTTTGGCTAGGAGAATTCCAGGTCTTGTCAGGTAGGGACCAAGAACAGGGTTGCAATTGTAGTCACATAAGAAAATATTAGACTACAAAGTCCCCACTCTCTGTCTGCGGACTGAGTTTCCCAGTTATCTCTGAAGCTACGACTCTCTCTTCTTCCAGTAAAAACAACAGAGGGTCTTCTGGCACCCTAAAGACTAATAAATGTATCATGACATAAGCTTTTACGGACTTCATCAGAGGCATGAAATGGAATTTTAGACAGCAGGTGCACAGAGAAGAATTTTACAAGATGAGAGATGAACTGCCGTGAGATGGAAAAATTAAAGCAATGATAAGCAAACCTTAAAATGTAGCAGATTGGAATTTACCCAGCATTGGTCAGATGACTGATGAGATAGCAAAGATAGCATTGGTAAGCTAATGAACATGTGCCGTGCGATAAACATCATTTATATCTGTATAACTGATGGCACTGAAATTCTAGTTCCAAGTACATCAACAGCAGCTGCTCTCAGGAGACATCCAGCAGCTAAATTGCATGCACACCATAAATTTAAAACTCACGTTCACCGCCCCGCCCCAAGTAAAGAATCCTGGGAACTTTAGTTTGCCCCCTCGTGGTGCTACCATTCCCAGCATGCTGAACAAGCTACAGTTCCCAGGATTCTTTGCAGAAAGCCAAGCGCTTTCGATGTATGCTGCAGATGTGTTGCAGAGTGATCCAGGAGATAAAATTCCTGCATGTTTAAGTTTTTTCCTCCGGCGCTGGAGCAACAAGTTATGGGCGCAGACTGTTTTTTGCTGCGCCAATGGGTTCCAGAGGCAGAGCAGAGTGCTGGAGATCAGCTGTTTGCTATGAATGAGCGGAGGAGTAGCTGTGCCGAAATGCCGGAGGAGGACGAGGAGGACCTGGAGAGTCTCTGTGCCAGTGCAGCGGTATTGCAACAGCCAGCCATGGTGATTTACGAGCCGGGTGTCTGTGATGGAGCAGCCTTGCAGTGGCAAGAGAAGCTGGAAGAGAGTTTTGGGGACTCTGCTACATGTTTAAGGTTTTTCCTCCTCCAGCGCTGGCGTGACAAAAATATGTTTTTATCCAAGGAAAGGGTGACAGAGCATTTGATACAGTGTTATGTACTGAGTTGAATAGGATCCAAAATGCAGCAGTCTGACTGGTCCTAGATCAATAGGATTCAGAATGAAGCAGTCTGATTGGTCCACAGGAGCCACCCAAGCCAGCTTCAGGTGGAAGTGAATCTGCAACCTGATTGGCCTACAGGTGAATCCCGGAATTAGCCAATCACGTGGGGCCCATTGTGTAAATTATGTATATAAAGCAGACATTCTGGGGGAATTTCCAATCCTCCTCACCACTATGAGCTGAATAAAGAACATGAAATCCACTCTCGACTCCGAGTATACAGTGGTACCTCGCATTAAGTACTTAATTCGTTCCGGAGGTCCGTTCTTAACCTGAAACTGTTCTTAACCTGAAGCACCGCTTTTTACAATTTGTAATCCAAATTTTTCTACCAGTTCCTTTTTGTCTTGATCTCCCATGTTTTTTACCATTAGTTTCGTTTTTTCTTTATTCAAAGCAAAACCTGAGACCCTTCCAAAGTTTCCCATTTTTTCTAGAGCGTTTGCTATGCTTTCCTTTGGGTTTTCCACCATTAAGACTAAATCATCTGCAAATGCCCTTATTTTGTATATTTTCTCTCCTAGGGATATTCCATTTATTTCTTGATCCAGTCTGATTTCTTGGTTTGATATTTCCAAAACCAAAATGAATAATAATGGTGAAAGTGGGCACCCTTGTCTGGTGCCCTTCTGTATTTTAAAATAATCAGTCGTGTCATTATTTATTATTATATTTGCTTCTTGTTGTTCATAAATTGCTTTTAGCCCTCTTGTAATTTGGTCTCCCATGTCCATCTGGTCTAATAATATTTTTAGAAATTTCCATGATACTTTGTCAAACGTATCGATTTCTGTTCTCATCCTGAAGCAAAGTTCTTAACCTGAAGCACTATTTCTGGGTTAGCGGAGTCTGTAACCTGAAGCGTATGTAACCTGAAGCGTATGTAACCCGAGGTACCACTGTATTTCATGCAGGTTTACAAATCAGCCTTACCAGATGGTGGAAATAGGAATCAAAGACCATCGCAGGGGAGAAAGGCGTCCACTCTGAATCACACATGGGAGACACCAGAGGGCAGCCCCTGCCATTTCCTCCCTAGGGGAGAGAAGACGCCAGCAGCCCCTCCTATTCACCAAGAGGTGGCAGATCCAGCTTCTGGATAGCAACAGGCATTGTATTCATTGGAAGCCGGATTAAATGCCCCTGTGGATCTTGCTGCCTGAGGCAGTTGCCTCACCTTGCCTCATGGGTGGGCCAGTCCCAGCTGTATCCAACACAGGGCTGAACAGATTGATCCATCAATATTTCTCCTTGCACAACGGACAGATCGCCGCCACCCCCCTTCCCCCACGAACCTCCTAAATCTGTTGTAGGGGAAATTTTTCCAAACCCTCCAGAGCAGATTTGGGGGTGGTGGGGGAAGCGCAGAGGGGTCAGAGGAAAGGGGGACATCCCCTTGTGCTAGTGTTAATCCTTCTGTGAGCTAGCACAAAACTGCAGCTGAATACTAAGTTTTTGTGACTGGCTGGGTTGAGTCCTTGCACTCTGATCATGCCTAACTGAAAGGAAGCAGGTTGGGCACCCCAAAACTTTCGCAGGTGCAAAATATAGTGAAAGCGAGACCACGTTACTGTGAGCCTAAATCATCAAGAAGGCAATATAAAAAGGGTGTCTGGAGGAGCCCCAAGTTTATATGTAAAAAATACAGTGATCATTCTTTACAGAGGATTGCACAAGCTTTCAAGCTTTTAATATTTTGACTAACACCTATTGTGGGAAGATGAGTCCATTGTCTTGATTCAGCTCGAAACAAACAGTATCAGAGACGTCCTGAGAAGTTCCCATTCAGAAGCTTCACACTTATTTCCTTTGCTGAATGGCAGCTTTCAGATCAGCAACAGAATTTCCCAGGAGACGGAAACAGTTGAATGTTGCACTTTCGAATGTCAGATTTATGACATTGCACAGGCTGACCCATGTGTCCTCTCGAAGCAGATGGCCATCTCCGTGGCTTGGACTTCGTTTTGCGCGAAAAGTGGTTGCTGCTTGTAGTTATTTAATTGCAGTGTTTCATCAGCTGGTGTCTTGAGCAGCAACCTCTGGAAACAAAGGGCTAAAAACTGGCGCTGCTCTCCCAAATTATCTGGTCCCTTTTAACTTCGTATTTCAGCTGGTTGACTAAAATCCCTTATTTTGGCTGCTGATCCCTTATTTTCGAGGCTGCTGGTCCCTTATTTTCAAATCTGTAACAAGCAGCAACCACTTTTCGTGCAAAACGAAGTCCAAGCTACGAAGATGCTGCTGCAGTTCTGTATCTTTTCTCTCGTGCTCCATCTGCAGCTCTCAATTCCATCAGGCAGGGAGGCAGGGAGGGGGGAATAGCCTTCGAAGTAAACCCGCAGATCAGACCATCTATGCTAGTCTACCACTACAAATCTATGGGAGAAGCGCTTGCAGTCCTTCCCTTGTAGCCCTTGGAACACCTGCCCGCGCCTCCGCCTCCTCCTCTTCCTCCTCTCTCTGAACTGCTTTCTCTGGTTGCCCTCGCTCTCCTCTCAAGGCTCCTCAGCAATTCACAGGCCATGCCAGGCTGCCCATCTCATATGGTTCCTTCAGCGGCGCAGCCGCAGTACGACTAGCGGGAGCGGCGGCGACGGGCAGAGGGGAGGCCCCAGGCAGAGACGCTCAGTTCGGCAGCCGCAAGGAGGATGGTGGCGGAAGGGCCCGAGGCTCCCGCCAGTCCCAGCGGTGAGGGGCTCCCGGGGGCCAAGGCTGGTGAGAGGAGGCCGGAGGGGGGTGGGCTGGGCAGCCAAGCAACACAGTTGGAGCCTCCTTCCTCCCTGGCCGGCAGGGAGGGAGGGAGAGGAGCTGCTTCCTGAAACCCGGGAAATTTAAGGGACATCCATCAATAAGGGACAGCAGCGGGACACGGCGCTGGGATAAGGGACTGTCCCTCCAAATAAGGGACGCTTGACAGCTATGGGGGGGACCGGGGCCGAGACGGGAATAGCTTCATTTAAAAATCGGAAGTCGCACGGCTCTGTAGTTTTTTATATCTATGACGCAAAGGTCAGCGGAGTCTTCTGTCAGAGAGATGCCGAAGTGTCTTGGCGCGGCACTTCTCTGCTCCCATAATAAAACCAGAGCCCTGGTTTCTGCATAGAGGTGGCTAAAAGTCCTTCGCCCACACTTTCTCCATGGCTTTTTAAAGAAGTTCCACTCCAGGGGCTGCTCTATTGCTTTCTAGCTCTGTGGTGCCGGAAGCGGAAGTGGCGTGGCGTCAAGGTTTACCGTAGAGCTGACCGTATCTCTGCGGCGCCAGGAGCGGATATAGGTCGTCGTCGAGGCCCCTCTAGCAATTTCTTTGGATCTCTGCAGCTCAGAAAACGGAAATCCGCCAAGATCCCTCTAGGAATTTCTTTGGAGTTCTGCGGCGCCGGAAGCGGATATGGGTCGTCGTCGAGACTCTTCTAGGAATTTATTTGGCTCTCTGCTGCTCCGAAAACGGAAATGCGCCAAGACCTCTCTAGGAATTTCTTCGGAGCTCTGCGCCGCCAGAACTGGAAATAGGCCGTCGTTGAGACCTCTCTAGCCGTTTATTTGGATCTCTGCTGCTCCGAAAACGGATATGGGCCGCCGCCAAGACCCCTCTAGGAATTTCCTTGGCTCTCTGCGGCGCCGGAAGCGGAAATGGCCCGTCGTCAAGGCGACGCGCTCCGGCTTCTCCCCAGCGGGCGGCGGGAGTTGCCATGGAGGAGTCTCCGGCCCAGACCCCGTCGTCTCCCCGGGAGGCGACTCCGCGGCGCAGTCCCAGGCCCCACAGCGGCTCGGGTCCGGCCCGCACCTACAGCCTGCGGCCCGCCTTCCAGCACAAGTCAGTGGCCGGGAGGGGGAGGGGCTGGCAAAAACGAAGCAGACAAGCCCCTCCCCCCATAGGGGGAAATGGGCCCCTTCGCTCCCCCCCGCCGCCCTGCAGGGAGCTCAAGGCGGGGCTTGCTGGGTCCAACATCTGGATCCCACCAGGTTCTCCATTCCCCTTTGGAGGCCGACACGCAGCACTCTTCCAGGGGCTACAAATCCACCTCGATCCCTTTACAGTGGTACCTCAGGTTACAGACGCTTCAGGTTACAGACTCCGCCAACCCAGAAATAGTACCTCAGATTAAGAACTTTGCTTCAGGATGAGAACAGAAATCGTGCAGCGGCAGCAGGAGGCCCCATTAGCTAAAGTGGTGCTTCAGGTTAAGAACAGTTTCAGGCTAAGAACAGACCTTCGAAACGAATTAAGTACTTAACCCGAGGTACAGTGGTCCCTTGTTTCTCAAACACCTTGGTACTCAAACACTGCAAACACGGAAGGAAGTGTTCCAGTCTGCAAACTTTTTTCGGAAGCCAAATGTGCTCCAATTTGAGTGTTAAGCTGAGGTCTTTCTGGTTTTGCTATGTATTTTGCATTTTGCAGGGATACGGGTGGCGCTGTGGGTTAAACCACAGAGCCTAGGACTTGCTGATCAGAAGGTCGGCAGTTCGAATCCCCGTGACAGGGTGAGCTCCCGTTGCTCGGTCCCTGGTCCCGCCAACCTAGCAGTTCGAAACACGTCAAGTGCAAGTAGATAAATAGGTACCGCTCTGGCGGGAAGGTAAACGGCGTTTCTGTGCGCTGCTCTGGTTTGCCAGAAGCGGCTTAGTCATGCTGGCCACATGACCCGGAACCTGTATGGCTCCTTCAGCCAATAAAACGAGATGAGCGCCGCAACCCCAGAGTCGGCCACGACTGGACCTAATGGTCAGGGGTCCCTTTAACTTTACCTTGCTTTTTTTTGTGGCTTTTTTGTTTTGTTTTGTTACTGTGTAGCTCAGCTACTGATTGATTGATTGATTGATTGATTGTGTGACTGCAGAACATTGTTTTTTGCTTTCATTTTATGGATCAGTGGTCTCGCTAAACAGTAAAATTCATGTTAAATGGCTGTTTTAGGGGTTGTTTTTAAAGGTCTGGAACGGATTAATCCATTTTGCATTACTTTCTATGGGAAAGCGCACCTTGCTTTTGGAATGGACTTCCGGAACGGATTAAGTTTGAGAACCAAGGTACCACTGTATTTTCAATAACTTTCAGATCCTTTCTTATGTTGACTTGAAGCTGGCATACATTTAGTTCCCAGTCACTGAACTACTGAGCATCAGCACATATCCTGCATCCTAAGCCTTCCAGCCATGACCTGATACTTACCGTATTTTTTGCTCTCTAAGACTCACTTTTTCCCTCCTAAAAAGTAAGGGGAAATGTGTGTGCGTCTTATGGAGCGAATGCAGACTGCGCAGCTATCCCAGAAGCCAGAACAGCAAGAGGGACCGCTGCTTTCGCTGCGCAGCGATCCCTCTTGCTGTTCTGGCTTCTGGGATTCAGAATATTATTATTTTTTTGTTTTCCTCCTCCAAAAATTGGGTGCGTCTTATGGTTTGGTGTATCTTATAGAGCGAAAAATATAGTAGTTGTTTTCCCATGTGCTGGGTGTCTGTTCATTTGTTGTATAGGAATGCCATCAGTCAAGGCCCTTCTTCCCACCTGCATTCTCAAGTGGTACAGCCCCTGCAGGCTTAAACCTTATGAAGATGTAAACTGAGTGTGAATCCTCTCAAAGATGTACGCCTGAAGTTTGGGAGTTGTCACAAATCAGACATCCCAGACTCCAGTTATTTGTTATACTGATGGAGGGGAGATATAACTGTACGCCATTCTTTCCTATTAGATTCCGCCCTTCTACGGTGAAAGATTGTATCCATGAGGTGTTAAAAGAGGAGCTGGCCAGTGTGCAGTACAACCCTGAAGAGATCCCACAGCTCACCAAATCCTTATCAGAGACGATCCTGGAAAAGTTAAAAGGTAAGAGCATGTGCCAAGAGTAATTGCCTTTTTCTTCCTATATCTTCCTGCCCAACTCACCCACCCTTTCTCTCTCTTGGACACACACACACACACCCTTGCTGATGTTCTTCCATCTGGCCAAACATATGATGTGACAATATACAGGTGTGAAATCTTTCAATTTTCCCCAATCCTTTTTCTTCCCCATCTTTCTTTCTAGAGAAAGGTTTTCACCGATATAAAATGGTGGTGCAAGTGGTGATCGGAGAACAGAGAGGCGAAGGAGTTAAGTAAGTTAGGCTTCCCTCCCTTCCCACCAAATCATTCACATTTCTTAATATTTTGCACTGTGGGTTGTTGTTGTTGTTGTTGTTGTTGTTGTTGTTGTTGTGTGTGTATGCCTTTGTAAATTGTGAAATCTGAGGGTTCATATTTATCCCGAGCATTCTACAATTGACAAATTTACACAATTCCTCTGGGGACTTAATGTATTCTGACTTGCACAGCACACCCCCAACATTCAGAGCAAATTAAACACCTTTGTAGTGATAGCATGTTTGGTGTGGGTAACTCCCCCTTCCTTCACTTCACCTGGAGGGTTTCCATGCCTGTTCTCACTTTTTTGGTCTCCATATGGTTCTTCTGGGTTTCACCAGCACATATTTGGAGGCATTGGGTTGCCTGCAAAACAGCTTCCACCCACACAACTGAACTGTCCCTCTCCACCCCCTGCATGCCCCCCCAAATCTATTCTGAGGGATCCCGCAGCCCTCCAGAGTAAATTTTGTAGGCATGCAAGGGGGAGGAGAGGGAAGAGAAGTTCCATTGCAGAAGCAAATTTGTTCCGCAAGCCCAATGACTTCATTATGTTCAACCAAACTGTCCTCTTCTTGTTTGGGATCAACCCTGTTGGTCCCCACCCCGGGGGGGATTTTGGGGAAGCATTTTCAGCGTATCAAGGAAATGAACAGTCTCGAAATGCGGCTGATTATCACCAACTGATGTTTTTCTTTGTCAATGGACGGTTGCTCATTTGTTTCTTCAGCATGGCTGCACGGTGCTTCTGGGATTCAGACACAGACAACTACGCTCAGGATATTTTCATGAATGTAAGTGACTTGCTGCTTTTGCCATGCATCACCCATTGAAGGCTGCTTAAAAACCGTGTGTCCTGATGTTCTCATGTGTAAAACCTACAAAAATTGCAGAAGAAAATTTCCATCATGCTTGTTACTGCACCAGATTCCCAAAGTCATGAATTTGTTTGCCTCTGAGGTTGTTTTCGCTCACGGAGGTGTTCTCCTTTCTGCAGGACACCCTCTTCTGTGTGGTGGTTGCCTTTGGCTGTTTCTTCTACTGACGCTGGTGAAAAGTTCAAAGAAGATCACTGTTTCAAATATATTTTTGAGGATGGACACTCCCGTTTACAAAATACATTTTCTACTTGATGCTTTTATGATGGATTTCTGCTGCTGCTTTGTACATAGCTAGAGTTTTCTGCACAAGCCCCACTGAAAAAATGAGATACTTCTCTTACACAGCTCCTGTTCCTTTCAACAAGGTTTGTACTGGAGAATTTCCTGCCAACTTCAACCCTATATTTACTTGCAACATTTTCTCTGCGATTGGTGGCTAATGAGACCCATCTGGTTACAACCATTACAAACAATTGAAATTTCTGGTTGCAGATTCATTGAGTCTGCTGCGAATGCTAAACTCGTGCTGCATCCCAGTCTATTTGAATGAATATGTTAAAATCTCACTGAGAATTGTATAAATGCACTCTATAATTTTACCGTGGAATTCTGCTCCTAAATTTGTCCTGAAAAGCCTTCTCTTTTTACAACTTCTGTTTACATTCTCATTCCACACCTTCGCTTCTTCCACAAGGAACAAATTTTAAGAAACACCACGTTCCCTAGGTCAGGCTTCCACAGATTTTGTTGGTAGTTTTCCTGTTTGGCTCAGCACACTTGTAGGAGAAGACTATGGCAGACCAACCCTCTACCTACCCATAAGGAGAAGGCTATTTATGACATTTGTCATGCTGTGTCTCTGCAAAGTACACATAAATAATATTTAGAATTGGGGCTGTCACTTGAACTATGAAATCTTAATCTATTAATTTATTGAATCTGCAGATAGGCGTAATATGTATTAGTACACACACACAGTTGTGAAGCAAGCTGTGCTGCAGACACCATTCTGGTGAGAGAAAAGGCCTCATTAGCTTTGGTTTTAGATTGAAAACAATGCTACTTCTCCTTAATCTGCTGCCTGGTTGAGGCCCGTTTTGTCGTTAAATCAGAAGGTTATATAATTAAGATTGAAATCCTGTGAGAACCACAGAGGTTTCCTTGGAGTAAGCCATGTTGAACTCTGTGAGACTTACGTCTGAGTAGACACTCATAGGAGTGCACTGTAAATTCTGCAGCCCAACTTAGAAACTACATGATACTTTTTACGCACCCAAAGAGCTTTGTATCCATGCTTAGCAGCCCTTACAACACCCCTGTAAGGTAGGCTTGTCTACTTTTTTGACACCTTTCTAACAGCAGCACGGTCTCCAGGTATCTGTAAGTGCTGATCTCTATGCAGGACAACAAAGGCATAGCAGCAGGGCAGACCACTTATCCCTGGTCAGGTGGCAACTCTTCTGTAACGTAGTCCAGGATCAAGGGGACTGAAAGGTAACGCAGGTGATCTAGCATGCCTGGGTGTGTGGTTAATGTCGGCTTTGAACCAGGGAATGCCCAGCGTCCAAACTTAGCCGCCGTACCACACCAGCTTCTGTACCGGCCAAGTACGGCAGCCTTCCCCAGTCAGGCTTCCTCCAGGAGTTTTGGACTACAATTCCCAGCATGCAGAGGTTGACTGAGGCTGATGGGAGTTGTAGTAGGAAACCACCAGCAGGGCACCAGGTTGGGGAAGGATGCCAGAGGGTCACGCACCTCTTTACAGGCATTGATCTGTCAGGAGCTCATGGTGGCGTACGTGGTCCTTCCTGCTTCCCCACCTTATCCTCACAAAAACCTTAAGAGGTCAGTTAGATCGAAAGTTGGTGATTGCTCCAAGGGCACCAGCTCAGTGCTTCATAGCAGAAGGTGTTTAAACCCGGGTCTCTCTGTTCCCAAGCCCCACACACGACTCCGCGTCATATGTCTCCTTTTGCATACTTTTACCCTGCCTTTTGCACAACGGCTCCACCCCAGCTTGCAGTGAACACATACAACCAAGAATAAAATAAGACAATAAAAACAGCAGGGGGCAGCATAAAGCTAGCTGGAAAAGCATGACCAGGAAAGAGAGGTTTCTTGCGATGAAAATGTCTCCATGTGACAGCTAGCAGGAATCCTGCACCCTTAAGAGCAGGCCAGCATAATAGGCCATCCATTCCAGCTCCCTGCAGCATGATACATGGCACAAATGGAAGTGTGACACACTTTAAAATCCCTAATATATCAAAAGATCTGCCCAGGGCGGTGCTGAAACGACTGGATTTGCAGGGTTCATTTGGTCCTCGGTAACCGACAAGGCAAGAGGTGTGTTAAGTCATCTTTGGATAAAAGCATTCTAGAGAAACGACGATCTCACGCTATCAACAGTTCAGAATTTATCTTGGCTGCTGATTTGTATGAAGTGGCGGTTCGTGCACGTGCATTTAATACCCATGAGATCACAAGATGCAGCTGCCTCTTCTGAGATTTAACTCCTAGAAACCGTGCAGAGGGAGATGCAGCCTGCCAACAGGATGGCAGAAAACGACCATTTTCTGCCAACAGAATTTGCCTTTCGAAACCACAAAAAAAACCTTTTAAAAATCCCATGTTCAAACAGAAAGAACAATTTAACAGCCCAGGTATTAAACACGGGGCAATCCCCGATAAATAGGAGCAGTTGGCGTGTATCCCAGGGCCATACTTTCGAGTCGAGCTTCCACCTGGTTCTTTAATGCCCGGATTGTACTTGAGAACATTAAAAGAGGTGCTTATTCGGTGTCAGACCTCCGGACCAAGGCTACAAGTCTGCAGAATCGTTCGCAGCCTTGCAAGCTTCCATTATTTTAATCGAAAGACGCCAAGGACCGAGCCTAAAAAAAACAAAGAAAAGGCTATTTCTCAGGGTTCTTTGTATAAGCAGAGCTGCTCCCTAGGACTTGTGCAATGGGCCTCCAAACCAGTAGGGGGAAGGTAGCCAAGGGCCCTGAAGGAGCTACTTCTCCAGCTCATTTCAATGTAGCAGGAAATGTCTTGGTCCGCAAGTGAGCAATGTCACCCCCTTGTGGTCTGCAAAGGGGGTGCAGCGCCAGGAAGTGGGAGGCCACAGCATGCTTGGCCCCTCCTCCCGCTTCCTCTGTTCCCCTCCAGTTGCTCTTCCGCACCGTGGCCCCCCCTCCACCCTCCGGCCATGGCAGACAAGCCCCTCAAGCACAGCAAGAAGTCCAAGCGGTGCCTGCTGTGCGAGGCGCCGTTCTCTGGGGCGGCGGAGGGGGACCTGTGTCCCAGGTGCTCCCTGACCCCCCTGGCCCCCGTGCACACGGCAGAGCCCGGCATGGAGAGCCGGTGGCGAGACACCAGGGCCCCTTCCCCTGCGGGGAGCTGCGGCTCCGGGGACGACACGCAGGGCCAGGAGCAAGAGGAGGACAAGGAGGAGTCAGGACAGCAGCTCTTGGCCGAGTGGGTAAGTCCCAAGTCTCTCTTGTTTTACTTTGCTTCTGTTTTAATTTAATTTCTACTTTTGTTTTTTGAGACCTCCAATCTCAGCCATGTTGGAGCGGCTTATTAAGAAGGGGGTTGCCTCTGAACATGTACAGAGTGCCGTTACCTCTGCCCAGAAATGTGGCTAGTAATTGGGAGAGTCGTGGATTTCATTAAGAGCCCACCCCCTGATTGAATCAGACCCTCCAAGTGCCCCCATTTCCCAAGGGCAGTTCCGGATTTACAGCAGCTATCCCGGTTTCTGATCTGATCCCAGAATGTCCCGCTTTTCCTTAGGATTGCCCTATTTTCTTCTGAGAAATGTTGGAAGGGTATGGAGTTATGCAACCCCCAAGCTAAGGAGATAAGTAACTACAGCTTTAGAAGGCACCGGAAGGCAGCAGGAATTTTTAAATGTTTTGTTTTTATATACTGTATTTTTTGCTCTATAAGACTCACTTTTTCCCTCCTAAAAAGGGGAAATGTGTGTGCGTCTTATGGAGCGAATGCAGGCTGCACAGCTATCCCAGAAGCCAGAACAGCAAGAGGGATTGCTGCTTTCACTGCGCAGAGATCCCTCTTGCTGTTCTGGCTTCTGAGGTTCAGAATATTTTTTTTCTTGTTTTCCTCCTCCAAAAACTAGGTGCCTCTTGTGGTCTGGTGCGTCTTATAGAGCGAAAAATACGGTATGTTGGAAGCTGCCCAGAGTGACTGGGGCAAGATGGGCATGGGTCAGATGGGCAGGGGAATAACGATGATGATGGTGGATTTGGATGCCCCTATTTTCATCAGAGAAATGTTGTCGGGTATGTTAGATCATTGGCGATTCACCCATTGCAAGCATGTCCTAAGTGTTAGGCCTGGATTCTATTGAAAAAGCATTCAGGCTCTGTAAGATCCAAATCTCCCTTTTTCCAGGACAGTTATGAACTGCCTGAGGTCTACAAATAAAGGGCAGAATGCAGAAATAATTTTCATACATTAGCTGGAGCTGTTTGGTGGAGCTGTTTTGCTGAATCAATTTAGTCCCGTTTGCCAAAGGGCCACGGCTCTCCGGTGGAGCCCATGGTGCATGTGAAAGGTCCCAGGGTCAGGTCCTTTCCCCCACCGATTAAAAATGATCCCTGTAAGCAGGTAGTGGAGGACCTCTCTCTCTACCTGAAGCCCTGAAGATCTGCTAGCAGTCAGAGAAGACACCAGCACAGGGTAAGATGTACAAAACAGACTGACCTGCTATGAAGCATTGACATTTAAGTAGATCTGTATCTCTTTCACGCGCTAACCAAGGGTATGCGATAGAGCCATTTAGCCAGATTTTTATTATTACCTTAACTTGGGTAGTATGTTCTGTTCCTCTGGAGTGCAGCTGTTGATCCACTCTTTTTTATATTAATAAGTGTGTAAGAATTGCCTTCGGGACACGGGTCAGGAGTCCCTTTACCTTTAAGAATTGCCATAGCGTGCAGAAGCTGTGGTTTTTTAGCGAGCTCAAGGTCTTGGAAGGGTTACCACAGTTGCTAAGGCTGTTATTTAAACTCCATGCACCTAAACCAGAGCATTAAGTTCCATTGAACTTGGTGGGATTTGCTTCTGAGCTGAGTTGCATAGATAGGGGCTGTGGTGTAAACAGACCCAGGGGCACATTTACTATGAAACTACAGACGCTTCAGCTTTAGACTCCCTAATCCCAGAGGGGCCCCAGAATCGACTTCAGTCCACATTGCTTAGGTTTTGGGGGGTCTAGTAGACGAACGACTCAAACCCCCTTCTTCCTTTCGCTTCCTTCCTTCAAGGTTCCATCCATGCCACCCGAGCGTTCATGTTCTTCTTTGTTGTATATATTTCAACAACCCCAAAGTTTGCGAGTTAACAGCACAGGTGTTGTAAAGGTGTGGTGATCTGCCGTGGAACAACCCTATGGAAGAAGATAACAGTGGTTACACAAACATCATTGCCGGTTGCAAAGGGAGCCCCATGACAGCTTCAGGGCCCCCAAAATGTAGGTCCACCACAGAACAGACCACAACCAAAGTAGAGTTGAGGATGGTGCATTTCAAAGTAAGAGGAATAGGGAACATCCTGTAAATCAGCAGGAGGGTTGGTGAGCCTAGGTAGCAACACAGGGGGACTGTTAATGGAATCCTACATTTTAGTACCTCTTTGCTTCTCCTTGCCTTTTGTCTCATACCTTTTTGGGAGATGTTGTTGTTGTTTGGTCATTTAGTCGTGTCCGACTCTTCGTGACCCCCTGGACCAGAGCACGCCAGGCACTCCTGTCTTCCACTGCCTTCCGCAGTTTGGTCAAACTCATGCTGGTAGCTTCGAGAACACTGTCCCACCATCTCATCCTCTGTCGTCCCCTTCTCCTTGTGCCCTCCATCTTTCCCAACTATCCAGGGTCTTTCCTAGGAGTCTTCCTTCTCATAGAGGTGGCCAAAAGTATTGGAACCTCAGCTGGCTCCAGAGCCTCAGTTGATCCTTCTCCTCAGTCATGGTCCAGCTCTATCCCCATCTACTTGGAAATAAATCTCATTGAATGTAATGGGGCCTATTTGTTTACTGTACAGTGGTACCTCGGGTTACAGAGGCTTCAGGTTACAGACTCCGCTAACCCAGAAATAGTGCTTCAGGTTAAGAACTTTGCTTCAGTATGAGAACAGAAATCGTGCTCCGGCGGCGCGGCGGCAGCAGGAGGCCCCATTAGCTAAAGTGGTGCTTCAGGTTAAGAACAGTTTCAGGTTAAGAACGGACCTCCGGAACAAATTAAGTACTTAACCCGAGGTACCACTGTATTTTCAGACCATTACTGTCTCCCAAAGTGGCTCACATCAGAGGGACATAGGCTGCATACACATGATACCTTGAAAGCACATTTTGCCCCTCAAAGAATTCTGGGCACTGTAGTTTCTGGAAGGCTACTGGGCATGGTAACTTTGGAAGGGGTAAACTACAGAGCCCAGATTTCTCTGAGGGGGAATGTGTGCTTCGAATGTGCTTTAAGCGTAGAGTGTGTACACAGCCAAAGAGACCTTGCCTTCGGGCTTGAAAACGACAAGAGTGATATAAGGGAAGCAGAGGACAGGAAAAAGGTAGAGAAGGGAAAGCAAGGCCAAAACCCATTCTAAGAACATGTGTATAGCATTGCATTGCACTGTACTGTAAGTTACAAATTAAGAAGACAATTCCTCAATTTTTCCTTCCGTCAGAAATTAACCAGATGTCCCTAGGCAAATTTACTTAAAATGTATAGCCCGCCATGCCTCTGGTATTCAGTGGAGGTAGCATTAGATTTAAAAACTGCATCCACATGACTGCAAAGTGGAAACTGAACAATGCTACGCATTGTTAGCATTACACAATGAAAGATCACTACAGTACTGTATTGTAACAACAACGCACTGATATCTTAATATTATGCAGTTAGTCTCAAGAGCACGGCTTTTAACCACAGTGGCACAATGCAATATTTGTTTTAGGAGAATGTTTAATTATGCACTGCTGTGCTGCTACGGTTTCGAAAAGCTAGGCAAACAGCAGCATATTACTGTAGGACTCCGTAATGCAAAGTATGGCCAGCATCCCCAAAATCCTCCAATGAAGGGCGGTACAGTGGTACCTCAGGTTACATATGCTTCAGGTTACAGACTCCGCTAACCCAGAAATAGTGCTTCAGGTTAAGAACTTTGCTTCAGGATGAGAACAGAAATTGTGCTCTGGTGGAGCGGTGGCAGTGGGAGGCCTCATTAGCTAAAGTGATGCTTCAGGTTAAGAACAGTTTCAGGTTAAGAATGGACCTCCGGAACGAATTAAGTACTTAACCCGAGGTACCACTGTATAGAAATTTAATAAATAAATAAATAAATAAATAGGGTGCCCAGAAGGGTCTCACCACACAACCACAGACGTAAAACTACAGGCCTAGAATTCTTTGAGGTGAGGGGGAAGAATGTGCTTTAAAGGCATGTGTGTACTCAGCCCTAAAATATGAGAGAATGGGATGGGGGCTGAATGCTAAGACTAAGCTTTGGGCCTGGTGGCAAGGTTTATTTGCGACACCTACAACATCCCTTTATTATTAATAATATCATTACTATTTATTGACTGTCCTTTTATATTGCCTAAGGCAGCCGAAAGTGGCTTACGAGCACATGTGTATGCCTACAGATCATAGAGTCGGAAGGGACCCTGAGGGTCATCTAGCCCAAACCGCTAGGGTCATAGGAGGAATCTTTTTGCCCAATTCTGGGCTCGAACCCATGGATTAAGAGTCCTGTGGTCTGCTGACTGGGCTATCAAGGCAAAATACGGCGGAGAGGGAGGGAGAACAGGCCCAAGCCCCCGCCAAGCACAAGGCCGCAAAAGGTCTGTCGCTTTCCTAGTGGGACTGGGTATGGATTGCTGTCCGTAGGGCGTAGGAGGCTCTTCATCTCAAGAGTCGTGGGTTTGAGACCCGCGTTGGGCAAAAAATGGCCAGGGTGGGGTGGGGTTGGACTAGATCAGGCACCCCCAAACACAGCTGTCAACTTTTCCCTTTTCTTGCGAGGAATCCTATTCGGAATAAGGGAATCTCCCTTTTAAAAAGGGAAAAGTTGACAGCTATGCCCCCAAACTTGGCCCTCCAGATGTTTTGGGACTCCCATCATCCCTAGCTAACAGGACCAGTAGTCAGGGATGTTGGAAATTCTAGCCCCAAAACATCTGGAGGGCCGAGTTTGGGGGTGCCTTGACTAGACGACCCCCGGGGGTCCCTTCCGACTCTATCATGCTATATTATGCTTCTATTTCTCCCATCCCCGGAACCTTCCGCGTCTGGGTGGCGGTTTCCGGGAGGAGCAGCAGAGAGAGGCGGACCGTTTCGGCCGGTCCGTCGCCGGGAGGGTCCGGCCGGAAACACTTCCGGCTCGGCCCCGTTGGCGCTGCGCGAAGGGGAGCCGGAGAGCGGAGACCGAGGGAGGCAGGCGGGTAGGTCGGGGCCGCGCCGGTCGGGGCCGGGGGTCATGGCATTGAGGAGGGGGCTCGTGTGAGTGCTTGGCCCGGGCGAGGCCCCCCTGACTCCCTCCTGGAGGGGAAAAGGGGGGTCCTAAATCCCTTCCCCCCCCCCAAAGAGAGGGTGGCCTCCCCAGCCTGGTGATACCTCTCGCCCGAAAGGGAAGGCGGTGGGGCTGGTTGTGGGCGGGGGGAATACAGGAGGGGAGGGCGGCGTTGCTGGGTTTTCTTGGGGGGTGCGATCCCCCCAAAAATCTGGTGCTGGAGTGACTTCAGAGCAACCCATCGCAATCTCTCGCAGCCCTAAATAGGGTTGCCAAATTTAGGAGAGAGAGAGAGAGGGGACGCTATGACGGCCCTTCAAAGGAAATAAAGGCAGTTTATTTAACCCCTGAAGAAGAGGACATGTCTTGGATAAAGAGGACACACGGCAGCCCCCAGCAAGAGGGTCCCTCTGGGGCTTGTGGCACATGCATGTGCGCACATGCGGATTTATAAATCTGTCTGCGCTTAGCTGCCCAGAGCTTCAGTGCATGGTATTTTGCCATGTATTGTGTTTTTGATTGTATTGTGTTTTTAATATTCGGTTGGGAGCAATCCAGAGTGGCTGGGGAAACCCAGCCAGATGGGTGGGGTATAAATAATAAATTATTATTATTATTATTATTATTAGACACACCCTTTTAAGCACAAGCGTTTGGAGAGGACCCGAGAGACAGGTCAAAGCTGTATCGACGTGGCATTTTGCATTGAAACACGGGGCAGTCCTGTATGTACAGGATAGGCGGATGCAAGCGTCTGGTTGTAAGCATTGGCGTTGACAGGGCTTGGGACAGGGTTGCGATGCGCCTTGGGGGGGTTGAGGAGGTGCTGCTCTGCACCTTGGTGGGGACCACGACCATTATGGGAAAGTGACCCCAGGGGTCTGTGTGGGAAGGGGAGGAGGGCTAGGCAATTAGCCCTGCTTTAAGAGAATCTTGTACAAATATTGGGGGGGGGGGGGGGTAGCCAGGAGTGTGTTTTTTAAAACAGAAATACAGACGGAATGGGAATTTTGTATGTATTTCTTTATTAAACCTATTAGGCTTTTGTCACTAGGCCTCCCAGCGACTTACATTAAATAAAAATATATGCACATAAATAATACCATAGAAAAAGGTGGGGTGTTATATAATATTTCCGGATTCCCTCAGAAGGTGATGGACTCTCCTTCATTGGAGGTTTTTAAATTGGATGGACATCAAGTGAGGATTCTTCAGCTGTGATTCCTGCATTTCAGGGGGTTGGACTAGATGACCCTCAGAGTCCCTTCCAGCTCTACAATTCTATGATTCTATGGTAACATGCAACATATGTAAAAACAAAAGCCCAATGAACAGTAATAAGCAATACTAGCCATTAGAAATGGGTATTGTGTTTGCTCAGCTTGAAGCAGTGCCTTGGGGTGTGGGGGAGAGACTTATTGGAAATGCAAAAGGCTGATGGTGGTGTTTGGTGGTTAGGGGGATTCCCCCTCTCCCCAAGGAACAGCGTATTCAGCTCTGCCGTGTAAATGCTTACAGATTTGGTATGTATCAGTGTCACGGTATGACATTGAAGGTTTGACAGGCATTTAGGATGAGCTGTGTGAAGTGCTTTTTGAAGGAAGGTAGTCACTGTTCAACAGGGACGCAGGTGGCGCTGTGGGTAAAACCTCAGCGCCTAGGACTTGCCAATTGTATGGTTGGCGGTTCGAATCCCCGCGGCGGGGTGAGCTCCCGTCGTTCGGTCCCAGCTCCTGCCCACCTAGCAGTTCGAAAGCACCCCCAAGTGCAAGTAGATAAATAGGTACCGCTTTATAGCGGGAAGGTAACGGCGTTTCCGTGCGCTGCGCTGGTGCTGGCTCGCCAGAGCAGCTTCGTCACGCTGGCCACGTGACCCGGAAGTGTCTTCGGACAGCGCTGGCTCCCGGCCTCTCAAGCGAGATGAGCACGCAACCCCAGAGTCGGACACGACTGGCCTTACGGGCAGGGGTACCTTTACCTTTAGCCACTGTTCAGACTGTGAACTGCATGAGATGTTTCTTAGGTGCAGTGACTGTAGGGAGGAGGCAGCAGGATTGCAGCAGTCCCAAATAAGTTCATATCTACATCTCTATCGTGCTGCCACAATAGTAGCCCTTGTCCAAGATCTATTTTGCTGTTCTAAGTGTGGGGTTTTTTCTGCCTTGGGCTTTCTTTGCAATGGTCTCAAATTAGTTTTGTGGGGAGACCGCGGTATAATTTAGATCTTGCAGCACTTATGTCGACATCTTTGTGCTTCTATATCCATTGCCTTTATGAGAGCCGAACCTCTGAGGTAGCAAGAAATGATGACAAAAGGTTCTGTGGCAATAAATTTTAATGATATATTATGGCATTAGCTTTTGGGGATCAGAGTCGCCTTTATCAGATGTGTGAAGTGATAACTTCAATGGGTGGGTGAATATACTCTTGGGTTGAGAGGGAATGCATTACAGGCCAAGGCCAAAAGGCAAAGAAAATGCAAGATGGAATGGTCTGTGTGTCACATGGAAAGCCTGTGGGAGAGCGGGTTAGATATCATATGCCAGGCATGTCCAACAGGTCGATCGCGATCTGCTGGTCGATCACGTGGTGTTCCTGGTCCAACCTCTTCCTACTGCCCACACTGTCTCCTTCCAGTGTTTATTTCTTTCAACAGCTGCAGAATAGTTCAGTGAGTGCTCACCTGCTAAGTTGCTTTGCATGTTTTCCTTCCCTCACCACCTCCCACTATACAGTGGTGCCTCGCAAGACGAAATTAATTTGTTCTGCGAGTTTTTTCGTCTTGCGAGTTTTTTCGTCTTGCGAAGCACGGTTTCAATTTTTTCAAAAAAATCTTCAAAAACCTCAAAAAAGGCTACCACACCGCGTGCTATGAGTTGCTCCCCGAAGTCAAGTCGCAACTGCACCTCTTCAAGCAATGCACCCTGTATTACTGTAACAGTTTTAAGAAAAAGGAAACAAACTTGCAAGACGTTTCCGTCTTGGGAAGCAAGCCCATAGGGAAATTCGTCTCGCGAAGCAACTCAAAAAACCAAAAATCTTTCGTCTTGCGAGTTTCTCGTCTTGCGAGGCATTCGTCTTGCGAGGTACCACTGTAATGCATAAAACATTAGCCTACACTTTTCCATTTCACCACCGCACAATCATAGAGGTAAATCTCTATGGACACAATTTTCTCTTCTAGTCCCTTGAACTGTTTCTGAAACAGCTTGTGGGAGGAAGGCATGCAGAGACGGAAGCAGTTCAGCAAGTGAAGGACAAAGGCTGCTGCTGTCTCTCTTCTCCCCACCCATCTGAGTTGCTCTGGAAACTACAGGGAGAAGTGTCACCAGAGAAGCAGTGGCTCGATGACAACCACTTTGTGACTAAGAGGCTTGAACCCTTCTATCCTTAGTTGCAAAATCCATTCCTGAGCCCAGGCTCTCAGAAGTAAAGTGTCTGTCCCTCATGACTCACTGTGCTGGGTCAAAGCAGAGACCTTGCAAGGCAAAGCCAGTCAGTGCCTCAGAAAAAGAAAGCAACACATTCCTGTAAAGGAGTGAGTATTCACATTGGTCTGCAACAGCAAAAAGTAGACATCTTGAGAAGAGAGAGTAACCCAGATCAAAGTCTCCTTTGTTTTTATTTTTCTTTGTTGGACTATGCTGGCCATTGGACTGCCATTGGAGCATTCCAGCCCTATAATTATATTACCCTTGCAAATAATTTTATAGGGAGTGATGACACACACACACATCCCTACTTCCACCCCAACAGTTATGTAGTTCACCTTTCTGATTTTCTTCCATCTTTAAAGGGCTGCACCATATGTGGTGCTGCTGAAATTTGCAGCTTGGGCAATTGCATCATGGCAGTTGCAACCTGTTCCAGATGAGTAGCGCATTTAGTATCTTAAGTCGCATCAGCTTCTCCTCTGGATGAAAAAAACAACCCAGAAAGGCGGTGACATGAGTTTCAAATGCAAATATATCCCCAAACTTGTGATCACAGCATAAGGTTTACATTATCAAGCACAAATCACAGCTGCAAGGAGATTATTTTTGGAGACGAGTGCCCTAAATGAATGCGCATTCCCTTTAGACCTCAAAACCTGATCATCCTATAATTGCGCGGCTGCAGTTGCTGAATGCTCCAATTGTTTTAATTGTGACGTGGATATTGTGCTGCTTGCCACAGAATATAGCCATGCTTGGACAACTGCCAAGGAAGTATAAGGGCGTGGAGCTCGTGGTGGTCAGAACGACCTGAATTAAAAGCCTGGTTGCTTCTTTGTGTTGACTGTCCTGAAATTCTTCCTGGTGTTGCAGAGGGAAGGTTTAGTTTGCTTTTGCTGTGGTTTTTGTGTTAAATAGAACACAAAGAATGGCAAGCACCTGCAGAAACCAGTTTGGAGAATCTTGCCCATTAACCATAAGATGAATGTAAATGAATAAGTTCTTTGCCTACATCAGCAAAGGAGAACCTGTAGCCCTGCAGATGCTGTTAAAACTCTTGTTATCACCTATCCCTGCCAGCATGACTACTAGTCAGGGAAAAGGAGAGACAGGGAAGGGGGATCATAGCCATTGATAGCCTTATTCCCCATGAATTTGTCTAGTCTTTTAAAGCCAGGGTAGAGGTCATCGCTGCATCTTCATATCCACATCTATAAGACCGTTCTAGATGGGAGTCTCGTGTTTATTTATTTCATGTTTGAATCGTTCCACATAAAATATCCCAGAGGGATTTAACAATAAAAACAAGTTCAAGTCCAGCATAGATAGCCTGGGATGAAAATCTGCACTTAAAAGACTTAGTGAAAAAGGAAGGTCTTCAGTATGTGCCCAAAATATAATAGAGACAGGGCTTCTCTGATATGCGAGACATGGGAAGGGATGGAGACTTTGAGGCATTCTAAACATTTGTTTATTGGGAGAGGTGATGACATTGAGTAAGGATTTTCTTCGGGGTGAGGATGTATTAAAATGTTGCTATATTATTTGTCTTTACTTGCCTTAACTATATCCAGTTCTAGGCATTTATTGGAAAAAGAAATACTCTTTCTTGCCTTGGGAATTTCTCCAGCGAACAGCTGGCGGAATGCAAGATTTGGGTGTGGATTTGCTCAGCAGGCGTGTGAGTCAGCGAAAGAAGCATTACAGTATTGGCAGCAAATCATCGTGCCTGGCACTGCGCGGGTGAGCTGATAACTTAGAAATGCAGAACTACCCTGTCTCAGTCTCAGCACTGGAACTGGAAGCTCTGCAGGGTATGCAGATTTTGGGGTTTGACTCTCCTACCTCTGCAATTAGGTATTTGGATAAAGTTCACTTCTGCCCCCATGAAACCTCTCTCCAGGCAACTGCTTGTAGGCATTTTCCAGAGGGTCTACTTCATCTTTCACCTCCTACTGATAAGTAGCAAGATTTTTCCACCAGGCTCCCTCTGCTTCCTTTATCTGAACCAGATCCTTTCCAACCTACTTTGCGTGAAAAGGCGAGTTATTTCCTCATTCCATTGCTTTGTTGATACTTTGCCCAGAATGCGGGATTATCAGGCATTGTTAACAGCGTGCAATTTTTTTCTGGGTGTCAAAACCCACCCTCAGTGCAAAGACCAGCAAACTTTCACTCACTTTGAAAGTTTTGAAACCCGTGGCAAGCATTCTTTAGCAATACAAGAAAACATTCCTTTTATTCCGGACCCGTGAAAGGTCTGCACGGGTTCTGCTTTTCAGCCTGGAACTAGTTTCTGCCTCTTGTCTTTCAAACCTCCTGTTTCCCTCTGTTCCAAGGTGTGCAAAGCTCTGCTCTTTTCCAGATATGTTGGGCTTCACTCCAGAAGCATGGACAAAGCCCATGGATTCCATCTAGTCTATTTACTCTTGCATCCCACTTGGTATGAAATGTTGGGGCTCTGTGGTGTACATTGGCTTTCAGCAGCTCTCCAGGGTTTCAGGTAGGAGTCGTCCCCCCCCCCCCCCGGCAGTGTTAGAAATGTATATACTGTATATAAGCTATCTAGGTGCCAAATGGCTCCTCAAACCAAGGTTACAGTCACTAAAATGGAATTTCTAGTTGGCATTTTGGGGCAAGACGGCTCTAAAGTTTTATTTTTCAAATGATGAACCTACTGTGAATCATTCTCAGTTAAACATCTGGCTAGCTCAGATGACAACCTTGAGGTAAGTTAAGAGCTCTGAGAACTTAAAGAAGAAAAGTCACTTTATCTCGGGACAGTCCATATCATGGGTAGGCAAACTACGGCCTGGGGCCAGATCCGGCCCAATCGCCTTCTCAGTCCGGCCCGCAGACGGTCCGGGAATCAGCATGTTTTTACATGAGTAGAATGTGTCCTTTTATTTAAAATGTATCTCTGGGTTATTTGTGGGGGCTGCCTGGTGTTTTTACATGAATAGAATGTGTGCTTTTATTTAAAATGCATCTCTGGGTTATTTGTAGGGCATAGGAATTTGTTCATTTCCCCCCAAAAAATATACCCCAGCCCCCCCCCCCAAGGTCTGAGGGACAGTGGACCGGCCCCCTGCTGAAAAAGTTTGCTCGCCCCTGGTCCGTGTGTGTATATATATATATATATATATATATATATATATACATATATATATAGGCCTATTCCGACCTCTTTTACTTAATGGTGACTGCTCCTGCTCAGGCTGCACAGAAAAAGCATTTTGGTTCCAGAAATTCATTCTGATTGTGCAGATAAAATACAACTTATAGAATTCTACAGGGTGGGGCATTAGTGTGTGAAAACAGTCAAGATCCAATGATCCCCAGGCATGCACCTCCATAAGGTGGAGATGTCGGGTGCCATCCTGGTGCCCAAACATCTTCATTTGGTTGCAAGTAGCCAAGTAGCAGATGCTCTACCACCAAGCTATGGTCCAGTGAGGAGTGTGGCCATTTCTGGTGACCAGGCAGAGAGAGCCTGAGGTTCCCTGATCCCTGTCTCATAAAGTGAGGAATGCAGGGGGTGGTTGTGTCACAGTCCCATACAGAGCACCGTAAACATGAGATCCAGCAAAAAGAAGTTGGCGTGGGTGTGAACCGGTTCCCAAGTGGTTAATGTACTGGCAAAACAAGTTAAGTGGTATACATTAAACACCTTAAAGAGAGCCGGGATGGGCCAAGGCAGAGCGAGACGAGCCAGGCTTGTCGTTCCTGTGTTCTTGTATTTAGCCTCACAAAAAACCCTGTGTGCTGGTTTTACGAGAGACCCATTTTGGGAATATTCTAAAGACGTTTCCTCTGTAAGTTAAAGAGAAAGCGTACAAAATTTAGCAGTGCCTCTAAGGTCAGGGCGAAACCTTCTATACAAATATTCTGCTGTTGAATTGGCGTGGTTTAGTATTCAGATTTGCACCACTGTTTCAGAAATAAATATTTGAAGACATATAAATGGAAAACTGGATTTAAATCAGTTAATTGGCCTTTTTTCCACTGCTGACTTAAATAGTCAGCATAACTGTTGATATTATATTGCTTGGAGTTAACTCAATCTTGGGCTACTGCTGAAAACAGAATGCTGGGCTTAGAGGGGCGATCTGGTTCTGCAACAATCTGCATAAGATTCTTGGGCCCATTCTCCTTATGACTGAGGTTGGGAGGGTGGCACTGCCAACTTCTGCAGTCGGGGAGTTAACACCTCTTCTGGGTTTTTAACTGAAGCTGAACTCTTGATTATCAGGATGCAGCGTGTCTTGACTGATACTGGTCTGGTTCAGACGTAACACTAAGCCACTGTTTTTTAAGTTACGGTTTATTAAAGCATGACTTAGCATTACGTGTGAACTCTGCCCAGCAGCTCAACTATGGTTTGTTTATTGCCAACAAACCATGATCTGAAGCTATGATTTATTGTTGGCTTGTTTTGTTTTAACCTGCAGATCCTTGACCTTGGTTTGTTCATCCACCCCACGCAAGCCATTGTTTGATCCTGGCATAACCCATTGTTAATTCATGGTTTGTTGCATTATTTGATGTTAACCAGGCTATTGTAAGTTATGCATAGTAAGGAATGCAGGATTCAAATGCCCTCAGGCAATAGGGTCACAGGGCTATTAGCCTTTCCTATCTAAAACAATGGTGTGCCTGCATCAGTTTCTGGTTTTGCCTCTTCCCAACAGCTCACTGCAGAACTTTTGCACAAAATGAGACATGTAATGAGCAGCTCATGGTTATACGAGGCAGGGAAATTTCTGCCAACAGAATCCAGAAGGAGGAAATGGTTGCATCTCCTCAGTTTGGAAGTGCTGTTAGGAGACTGAGCTAATAGCCTCCAATAGCCCTCTCCTCTATGTGTTTGTCTAATCCTTTTTTAAAGCCATCCAAGTTGGTGGCCGTCACAGCCCCTTCTGGAAGCGAGTTCCCTAGTCTGACTATGCGCTGCATAATGAAGTACAGTGGTACCTTGGTTCTCGAACTTAATCCGTTCTGGGAGTCCTTTCGACTCCTGAAACCTTTCAAAAACCAAGGCGCAGCTTCTGATTGACTGCAGGAGCTTCCTGCACTCAAACAGAAGCCATGGAAGCTGCGGTGGACATTCGGCTTCTGAAAAAGGTTCGCAAACTGGAACACTTATTTCCAAGTTTGCGACGTGCGGGAGCCAATTTGTTCGGCAACTAAGCCATTCGGGAACCAATGTACCACTGTGCTTTCTTTTACCTCTCCTAAATCTTTCAACAACTAATCTTCCAACTTCTGTTCTTTATTTCTTTATTTTTTAAAAAACAATTTTCATTGGTTTTTAAACAAATACAATAACCATTAAACACTTATCCAGCAGTATAGCTAACGATGTTTGTTTGATCCATTGTCTCTGGGCATACGGTCAACATTCAAGCAGGTTACTTAGCATAACCTCTCCACTGAGATTACTGAGCAGTTGGTGTAAGAAGGTCTTGATTTTAGCCATTCACATAGTTCAAGAAAGGGCTCCACGTTTCTTGGAAGCTGCCTCTATCTGTTATGCCTTTAATTGTCCTCCTGTGTCTGGTGAGACACTCAGACATTGCTGCATCCCAGATACTATTTCCCCATAACTTGAGGGGCATTTCAGTCTGGTTCTTCCATTGCTGAGCTACCGCTAATCGTGCTGCGGTCAGCAAGAAACCTGCTAATTCACTGTGGTCCCAATGTTCCTATGTAGAATAGAGTCTATGGAAGCCCCCAGCGAGTCCTGCAACTGCAGAGGAAGCTGAAAAGGTTGTGCCATGTCGCTGGGACCTTTGGAAGAGACAGGTCCTTGGCTCATTTTGGTTAAGTTCTCTGCTTTGTATCCGTCCCGTCCCCCAACAGCTCAATCTTTTGCCCACTACTTTTAACCGAGTGCTAAAATAAGCCCTGCCACTGAGTTCTCTCTCTCCACACTTCTCTCTCTGTTCTTGCATTCCTGCTGGGTCATGGGAGAAAGACCTTCCTGGCTGCCAGCTGGTTTTTACTGCCCTCTTGTCACTATGGCAGATAAGAGGCGGCTCAGAGGAGGACTCAAAACATTCCCACCTTGACCCTCTTCCGCTAGAAAGACTGCTGGCTGTTGGCAGCTCAGAGGATCTGCTCCTCTGATCAACCCGCTACACACAGAGTCCTTTTCTGACTGCTGGTTCCCCTCACCCTTCTTCTTTTTATTATTTTATTTTTAAAAACAACCACGCCTCATTCGCTCCCGCAGGTCTTTCCAGCTGAGCTGCCAGACGCAATTCACGGGATGGAACCCCAGGGCTCAGCCAGGCTGAACTCCAGGAAAAGGAGAAAAGAAGGGGTGGGCCCCAACGGGGCAGCCGAAGCGGATGGCATCCCCTCCAAAATGCCACGGAACTGCTTGGTAAGTAAAAGAAAAATGGACAATTCTGGCAGGAAGTTTCTGCTTAATGTTTAACTTAATGACGCATGCTGAGCTCCAGCCCTTTCGGAGCCAAAAGCAACCCTCCTTGGCTAACTTAATACTTACCAAGGATAGATTTTAAAGAAGGGTTTTTTAAAAATAAAAATAATAAAGCAATATCAGAGTTGTGGGCGTTGCTGTTTTGCTTCCTGCTTCTTTTAACAGCCAGGGCTCTGGATTGCACATTGTGCCAAAGCGATTCAAGGTAAAGGGACCTCTAGCCGTTAGGTCCAGTTGCAGACAACTCTGGGGTTGCAGTGCTCATCTTGCTTTATTGGCCGAGAGAGATGGCGTACAGCTTCCGGGTCATGTGGCCAGCATGACTAAGCCGCTTCTGGCGAACCAGAGCAGCGCATGGAAATGCCATTTACCTTCCCGCCGGAGCGGTACCTATTTATCTACTTGCACTTTGACGTGCCTTCGAAGTGCTAGGTGGGCAGGAGCAGGGACCAAGCAACGGGAGCTCACCCCGTCGCAGGGATTCAAACCGCCGACCTTCTGATCGGCAAGCCCTAGGCTCTGTGGTTTAGACCACAGTGCCACCCGCATCCACTAGCAAGGTCTAGTGATTCTTGTTCTTGTTGTTAAGGTTTAGTCGTTTCCGATTCTTCGTGACCCCCTGGACCAGAGCACGCCAGGCACTCCTGTCTTCCACTGCCTGCCGCAGTTTGGTCAAACTCATGTTGGTAGCTTCAAGAACACTATCCAACCATCTCGTCCTCTGTCATCCCCTTCTCCTTGTGCCCTCCATCTTGCTTAATGTTCATAATATTGCATTTGCCAGTCCATTGCCCTCCAGATGCTTTGAACCGCAACTCCCGTCAGCCCCACCTTTCACGGCCACACTCACGCCAGCCTAGGCATGATATGTCCCTGCTGGCAAGGGCTGATAGGACTTGTAGTCCAAAACATCAGGATGGCACCAGGTTGGCAAAGACTGCTGTAACGTGATGGCTCCCTACTGTCCCTTCTCAAGAGAAGACTCCCTTATTCTAGCAATCATTCTCTCTAGCTGTCATCTCAGATTAGGACTTCTCAGCTGATGCCCCCGGTCACCTTCCTTCCTCATATCGGATTGCAGCGCTTTGCCCTTCTCGGCTGTCTCTCCCCTGCTCACTGGCTGCGCCTCTGACCCAAACTGGAAAGCAGGGCTGCGAAGCGGTTGTGGAGCTGGAATCTCTCCAAGTGGACTGGTCCAGTCCCAGAGGCAGCATCGTTCTTCCCCCCCCCAAAAAAAAAAAGTTAATTGGTTTTCACAACATTATAAACAAACACATAAGACAAACAAACATAAATCATAGCCTTATTGAAAATTACACTTATTAACATTGTTAAGTGACTTCCTCGCTTCCCCTTGGTTGAATTTCATTGCATATCCTTTTAACGGTTTTCGAAATCACAGTTCTTATAAAATTTAACTTAAACATTAACATCCTTAAATCTTCACATTATGAAATTAAACATATTAATTCATCACTTAACATAAATAAAATCCTAAGCCAGTTAAGTATCTGCAAGCTGTTTTCAGTTAATTTAACTTAACATATTTAACTAATCCACTCTTCCTGATACTCCTCCTCCTTCTGGTCACGGACTCTTCCGGTTAGGTCGGCTAGCTCCGAAAAATCCATCATCTTCATCTGCCATTCTTCTATCGTTGGTAATTCTTGGGTTTTCCACATTTTAGCTAACAAAATACGAGCAGCAGTTGTGGCATACAAAAATAATTTAACATCTTTCTTGGGCAATTCCAAACCTGTTATTCCAAGAAGAAAGGCCTCTGGTTTCTTTATAAATGTATATTTCAGCATTTTTTTCAATTCATTATAAATCTTTCCCCAGAAGTCTTTCACCTTGGGGAAGGTCCACCACATATGATAAAAGGTTCCTTCCTTTTTTTACATTTCCAACATAAATTGTCACAGTTATGATATATCTTTGCTAATTTTACAGGAGTCAAATACAATCTGTACATCATTTTCATTATATTTTCCTTTAACACAGTACATGCGGTGAACTTGACCCCTTTCTTCCACAATCTTTCCCAGGCAGCATCGTTCTTAACAACTAAGTACTGCAACGAAAGGTTGCACAGGATTTGTTGCTATTCCTGAATGCCAGCCTGCTAGCCGTGGCTTTAGAGAAGGGGTGGAGGTGACCAAAACAGCTCAGCAGCGGTGGCAGCAGCAACTGCCAGAGTGTAAAACCCAACTACAGGGCTGTTGTGTTGCAATTGGGCAAGGAAGGGGGTGTGAGAGGCTCTCTTGAGCATCTTTCTCCCCGCATGCTTTCTCCACAGACATCTCCTCCCTTGGGATGCAATAAGCTGTGAGGGGTTTGAGTGAGTCACTTCACTCTCGGCCTCTCAGATTCCCTGTTTTCTTTTCCAGCTTAACAATCAAGATTCCATGGCTCCTGGGACCAGTGAGCCTGCTCAGCCCCATTTTAGAGATCTTATAATAATAATAATTTTTATTTATACCCCGCCCTCCCCAGCCAAGGCCGGGCTCAGGGCGGCTAACATGCAATAATAAAAACAAGTTGAATGAATACAACTTAAAAGCAAGATTAAAATACAACAGTTAAAATATTGAAACATTAAAATATTAAAATGCAGTCTCATCACAGGAGGAGAAAGGAAAAAGGAAAAAGAAAGGGGGAGGGAATCAAATTGGCTCCAAGCCACAGGCCAGGCGGAACAACTCTGTCTTACAGGCCCTGCGGAAAGAAACCAGATCCTGCAGAGCCCTGGTCTCATGAGACAGAGCGTTCCACCAGACTGGGGCCAGTGTTGAAAAGGCCCTGGCTCTGGTTGACGCCAATCTAACTTTCTTAGGGCCCGGGACCTCTAGGGTGTTGTTATTTATGGTCCTTGAGGCTCTCCATGGGGCATACCGGGAGAGGCGGTCCCGTAGGTACGAGGGTCCCAGGCCGTGACTTCTGTACACTGGGAGGTTCCCACCCCCAGCACACACACACAGAAAAATACGTGATTCCTCCCATCTTCTCTCTCATTGACTCCATTTTTTTACAGCATGGGGACACTGAAGGTTGATAAACACAGCGCCAGAGAGAGGCCCTTGTGGTGGGTTTTGAGGAGGAATTTGTAGAGAAAATGCATATTAAGCTTCTATGCCTACAGCTCCTTAGTTTTTTTATCATGATTCCAACTCTGAATGCCAGGACAAGAAAGGGGTGGCAGCGGAGAATGGAGAGAGAGAGGAAAAAAAGAGACGAAAGAGGTTCCTTTGTTCGTTCCAGAAAAAGAAGTAATAAGACAACAGTGGTATATGAAACCTTCGGAATCTCTGGATTTTATGTGGAATTAGTTCCCACGTTCCACAGCAAGAGAAGCTGAATTGCAAATACAGTGGTGCCTCTGTTTTCGAGTGTCTCAGAAGCCGAACGTTTTGGTTTTCGAACGCCGAAAACCCGGAAGTAATTGCTTCCATTTTTGAACGCGCCTCGGAAGTCAAAAAGCTTACATTGCGTGTTTTTCAGTTTTTCCAATTGAACTTGCAGCCAGCCCTTTGCGCCTCGGTTTCCGAACATTTTGGAAGTTGAATGGTCTTCCGGAATGGATTATGTTCCAAGGTACCACAGTATATATATATATATATATATATATATATATATATATATATATAGCCCTGCACTTCAGCAAGTTGGGTCACTGGGCCATCTCATCCTGTGCTCAGACTGACAGTGGCTCTTCAAAACATAAGTCAAATGACTTTCCTGCTACCCAGGAGCAGAAGAGCCCTGTAGCTGAATCAGGCCCCTCTAGTCCAGCATCCTGTTCTCGCGGGGCCAGCGAGGTGCTTCTGGAAATCCCCCAAGCAGGGCCTGAGTGCAGCAGCTCCTCTACTCTTGTGACTTCCAGCAACTGGCATTCAGAGACACGCTGCCTCCTGACGGTGGAGAGAGAAGACGTCCATCTTTGATAGCCATATCTCCCACCAATTTGTCTCATCTTTTAAAGCCAACCAGATTGGTGGTCATCGTCACATCCTGGTGGGAGTGAGTTCCGTAGGTTAACTACACGCTGTGTAAAGAAGGGCTCTCTGTTGTCTGTCCTGAATCTCCCAACGGTCACCTTCATTGGATGAAGTGGACGTGGCGTTCTCTGAAAGCGGGAGCTCTGTGACCCCTTCAGACACTCACTTGCTGCAATCTTTCCATAGCCTTGGGCCTCTTCCCCGTTTGGTCTGTTTTCAGGTCTGATTCAGTGCTGAATCAAGATGCCCTTTCGCCCCTCTGTGTTGAAGCTCACCTACTTTCTTGATATCCTTTTATAATTTAGGGTCTCAGGGAGCCAGCTCCATTTTCCGATGAGCTTGAAGTGGACTACAGCAAGCCATACATCCGAGTAACGTTTGATGAAGCATTAAGGGGGACGCCATGTAAGTACCATATTTTTCGCTCCATAGGGCGCACCTAGTTTTTAGAGGGGGGAAATCAAGAAAAAAAATCTTATTTCCCCCCCAGCCCCAAAGAGCAGCGTACAGGCTGCGCGCAACCTCTCCCTGCCGGAGGGGTTGCGCGCGGCTATGGCACAAGCCAAGGCAGGGAGCGGGATGGATCCCGCTCGCTGTTTTGGCTTCCTCTTTAGCCCCGCGCAACCTCTCCCTGCCGGAGGGGCTGCACGCAGCTATCCCTGAAGCCTTCCGAGCGCAGCGCAAGTTCCCGCTGCGCTCCTCAGGCTTCGGGTTCCTTTTGCTGAAGCCGGGAGAGCAAGACTCTCCTGGCCTCAGCAAAAGGAACCTGAAGCCTCCAGAACGCAGCGGAAACTTGTGCTGTGCTCCAAAGGCCTTCAGGCGGCTATCCCTGATGCCTGGGGAGCGAGAGGGGTCGGTGTGCACCGACGCCTCTCGCTCTCCAGGCTTCAGCGAAAGCAATGGGAAGCCTCCAGAGCACGGAGGGAGCGCTCCCTCTGCGCTTCGGAGGCTTAGCGTTGCTATCGCTGTAGCCAAGGAGCCTGCATTCGCTCCATAGGACGCACACACATTTCCCCTCAATTTTTGGAGGGGAAAAAGTGCGTCCTATAGAGCGAAAAATATGGTAATTCTCAAAGCGCCCAGTTTTGAGTAAGTGGGGAGAGGGATTTATTTCGGTCCAGCCCCTCTCAGCAGTGACTTGAAGGAATCTGTGGTTTATAGAAATGATGATGATGATTTACTTTTATGCCCCACCTTCTCCAAGGAGCTCAGGGTGGGGTTACATAGTTCTCTCCCTCCTCAATTAATCCTCACAGCAACCCTGTGAGGTAGTTTAGCCTGAGAGGCAGTGACTGGCACCCAAGGTCACCCAGTGAGCTTGATGGCTGAGTGGGGTTTTGAACCCTAGTCTCCAAGGTCCTACTCCAGGGGTCAGCAACCTTTTTCAGCCATGGGCCGGTCCCTCAGACCTTGTAGGGGGCCGGACTATATTTTGAAAAAAATAAATAAATGAAGAAGTTCCTATGCCCCACAAATAACCCAGAGATACATTTTAAATAAAAGCACACATTCTACTTACGTAAAAACACCAGGCAGGCTCCACAAATAACCCAGAGATGCATTTTAAATAAAAGGACACATTCTACTCATGTAAAAACACGCTGATTCCTGGACCGTCCACAGGCCGGATTGAGAAGGCGATTGGGCCGCATCTGGCCCCTGGGCCTTAGGTTGCCTACCCCTGTCCTACTCCAACCCAAACCACTACATTTATTATAATCCCCTCATCTTTCCACCCAATCCCCTTCTCCACCCCGTCTGGGTGGGTGCCAGCTGAGAGGTCCATATATATAGCAAAACACAATAGCTGCTCCCTCACTCGCTCATTGTCCCTATCAAGGATGCTGTGATCTCAAAGGGCTATATTTAATTCTTATCGAAACGCCCTTCTGGATCTATCAAAACTGGAGCAGCCTTTAGCAAGATGGGTTTTTCTTTTCTTTTCTCTGCCCTCCCAGCTTCCTTCTCAGCAGAGATTTGCCCTCCTAATCCCCAGTCAAGAGTTCAGGAAGGCAAAGGGAGGGTTTGCCTCTGGGCTTCCTTCTGCTGACGTGAGTGCAAAGTGCAGAGCCCCACCTCACAATGCAGCTGCGACATCCCCTTAATCTCTCTGCTAATATCTGCGAAGTCATGGGAGGTGAGGCTGAGCTTGCCCTTTCAGTCTATCAGATCAGAGAGCGGCTTTGTGGCCTCAGCAGGTGGGCGGTGCCTGGCTCCTGTGTACCCGAGAGCAAGGAAAAGGCCGAGGATAGGGGAGAGCAGGCATAAAGGCAGAAGAGGCCAGTCGCTCAGAGAAGCAAGCAAACCTTCTGAAAGGTCATGGCTTGACCTGGCCTAGCCTGTTGGTGAAAGGAATTCTAGTTGGATGGGTCCCCCAAGGGTCATCTAGTCCAACCCCCTGCAATGCAGGAGGCTTCCTTGGCCAGTTTCCCTCCTGCTCCTTTCTTTGGCTGGTTATCTCCCGCTTGGACTACTGCAATGCGCTCTACGTGGGGCTACCTTTGAAGGTGACCCAGAAACTACAATTAATCCAGAATGCGGCAGATAGACTGGCGACTGGGAGTGGCCACTGAGACCATATAACACCAGTCCTGAGAGATCTGCATTGGCTCCCAGTACGTTTCCGAGCACAATTCAAAGTGTTGGTGCTGACCTTTAAAGCCCTAAACGGCCTCGGTCCTGAATATCTGAAGGAGAATCTCCACTCCCAGCGTTCAACCCGGACACTGAGGTCCATCTCCGAGGGCCTTCTGGCGGTTTCCTCCCTGCGAGAAGTGAGGTTACAGGGAACCAGGCAGAGGGCCTTCTCGGTAGTGGCACCTGTCCTGTGGAACGCCCTCCCACCAAATGTCAAGGAAATAAGCAGCTATCTTATCTTTAAAAGACATCTGAAGGCAGCCCTGTTTAGGGAAGTTTTTAATATTCAATTCAGTATTGTTTTTAACACTCGATTGGGAGCTGCCCAGAGTGGCTGGGGAAACTCAGCCAGATGGGCGGGGTATAAATAATAAATTTATTATTATTATTATTAGGCCACAGCTGGGCAGTGGCGCACAGGGTGAATCCCTGCCCGTCACCCCCAAGGTCCCCCGTTCAAGACCATTTGCAGAGCACAGAGTTAATCTTTGGAACTCACTCCCCCAGGAGGCAGGGATGCACACCACCTCGGGTGGCTTTAAAAGGGGACTCAGCCAATTCATAGAGGAGGGTCAGGCTCTCAATGGCTGCTAGTCACAATGGCTCCAGTCCGCCTATACTGTTGGAGGTGTCATGGCTCAAAATGACAGTTGCCCCTGCTCTCGGATCCTGCTTCTGGGCTTCACACAGGAATCTGACTGCCACTGTCAGAACAAGCTGCTGGACAAGAGGGGCCGCTGGCCTGATCCAGCAGACTTCCCGTACATCCTTATCTGCAGGCTCCAGGCTTGATAAACGGCCCTGATTTAGCCTTGAACTGGGGGTCACAGGCAGTTTGCTGCTTTGGGCAATGTTCATTTGTACAAACATAAGGAGAGCCTGCCAGGTCAGGCCAAAGGCTCACCTAGTCCGGCACTCTTCGGACAGTGCCCAGTCAGATTCCTGCGGGAAGCCCACAAACAGGGCCTGGGAGCAGGAGCAACTCTTGCGTCCCGGGGTTCCCAGCAACCGGCACCCAGCCAACGGCCGAGGAAGAACATAGGCATTGTGGCTACTAGCTCTTGGTAGACTTAACTGGCATGCATTTATTCACCATATTTTTCGCTCTATAAGACGCACCAGACCATAAGACGCACCTAGTTTTTGGAAGAGGAAAACAAGAAAAAAAATATTCTGAATCCCAGAAGCCAGGACAGCAAGCGGGATCACTTTGCTGCAATCCAGCTGGCTGTCCTGGTTTATGGGATAGCCGCGCACAGCCTCTCCCGGGCAAGGGGAGCCTTCATCCCCCTTCCCGGGAGAGGCTGCATGCGGCTAAGGCTCCCCCAAGAGCCACGCTCCACGTGGCTCTTTAAAGGGAGCTTTTACTTTTTAGGTGGGGGGAAGTGCGTCTTATAGAGCTAAAATACAGTAATCCTTATTTATAGCCAGGCGGCCATCACTGGGTGGCTGTCACTGACTCTATAGGAATTTGGTCAGTCTCCCCCATTTCCTCAAGGCATGGATCCCTCTTGCACATGGATATCCTTCCTGCGCATGTTGGAGCCGTGAGAAGGGGGTGGGGGGTCGAGTTTACAGCAGGGCGGAGTTGCTCACAATTATGCTGGTTCCAAAAATCCCTGCGCCATGTTGAACCTGTTTTTCCAGGTGTTATTTCATATGCTGAGATTTCCCTGGAAAATGCCTATTTGAGCAGATCTCTCGTGACCAGTGAAAATCTAATCGGTGCCAGAAAGTCATTACAGCCAAGGGGGTCCTTATTGCTGATGCACCAAGGAGCTGAAGCTGGAGGAGGAGGAGTTTGGATTTGATAGCCCGCTTTTTCACTACCCTAAGTAGTCTCAAAGCGGCTCACAATCTCCTTTCCCTTCCTCCCCCATAACAAACACTCTGTGAGGTGAGTGAGGCTGAGAGACTTCAGAGAAGTGTGACTGGCCCAAGGTCACCCAGCAGCTGCAGGTGGAGGAGCGGGGAAGCGAACCCGGTTCACCAGATTACGAGTCTACCACTCTTAACCACTACACCACACTGGCTCTCCAGTGATTAGAGATTAGGGAAGTCTCCTTGCTCGCCTGTCCTGATTGATTGCTGCTACTTTTGCAAATGCTCTGGATCTGATTGTGTCATTGAGTTGGAAAGGACCCCCGAGGGTCATCTAGTCCAACCCCCTGCAATTGCAGGGATCTCAGCTAAAGCATCCAAGACAGACAGCCATCCAACCTCTTCTTAAAAACCTCCAAGGGAGGAGAGTCCCAAGGGAGACAATTCCACTGTCGAACAGCTCTTGCTCTCCTTGGGAATCTCCTTTCTTGTAACTTGAAGCCATTGTCATTGTGGATTTGCCTGCAACCAGGAACTCTGAGGACTTGAACAAAGGAAGCTGTGCTTCAAGTCACTGCAAAGAGAACCACTCTAGTAGACAGAATCTTTTATTTGGGGTTGGAACAGGCTCTTGTGGAAGCCTTAAAGCACCTCACTAACAAGCTTTTCCTTTCTCCTCTTCTTAGTGGACAGACCAGTCAGGGTTTACGCCGACGGAATATTTGACCTTTTCCACTCTGGGCATGCACGGGCCTTGATGCAGGCGAAAAACCTCTTCCCAAACACGTACCTGATTGTAGGGGGTAAGGCAGAGCTCCTTTGACTCCATAAACATTTTGGAGGAAAGCTACCTGGCTGGGGGAACCACGCATTATATGTAACAAGCAGGTAGAGAGAATTTTTTCCTTCCTCTCTCATAATGCTAGGACTTGGTTAGATTCACCCAGGGATCTTGATTTGGCAGAAGATTCAGAGCAGACAAGAGAAAGTACTTTTTTCCCTGGAGGAAAAACATGGCCCAGAAGACAGCCAAGGAGGCTTGTCTAAAACGTAGGACCCCAGAGAGTGTTAAGTTGAAACTGATCGAACCCACAGCTGATCTGTATCACCTGTGCAGAAAAAATGAACAAGTCAGTATATGTTCCATTGCCATTTCAGAGCAATTTAGGTTTCATTCCATTAAAGTGTGTCCAATACGAAAGTGGGCCCCTCTCTAAGTTGCCATCATGGCAGTCATGTGTTGGCTATATTGGCCTGTCTTTATGCCCTACTGCCTTTTATCTGTTCCATTTGGCCAGATGTCACAAGGGAGGCTGTTCCCTCCCTGGGGTCCAGATGCCAAGCAAAGCTTCCTTCTTCCTTTTCCTGGGATACTGTCTTGACTTTGTAGCGTTTTAGCAAAGGTTTATTGTGCAGTTAGCTCTCTGTACAGTTTATTTCTGAGTATTTCTTAAAGTAATGCATACTGCCATTCCAAAAAGTGCCATTCCTTGTGTACAGGCTTGTGGAGATTTCTGAAAAAGCAAAACTCAGCCCTTTGTCCCAAGAAGTGTTGCGGGAGGGAAGGTGTTGATGTGAGCATGTGCACTTTGTTTCAGCCGGAGATGTAGTTTAAGGGGTTAAGCCAAAACAGTAGAATCGTGGAGTTGGAAGGGACCCTGAGAGTCATCTAGTCCAACCCCCTGCGATGAAGGAATCTCAGCTGAAGCATCCAAGACAGATGGCCATCCAAACTGTGCTGGAAAACCTCCAAGGAAGGAGAGTCCACAACCTCCAGATTAAATCCATTCCACTGACAAATAGCCCTCACTGTCAGAATGTTCTTCTTCTTACAAGAATCTACTTTTTTGTAACTTGAATCCATTGGGTCAGGTCCTATCCTCCAGAGGAGAGAACCAGCTTGCTCCATCTTCCGTGTGACAGCCCTTTAGATATTTGAAGACGGCTATCATATCTCCGTCTCCTCTTATCCAGGCTAAACATACCCAATTCCCTGGGAAGGTGCCATATCCTGAATCAGACCTAGTTTTGGCAGAATTTGTATCTTACCTATTCTCCCAAGTAACTCTTTAGATATCCAAATGGCATCAATTTTACTGGCGGATTTATTTGGATCTGAAAAATAAGTATAGTCCCTTTCTGTTAAATGTTTAAATCTCCATGCATCTTTTATATCCCTATTTTCTACCAGTTCAAAAAAACTACGTGGCAGCTTTCCTTCTTTTTCCCCTCTCTGTCCTATTGTTCTGTCCATCTCAGGGTTTGTTACCCCATTTAAATCTCCCATGAAGATCATTTTTTTCTTCTGTGTATTCCAGCAACCTTTTTCCTAGTTCTTTGAAGAATTCTACTTTTTTTTTTCATTGGGTGCATATATTGCAACTGGAATAATTACTTCTCCTTGATTTTTAATTCTAATTATTATTATTCTCCCACTGGAGTCTTTATGTACGTATCCTGAATCAGACCTGTGGTCCATCTAACTCAGTACAGCCTACACTGACCAGCAGCAGCTCTGTGGGGTTTTCAGGCAGGGGGTCTCTCCCAGCCCCCTGATGTCAGGGCTTGACCCCGGAACCTTCTGCATACAGCACAGATGCTCTGTCCCTGAGCTGCAGCCCTTTCCTAGATGGCACTGTGACGCCACGGGGTGTTCTCGGCAGGAGCTCCAGGGAAGAGGCGCCCCAGCGAGGACGGGCAGGGTTGCTTAAGAGGCTCAGAGCTCACGTTCTCACCCCGTTGCCCTTTCCACGATTGCAGTCTGCAGCGACGAGCTGACGCACAACTTCAAGGGCTTCACGGTGATGAACGAGGCTGAGCGCTATGATGCCGTGCAGCACTGCCGCTACGTGGACGAGGTGGTGAGGAACGCCCCCTGGACGCTGACGCCCGAGTTCTTGGCTGAGCACAGGGTAAAAGAGCCTCTGTGAAAGGTGGTTTGGAGGGAAGGGGGCTGGGTCCCTTGTAGCTCTTCCAGTTCTTAGCCTTACGGCCAAGTGGGATTCTCTGAGCCGTGGCAAAAGGAAGAAGAGTTTGGATTTGATATCCCGCTTTATCACTACCCCAAGTAGTCTCAAAGCGGCTAACAATCTCCTTTCCCTTCCTCTCCGACAACAAACACTCTGTGAGGTGAGTGAGGCTGAGAGACTTCAGAGAAGTGTGACTCGCCCAAGTTCACCCAGCAGCTGCAGGTGGAGGAGCGGGGAAGCGAACCCGGTTCACCAGATTACGAGTCTACCGCTCTTAACCACTACACCACACTGGAGCCAGACTCCATTCCTCCTGCCCTCTGATGGGGGACACCCTAGAGACCTGGCCAGTGGCAGCACAATGGGCTGAAAGGCCTTCCCTGCTCCGTGTCTTTTTGCCTGTCCCTGCTTGGTGCCCTCATCTACCAGGTCATGGGTTGTGCCGCAACCTCTTCTCTGCTACCCAGACTCCGCTGTTTTGCTAATGGCTATTGCTGTCCGATCCCACAGATCGACTTTGTAGCCCACGATGACATCCCCTATTCCTCGGCCGGCAGCGACGATGTCTATAAGCACATAAAAGAAGCAGGTGAGCTTGTGTCTCTGCAGTGGAACCACCCAGCCCTCCCGCGATGCCCTCTGGGAGGCTTGGGGCTGGCTCCCCTCCAGGCCAGTGCTGTGCAGAGCCTGTTCATTTCCCTACATGCTTCTAGAGCAGGCTTTCCCAATCGTGAGTCTCCAGCTGTTGCTGGACTACAACTCCCATCATCTCTAGCAAGCAGGGATAATTATTATTATTATTATTATTATTATTATTATTATTATTTATATCCTGCTCTCCCCAGCCAAGGCCGGGCTCAGGGCGGCTAACAAGCAATAATAAAAACAAGTTGAATGAATACAACTTAGAAACAAGATTAAAATACAATTAAAATATTAAAATGCAGCCTCATCACAGGAGGAGAAAGGAAAAAGAAAGAGGGGGAGGGAATCAAATTGGTGAGGCGGAACAACTCTGTCTTACAGGCCCTGCGGAAAGAAATCAGATCCTGCAGAGCCCTGGTCTCATGAGGCAGAGCGTTCCACCAGGCCGGAGCCAGTGTTGAAAAGGCCCTGGCTCTGGTTGAAGTTAATCTGATTTACTTAGGGCCCGGGACCTCTAGGGTGTTGCTGTTTATGGACCTTGAGGCTCTGCGTGGGGCATACCGGGAGAGGCGGTCCCGTAGGTACGAGGGTCCTAGGCTGATGATGGGAACTGTAGTCCAAAAAGAGCTGGAGACCCAAGTTTTGGAAACCGCTCTAGAGGATAGGACTGTCAGGGGCTGCTAGCCATGAGGTCAGAGGCAGCAATTCTTCTGAATACCAGTTGCTGGAAACCACAGGAGGGGAGAGTTGCTCTTGTGCTTGAATCCTGCTCGCAGGTTTCCATGGAGGCACAGGTTACAGCCACAGCAAAGGTGGCATTTTTCCATCTCCTCTGTATTAAGCAGTTGGTCCCTTACCTTTCTCGCCCTGATCTGGCCACAGTGATCCATGCGACGGTCACCTCCAGGCTTGATTATTGTAACTCGCTCTACGTGGGGCTGCCCTTGAAGCTGACCCAGAAACTCCAGCGGGTGTAGAATGCCGTGGCGAGACACCTTACGGGGTCCTTGTCGTGGGATCACGTTCATCCAGCGCTTTACCAACTGCACTGGTTCCTGTTGGAGTACAGGGTCAGGTTTAAGGTTCTGGTTTTGACCTTTAAAGCCCTATGTGGCCTAGGACCCACATACCTACAGGACCTCCTCTCCTGGTATGCCCCATGGAGAACCTTAAGGTCCACAAATGACAACACTTTGGAGGTCCCAGGTCTCAAGGTGGTTAGATTGGTCTCAACTAGGGCCAGGGCCTTTTCAGCACTGGCCCCGACTTGGTGGAATGCTCTGTCACAAGAGACTAGGGCCCTGCAGGACTTGACATCTTTCCACGGGGTCTGCAAGACGGAGCTTTTCCACCTGGCCTTTGGTTTGGACTCAGTCTGACCCTTCTGTTTCCCTCCCCTTATGGTTTTGATTTATGGGCTACTTGTAAAATGAGGCTGCATTTTAAATTGCATTTTCACCTGTATTTTAAATTGGGGTTTTTTTCCTTTTATGTTTTTATTGCAATTTTACTGGTGTTAGCCGCCCTGAGCCCGGCTCTGGCCAGGGAGGGCGGGGTATAAATAAATTATTATTATTATTATTATTATTATTATTATTATTATTATTATTAGCATCTGTTTGGCCAGTGTTGGACTAGATGGGCCATTGGAGATCAGTGAATTCAGGTGGGAGGGGAACACAGGGGCTGGGAAGCCCAAACCTGCTTCCTCCTCCTTTGTCCCTCCCCCCTTTCTCTTCCTCCCCACCTCACACCCCCAGTCTTTCTCATCATGCTAATTGCAAGCCTCCAAAAAGGGTACAGGGCCTTTCCAGATTGCATCATGGTGCCATGTTTATGGAGCCCTCTTGGGTCGACTGACTGCCCGCCCAACCCTCTCTCCATCTCCTTGCAGGAATGTTCGCACCGACTCAGAGAACCGAAGGGATTTCCACGTCGGACATCATCACTCGCATCGTCCGCGACTACGACGTCTACGCCCGAAGGAACCTGCAGAGAGGCTACACGGCTAAGGAGCTCAACGTCAGCTTCATCAACGTGAGTCCAGGGACCCCCAAATCCAGATCTTGCCACCCAGAGAAACACATTTCTGCATCTGCTTTGAGTCTGTGACAGAGCGAGGGGTTTTCTGTGTGCAGAATTTGGCCCTTCTGCATGGTGCTGTCCCCAAGGCTGCCGTTTTTCAGCGGCTGCCACCAACTTAGCCCTAACCCGTGATGACGGCCTCTCTCTGTTTTTGCAGGAGAAGAAGTACCACTTGCAAGAGCGCGTGGACAAAGTGAAGAAGAGGGTGAAGGACGTCGAGGAGAAGTCCAAGGAGTTTGTGCAGAAAGTGGAGGAGAAAAGCATCGACCTCATCCAGAAATGGGAAGAGAAGTCCCGCGAGTTCATTGGCAACTTCCTCGAGATGTTTGGCCCCGAAGGAGCTCTGGTAAGTAGGCAGCAAGGTCAGACGCCTTCCGCTTCTCTGCCTAGTCTCAGGGCTTGCATGCCCATGGGGTTGCCTCTAGCTATAAGCCCAGCTGCACTCTGCACGTGTGCCTGCGTCCTCTGCGCTGAACAAAGGCTGCACGTCCTACGTAGGCCTTTAGACCCCAAGGCCGCAGGTGGAGCCCCTCCTCTGCATCCGCAGCAGCCCAGGTTTGGTCTTTGGCATCTGAGGATTGAGCAGCGTGGAGGAGCCGTGAGCAGCCCCTGGTGGGCGGGGCCAGGGGCAAAAGTGGGCAGGGCAACAGGTGTCACTCAAAGCCAGGACGCGTTCCACCCAGGCACAAAGGAGAACCATTAAGGGGGTGTGGTCTGAGGACCAGGGGTGTGCTGGTCCCGTGGGTTACCCGAGAGGCGAGGTCCAAGTCCGGTCCGTGGTCAAAGGTGCAACGAGGAGGCAGTCCGTAGTAGCTGAAGCTGGGTGCAGGGCAGGGAGTTGGGTGAAGTCAGGAACAGGCTTGCAAGCAGGTAGCCAGGGCGGGTCAGGAGCTCCGGCAGGAAAGCAGGACAGAGTTCAGGCAGGAACTAGCAACCAACAAAGTTGCTCCCGCAACTTGTGGCTGGGGCTGGCCGGCTTTTATCTGCCCCGAGGCATAGGGCGGCCCCGATCCTCTGGTGACTCGCCTCTCCTGGCCTGGAGGCGAGCACTCCTCCTGTGGGAACTTAATTCTCTCTGCCCTGAGCCTCTCTAGCTCAGGAGAGGCTGGAGGGTTATTGGACCCAGAGGCAACCCCAGCTTCCTCTGATGGGGCTGAGAGTGGAGCACCTGCAGGCAATGGGTCCTCCCTCACCTAGGGAGCCAGAGCAGACTCAGCTGATGCCTGCACCTGAGGATCCAGCACAGGTGAGGACCCTTCAGGCTCAAGCCCCAGCCCCAGCTCAGCTGGTTCTGGAAGCGGGGACTCCTGTGCAGGCTGGGATCCCTCAGGTTCAGCATCCGAGTCCGAATCCCAGGCCATCACAGGGGGTGTGGCTTGGCTGTCTTCAGCCTCTGGGACTGAGGCTCCCCACATCCACCTGAGTTAGAAGGATCTCAGAGGGGAGTGTGGAAGAGGCCCTGGTCAGCAGCTGCTAAGTCAGAGCAGACAATACTGAACTGGGTGGGCCCCAGGAGATCCAACTCGATAAAGGGAGCCTTGTTGCACATGCTAACAGCAAACTCAGCTGGCGAGTTCAGACAGGACATTCCTGCATTTTAGGGGGTTGGGCTAGATGACCCTTGGGGTCCCTGCCTTGCACACTGAAAGTCTCAGGTTCAGTCCCCAACATCATCTCCAGCCAAAGGACTCCTGCCTGAACCTCTGGAGAGCTGCAGCCAGTACAGAGCCAGGTGAACTAATGGTTTGATGACTGGATAAGTGGCAGGGGGCAGGCCTGAAACTTGGAGCCGGTGCAAGTCCTCTGCATGGGAAGGACTCAGACCCAGCAGCAGAACACCTGCCTTGCATGCAGAAGGCCCCAGGTGCAGCCCCCGCTAGCATCACCAGGCAGACTTGGCAGAGACCCCTTCTCTGAAACCCTGGAGAGCCACCGCGGCTGGTCGGTGTGCCAGCGTTTCTCAGACCGGGTCCTCAGCTGTTGTTGAACTGCAACTCCCATCATCCCTGACCGCTGTTCCTGCTAGCTAGGGATGCTGGAAGTTGTAGTCCAACAGCAGCAGGACCCACTGCTGAGCTAGGCGGACCACTGGGTCTGATTCATAAGGCAGCTTCCTCTTCTTAATTCAAGTATTCTTAATGCGAGTTTTGCGGCAGGTTCCTGACCAGCGCTCTGCCTTTCCTCCCCAGAAGCACATGCTGAAGGAGGGCAAGGGGCGGATGCTGCAGGCCATCAGCCCCAAGCAGAGCCCCAGCAGCAGCCCCACCCACGACCGCTCCCCCTCCCCTTCCTTCCGCTGGCCCTTCACTGCCCGGACGCCCCCCTCGTCTCCGGCCAACGTCCCCAGGAACAAGTCGGCGGTGGCCTATGACATCAGCGAGGATGAGGAGGACTAGAGAGCCTGGACCCCACGGGGATTTCTGCAAATGCTGCTTCCTTGATGAGTCCCGCCTCCAGGCATGAAGAGAACCGCTGACGATGAGCTCCAGAGAGCGAGCGCCTCCCCCCAACCCGCCGCCCGAGGGCTGGGTCTGCCGTGGCAGCCCACCCGGGCAGCGTCCTCCTCCTCCTCTCTCGCTGAGGACTAGTGCCTTGGGGAGTGGGGCGCATTGTTGCGTTTGAACGCCTTCCCCACTTCCCCTTTCATTGGTTATTTGCTGTCTTGTTTCTTGGGGGAAACGGGGGGGAGGTGGCTCCAATTTTAAAGCAGGTATATTCCTTTTAAACTTTTAACCGGCCCCAGCCACTCGTGGAAATGAGCGCTCTGGTTGGCGGGGGAATTAGGGGGCTGGCAGAGCCGGGAGGCTGCCCTGCAGGCAAGCATCGTTGCCTGCCTGTCCCCAAGTCCCAGGGTGCCCCTGCCTCCTACAGGCTGCCTCCAGTTCAAGGCCCTTGAGCCGGTGTGAAGTCGAGGCAGTGCAGGAAGCGGTTACAGTAGAAAATCTGTAAAGAGAGAGAGAGGTGGCGGCTGGCTATGGAGTCACAAGATGCTTTTTGGGATGCCGGAGCGGAAGTTGGTCACCTTGCAAGCCCTTCTGTTCCCCCAGTTTGCTGGTCCTCAGGAAGACAAGTGGGAGGGGAGGCTGTGCAAAAAAGGGGGGTGGAAGCATGTCTGCAGATTCCCACTGTAACCGCAGTGAGGTTGTTGGGTCGTCTGCTCAGCCGCCTTTCCCTGCTTCTGGCGCACACAATAATAAAAGAAAAACTTCAGTTTGCTTCCCAAATGGGCAAAGTTGGCTTAAAGTTCCTGTGGATGTGCAGCAGGAGTAGCCACCCCCCCAGGCTTCAAAGACAAGTTGCTTGCTGCCGAATTGGAGGAGAACATCAGGCTAGCATTCAGGTGGAATGTACATTGCGTTGCAAAGCCAGAGCAGGGCTGAATGGGTGGCACTCGTTCCGTAGCATCCGGAAAAGCCACCCCGATTCTCCCCATTCTGAGACTTCTTGTTGGGCAGCGAAAACAAGGAAACTTGGGAACCTGTTAAAAGCTTAAATTTTATCCCTTTTGCGTGTTGTGCTTTAAGCAAAGGTTTGTGACCCCTTTCCTGGCGCCGGGTGTTTGGTCTTTGTTGACATACCCATCTCGCCTTTGTTGACTTACCCATCTCTTCTCAGAACGTCCCTACCTGACCCTAACGCCCTCCTGCCTCCCAGCTTCCAAAGTGCACCATGCAGCTCTGTCTGATCCTGCAACTCTGCTCTCCTGCCTGCCTGTGTCTGTCATAAAGGCCCAGTGGTCAGGGCTTTGCTGCCCACCCCGCACCCCTTCATGGGGAAGAGGGGAACTGCCCCATTGTGCAACTATGGCTGAGTGTCTGTTCTGTGCTCCCAGGAAAGGCCAGCAGCAGCACAGATCCAGCTCAGAGGGTGTGGCACACTCGTTGCGTCACCTCCAAACCTCCTGGGTGTTCGAGTGCAAACCCTGCCAACTCTCAGCTCTGCCTTGAGTAAGGTGCAAATGAATATCATGCAAAACAGCTGCTCTTTCAGTGAACTGCCCGGTGTCTGGGGGTGGTCCTCCTGTTGGCTTTTGTTGTTAACTGTGTAATAAATGTTCAGAGTTAACTGTCAGCTCCGCATGGATTTTACCTGGATTCAGTCCCTGCTTCTGATGTTTCCCTGTCAAGAACGATGCCAGCTGTCCCTTGACCATGGACGACTGCCCGTCTGGGTTATTTCATGAGTTAAGGTTTTTCTTAAGAGGTTGTCTCTTTGTAGGAAAATCAGCTTGTGAAATGTCTCTGGGGGGAGGAATTATTCGTGCTTTGAGAATACAGAGCAGGCAGACAGCCTCTGCCCACACTCTGTGAGCTCAGCGAGACAGCTTCACAGCATCCTGGCGCCCACACATTTTCTGGCATCAAGATTGTCCCTGGACAGGAACGGAGGTGTTGGCCAGATTGCCACTGTGGTGGTCAGTCTGGGCCATACACCGTCAGGATTTTTGGTGGGAGCTCACAAAGCAGACAGCGCCGTGCTCTCTCTTCCCTGTGAGTTTCCCCTGGTGTCTTAAAAATCTGAGGGAGAACGCATTTCTGTTCCTCAGCCTGCCTTCCCATTCCACAGGGAGAGGGGAGAGTCCTGGAAATGCCGGATTGCCCCGTTTTAACTCTTCAAAAGTGTGTTCAGTTGGATTGTTTTGAGACGCACTTCTGAACATTTGCACACTGTATAAAGTTGATTCACAGACGCAGGAACTGAGTTGCCACAAGGCAGATTTCCCTTCCATGTTATTCATGCGGTAAAATGTGCTTCTGAAAGTTTTCCCCAGTGCCGTGAAATTGCCGTGGTACGCATGGCCTCAGGATAATTTGTGTCTTTTCCTTTGAGGGAGCTCTTCCAAAAGATCAATTTGCCATGAAAACAGCGAATTGGAGGGAAATGGCACCTCAGGTTGGCTCTTCTGCCCCAGAAATTGTCTCCCAAATCGGCTCATCTGGAGACTGCTTTGGGAACAGGAGTGTCAGCGGCCTTTAAGGAATGACACTTAGGGAGCCAGCCATTCCGAAATGATGCTTGCAAAGGTCAATATAGAAGCAGATAAATTTGTTGGGTGACTTTTAAAAAAAACAAAAAATGGGATTTGGGGTGCTGAAACACTGACTGCTACATATTGCATTATACCAGTGGTCCCTCTCTCTAAGATGTAGATTTGTAGAGCAATGGTAGCAATGAAAGATCGCCTGCTGTGTGCTTGACTCTGTTTTGTGCCCTTTTCAAAAGAAGCCCAAAGGCCAGTACTCTTAACAGTACTTTGGCCCTGCGAAATTACTGTACAAAAGTGGGTTTTGGTTACGGACGTGCACAAATCTTGCACACCTGTAGTTCTAAGTGATGGCCCCTACACGGGTGTTGCTACACAAGGTAGGCTCTTCATAGAACAACCTGCTTGCAGCATTTGTGCAGATTTATGTAGTCATGTGTGAAGCACAGCCCTGTTGCCTCTGAATGAACTCACCTGGGCACTGCGTGATGCACCCCTTTTAGCAATATTTGGAGATTTCCATACTTCCCAAAGTCAGAGGGAGAAAATAGGCAAGGGTTATTAACTTCTTTGCATCCAGAAGCAAATAGTTTTCCACCACATGCATTTAGCCAGAAATTGCATTTCCTTCCTTCGCAGCTGAACAGGTGGTGGGAATGTCAACGAACTCTTCCACCCATACAGCTACACGCATTATTCATATGAGTCCTCAACACAGGTTTTTTGTTTTTTTAAAAAAAAGGTCATAATTGGGGAGGAACTGCTACACAGGGCAATCTCTGACTGTCCCAAGTTTCCACCCAGAGTAGAGTCCTTGTACTCTGGCCGATGTCAGTATTGTTATGAGTCCCATAATGGATTTGAAAAGCCACATGGTGGTATTTCACATATGCTAGCGGAACATCGTGGGACCCAAGCCATGTTTGGGCAGCTTTCATGCCACTCAAGTAACATCCAAACTAACCTTTTGTTGGCCATGCGAGAGTTGCAGAATTGAGGCACCTTCTGACAGCCGTCCATCCTGAAATACCAGCATTGAAGCATCTTGTACATTTGACCACGTGAAAAATGGGCCTTTGTGAAACTCCCGTCTTGCATTGTGGGGCCTAAGTGGCACATAATTTCTGTTCCCTATTACAGCTGCTGCGTTTTCCTAAAAGCCATATGAGATCTGGTCCTATCACTGCATTGTCGCAGGGCTTCTAACCAAGTCTTCAGGCTGCCTAAGGCTGCCCGGTTCAGGCCTTTTGAGACCAGCTCAATTCCTCAGTGACCGCCCTGCATCGTAAAGTTTCATCCAGGCTAGCTCTCCTGCTTCAGAGAGGAGCAAATGTGTCTATAGTACAAACAGTTATCAGTTTTTTAGCACTAATAAACAGGAAGAATTAAGGGTTTTTTAGTTTCCCCAACCTTCCTTGCTCGTTGGCTTAGGGAAGACCTGGAAGATCTCTTTTTAAGGAGCCAGGTTTTGACACTAGATGATTTGAGCTGCGTGATGTCAAGATTTCCTACGCTGGGCAAAGGCCATTCATGGTGTCCTTTGCAGGGAAGCCAACGTAAAAACGCCCAAACAGAAATCTTTAACTGGTTGCCTCAACAGACCTCTCTGTAGCCACAGAGACTGGTGGTGATGGATTTTTCTCTCCTAGCCATGCCTCTTTCAATCAGTGTTAAGCGTCCCAGTTTCCTGTCTGTGAATTGCAAGCTCCTGGTTCTGCTGCAAGCTGGATGGGGTTTGTTTTGTGCGTTCTTCCTTTTTTCTTCCACTTATGCGTTTTAGCCAAATAAATGTCATTTTACCCAAAATACTTTCGGGTTGTCCTTAATGTTTCAAAAATCAGCTTTCATCTCCCTGCTTCCTTATTGTGGCGCCAAGCTCTCATCTCACAAGCCATGCCAGATTTGCACAGCTCCCACCACAGGTCCCCATAGTGTTGGGTCACGAGGGCTGGGAGGACCACAAAGCGCTCAAATGGGAGATTCCTGCATTGCAGGGGGTTGGACTAGATGACCCCAGCGTCCCATCCAACTCTATGATTCTGTGACTCCAAAAGACACACTGTGACAGGATCACCTGTCCAAAAAACAGCAGTGCAGAGAATCCAAAAAGGGATTCTAATCACACAGGTATCTCCGAAAAATTTTACACATCACTCGGGAAGACAGGCGAACTAATGCCAGTGTATTGGAAGAAGCAAAGATCGCCAGTGTTGAAGCGATGATTCTTCAACATCAACTGCGTTGGACTGGTCATGTGCAGATGTCTTCCAAAGCGACTACTCTTATTTCCAACACAAGAATGGAAAGTGAAATACCAGTGGACAACCGAAGAGGTTTAAAGATGCTCTCAAGGCAAATCTTTAAAAATGTAACATAAGCACTGATAAGTGGAAAACACTGGCCTGTGAGCGCTCCAACTAGACTTCAAAGGTGTCATAGACTTTGAAGAGACTCGAACTCAGGACAAAAGGGAGAAATGGGCTAAGAGGAAGGCATGCTTGGCAAACCCTCGCTGTGATCAACTCCCGCCCAGAAACCCACCGTGGAAGGACGTGTGGATCCTGAATTGGCCTCCACAGTCACTTAGGGATTCACTTTTAAAGCCGTGTTCATGGAAAACAATCTTACTCGGCTACGAGGGATCGCCAAAAAAGAAGAAGACACTCTGGGATTACTTTTCATAGTAGGAGCGGGCTAGGGATTAATAACCAATACAGCATAAAATAGATTTATTCCATGGGCCCTGGGCATTTTTGACTATAGCTGCACAAATTACAGTTGTCCTGAAGTCATTCTTGTACAAAGGGTCATACGTCCATGTGCCTGTCCCAAGGCAGAATCAGTCCCTTGTCCCTTCCCCCTACAAGGAAGGCCACGTGTTCTTGAGATCCCAGAGCAAATGTTGGCAAGAGGGCTGGGGGCCTCCGATAGCCCTGCTGGGCACTCCTGTTCCTAGGCAGCCGAGAGACCGATTTCTGCTTTGCTCTCTGGCAAACCTCCGGCCGGGCAACAGCCTGGCTTGTCGTCCGGCTTCCTGTAGTACATCCTGGTCAGCACAGCCATGACGAAGGTTTCCAGGACCAGGAGCTGCGCGTGCATCACTACAAGCAAAGATGGAGGAGAATGAGTCCGGCCCTTTTCCCGGGGGAAGGTCACTGGCTTCTCCGCTTCCCACAAATGCAACCTTTGCCCACCTGGTGCCATCCAGATGTTTTCGACTACATCCCCAGTCATCCCAGCTGCAGGATGCCAGGGCAGATGCCTGGCATTAAAAGAGAAGGCAAGTGTTGACTCTCTACTCTGGTGGCAGAGAGTTCCGCAGGACCGTGCCGCTAATACTAAAGGCTCGGTTTCTTTGTCGAGCAGCAGAAAGGCCCTTAAAATTATTATTATTATTATTATTATTATTATTATTAATACCCTGCCCATCTGGCTGGGTCCCTCCAGCCACTCTGGGCGGCTTCCAACAAAACACTAAAATACAATAACCTAGTAAACATTAAAAGCTTCCCTAAACAGAGCTGCCTTTAGATGTCTTCTAAAAGTTTGGTAGTTATTTTTCTCTTTGACATCAGGTGGGAGGGCGTTCCACAGGGCGGGTGCCACCACCGAGAAGGCCCTCTGCCTGGTTCCCCGTAACTTGGCTTCTCGCAGCGAGGGAACTGCCAAAAGGCCCTCGGAGCTGGACCTCAGTGTCTGGGCTGAACGATGGGGGTGGAGACGCTCCTTCAGGTATACTGGACCGAGGCCGTTTAGGGCTTTAAAGGTCAGCACCAACACTTTGAATTGTGCTCGGAAACATACTGGGAGCCAATGTAGGTCTTTCAGAACTGGTGTCATGTGGTCTCGGCGGCCGCTCCCAGTCACCATTCTAGCTGCTGCATTCTGGGTTAATTGTAGTTTCCGGGTCACCTTCAAAGGTTGCCCCACATAGAGCGCATTGCAGTAGTCCAAGCGGGAGATAACCAGAGCATGCACCACTAGAATTGTAGAGTTGGAAGGGACTCCATGGGTCATCCAGTCCAACCCCCTGCAATGCAGGAATCTCAAATGACCTCTTGCCATCTGACCTCTGCTAAAAAAAAACCTTCGATGAAAGAGAGTCCATTGCCTTACGAGGGAGTCCTTTCCTCTGCGGAATGGCTCTAAGCATAATAAAGTTCTTCCTGATGCTTAGTCGGAATCTCCTTTCTCGTGACTTGGGGCCATGGGTTCGAGTCCTACCCTCCGGAGCAGGTGAAACCAAGCTCGCTCCCTCTTCCGTGGGGCAGCCCTCGAGATACTTTTAGAGAGCTATCCTTAACCGCTTCCCAGTTTTCTTCCTCAAGGGCCACTGCTACCACTCCACAACACACCCTCAGGATGCTTCCTTTCTTTTTGACACCCCCCCCCCCAAGAAAACCATCGGGTTTCCACTCACTCTGGGACCGCACTCTGGAGGAGAACGGTGGGGAGCAGGCGATTTGGCCGCCATTGCCCAGGGTGCTGAAGATGGAGGGCTGGAGCGCCGTCAGGATGAGGAGGACCTGAAAGCACAACCACAGAATAATAAGCCACTCTGGGCGGCTCCCAATCAAGTGTTAAAAACAGTACAGCATTACATATTAAAAACTTCCCTGAACAGGGCTGCCTTCAGATGTCTTCTGAATGTCAGGTAGTTGTTTATTTCCTTGACATCTGGTGGGAGGGCGTTCCATGGGGAGGGTGCCACTACCGAGAAGGCCCTCTGCCTGGTTCCCTGTAACTTAGCTTCTTGCAGTGAGGGAACTGCCAGAAGGCCCTCGGCGCTGGACCTCAGTGTCCGAGCAGAATGCTGGGGGTGGAGACGCTCCTTCAGGTCTACTGGGCCGAGGCTGTTTAGGGCTTTAAAGGTCAGCACCGACACTTTGAATTGTGCTCGGAAATGTACTGGGAGCCAATGCAGATCTTCAGATGTTCTGAAGCAGCGCTGACAATGAGGACCGGAAGCATGAAGGGGCTGGAGAAGCCTCTGGGGCGTCAGCACCCGGGCTGAGTTGGGCATCTCATTTGGAAAGTTGGCTTGTTTACTTATAATGTATTTTTAAATAAATAAATATATATCACTATTCATATTTTTTTAAAAAATAAAATAAATCAGAGTGGTTTCATTCTGTGAACCGCACTGAGATCTTCAGACAAAGAGCGATATACAAATTTCAATAACAACAACAATCGATATTGGTGTTATATTTATTAATACTCTGGTTGTTTTTTTACTCAAGGTGGCTTACACAAATTAAAACGACGCAGACACAATGCAGAAGGCTAAAAGCACATTAAAAATAATGGTTAATTGCACTATCATAGAACTTAAAAGTATTTTAAAAGTATAAACGGTACACAAAGCCAGACAACAAAAGTTAAAAACAGAAATCGGGTAACTATTGTGGAGATATGTCTTCTTAAATGCCTACATAAGCCTGGCAAAATAAAAAAAGTTTGCAGCAGGCATTTAAAAGTTGAAACCGGAGGCGCCTGCTGAATTTCCAGTGGCAGTGAGTTCCATTGGAGTGGCCTGCTGACACTAAAGGCTCGGTTTCTCCTTGTTATCAAAGGAGCCTCACCAACTCGACCAGATACTGCAGATTATCTGAGTGACTGAGCTGGGATAAAAGAGTTCATATATACTGACATATATACTGGACCTAAGTTGATCATGACTTTGCAAATTAATGCAAGGACCGTGAACCTGAGAGGAGAGAGAGAGAGACGAGGTTACCTGGAAGCAGGCGAACTTGCAGCCCATGTTCTGCTCCGACAAGTGGGCTCTGGCTTGCCGAAAGAGGACCGCGTTTGCCCACAGAGCAAATAAGGTCGACACTCCCAGGGAGGTGTTGATCCACAGAGCCACGCTTGTGGCTGATATCTAGAAGGCAAGAAGGCGAGAACGTAAGAGGAGCCGGCTGCATCAGGCCAGGGCCCATCTCCTCCAGCACCCGGTTTTCAAAGTGGCCAACCAGGTGCTTGTTGGAAATCCTCAAGCAGGATTCGAACCCAGGGGCAACACTCTCCCCTCCTGTGGTTTCCAGGAAGTGGCATTCAGAAGCATCGCTGCCTCCAGCTGTGGAGACAGAGCAGAGCTGTCCTGGTTAGTAGCCACTGATCGCTTTATCCTCCATGAATTGATCTTTTCCTCTTCTGAAGCCATCCAAATTGTTGGATATCACGGCCTCATGTGGCAGGGAGTTCCATAGTTTAATTACATGCTGCCTGAAGAAGTCCTTCCTTTAATCTGTCCTTGTAGCATTCCCAAAGCAAGGAAGGATTGGACTCTGATTAATAAAATACACACGAGGCTTGACCAGGAAGACTCAGGGAGGAGTGGCAATAATAATTTCCTCTCCACTCCTATAAGCAGGTTAAAACATGATCAGGATATTAACCACACTTGTAAATTAATGGAAAGTATGGATAATTCGGAAGGATAAAATCTGGATAGTGTTGCTATGCAGTTGTAAATATTATCACTAGGACCCATGGAAGGGAGGGTGGAGGGAAGTCAGGAGATTCAGAGTAATCTCAAAATTTGGATCTTGAATTGTTTTGTTGTTGCTGTTGCTGCATGTTTATATATTTTTTAATCAAATGGAAAAATGATATAAAATAAATAAATAAAAGGAGGATAATAGATCCAAAGAAATGGCAGTAGAATCATAAAGGTGGAAGGGACCCGAGGGTCATCGATAGTCAACCCTCCCTGCAATGCAGGAATCTTGCGCATCCACGAAAGATGGTCATTTAACTGTCATGGCTGAGTGGAGCCTCCATGTGCAGGGAGAGTAATTATTATTATTATTATTATTATTATTATTATTATTATTATTATATTTATACCCTGCCCTCCACAGCCAAGACCGGGCTCAGGGCGGCTAACACCCGATATAAAACAGTTGATTGAAATACAACTTAAAAAACAAGATTAAACAAGATTAAAATACAACATTAAAACATTAAAACATTAAAATGCAGCCTCCTTTCAGTGGAAACTCAAATCAAAAACTTTCTGGGGGGATAAAAACGTCAAGTCTTCACCAAGGCCAACTATCCAGACTGGTCCTACGTGGGCCAGAAAAAGCCAGGGAAGTCCCCAAATAGGAGTTCCATCACAGAGGGAAAAAGTAAAAAGTGGGAGGGGATCAAGTTGATTCCAAGCCAAAGGTCAGGCGGAACAACTCTGTCTTACAGGCCCTGCGAAAAGAAATCAGATCCTGCAGGGCCCTGGTCTCATGAGACAGAGTGTTCCACCAGGCCGGAGCCACCACTGAGAAGGCCCTGGCCCTGGTTGAGGCTAATATGGAGCTTAAGGTCCTCCGCGGGGCATACCGGGAGAGGCAGTCCCATAGATACGAGGGTAATAATAATAATAATAATAATAATAATAATAATAATTTATTATGTATATCCCGCCCATCTGGCTGAACCTCCCCATGTGACGTCTGCTGAGCAGCAACAGTGGAAGGGGCTGTTTTGCCTTCCTCTTGGGCTTCCCAGAGTCGTCTAGCCAGCCAGCTGGGAAGCAGGATGGTGCAGTCAGTGGAAATTTGTGGCCTGATCCAGGCGGAACAGCAGCTGGGTGAACAGGGGGAGATCCGCTGCTGGGTGTGAGCGTGTGCCTGGCTGTGTCTTAGGAGAAGTTTCATAGGCGCACGAGGGAGAAGGGGCGGGTGTATCAACCCGGGTTGGGCTGGAGGACCTCCCGAGGCCCCTTTCCGACTTCATCTAAATTTTGGAGGGCAAAGCGGCTGCAGGTGCTGGGACTTACCTCAGAGGTGTCGTACAGGCCCTCCGTGGTCAGAACGAGCCCCAGGAAGGTGCAGGCTCCCTTGAGGAAGGCGTACTGGAAACTCCCCAACATAATCAGCTTCAGTTTTCGCCTGCGGTTAAGAGAGAGGAGGAAGGAGGAGGAGACAGGTGTTTCTGCCCAGGAAAGGCCCACGTCCCGGTCAAAGCTCAAGCAACCTTTCGCTGTGTTGGAAGAGGCAAGGGGGATTCCTCCCTCTCCCAAAACCATCCACCCCGAAACACCACTGGGGAGAGGGCTGTGCGGTCAGTGGGTAGAGCATATTTTGTGCTTTTTATATTGTGATTGTATGTTGTGGCAGGAGGACCAACAGCAGGTGGTGCCAGAGCCCAAGGGCACCCAGACAGGTTGCAAAGAAGGAGGCAGGCAGGGGTGGGGATTGTGGCTGCTGGATCAAGCCAAAAACCCCCATAAGTGGGATCTGGGAGCCTTCCACTCACTTGGTCATAGTGATGCGAGGGCAGCAGGGGCAGCAGCAGCAGCAGGGCCCCGTGCTGATCACAATCGGGGTGTCCTTCAAGGCCTTGAGCACAGCCTCCGTGCCCCCAAAACCTTCCACCATAATCAGCATCAGCAGGTAGAAGCAGACGGCAAAGTACCTGGAAGAGGAACAGCGAAAGCCATGTTAATAATTGCATTTATTGCTCTGTTTATATTATTAGTCGCTTAAGAACAGAAAACAATTTTTTTTCAAGGCAAAAGGTAAAGTAAAGGTAAAGGGACCCCTGACCATTAGGTCCAGTCGTGGCCGACTCTGAGGTTGCAGCGCTCATCTCACTTTATTGGCTGAGGGAGTCAGCGTACAGCTTCCGGGTCATGTGGCCAGAATGACTAAGCCGCTTCTGGCGAACCAGAGCAGGAAACGCCATTTACCATCCCGCTGGAGTGGTACCTATTTATCTACTTGCACTTTGACAAGCTTTCAAACTGCTAGGTTGGCAGGAGCAGGGACCAAGCACCTTGAGCTCACCCCGTCATGGGGATTCAAACCGCCGACCTTCTGAGCAGCAAGTCCTAGGCTCTGTGGTTTAATCCACAGAGCCACCCATGTCCCTAAAGGCAAAAGGTGGGGAACGGAAAAAGTTTGCGGGGTCAGTCTGGATGATACCCAGGGGTCCCCTTCCAAACCTGGGATTCTGTATTGGTGAGGTTAGAATGTACAAGGGGAAGCTTGCCAAACTAGTTCCTTTGTCAAGGTAACGGTTTTGGCAGCTAGTTAAATGCCACAAGCTGGCACAGCCAAAGAAGAGACCCTGTGCCATAGAAGCGAATGGGTGGGCCTTGAAGGACACCTGCCTCACTTAGCTGCTAGGCAGGAAGGAGAATAATAGCCAGTGATTGAGATGGAGGCCGGCTGGAAGCAGGAGACACAGAGACCTGCATGCTGTGTGCTGGACTTTGGGGCTTCTCCGGAAACCAAACAGAGAAGCAAGATCGGTTGGGGTGTTGATGCTGTGAGCCCCTGCATCGTACATATGTTGTTGTTGTTCTTTAGTCGTTTAGTCGTGTCCGACTCTTCGTGACCCCCTGGACCAGAGCACGCCAGGCCCTCCTGTCTTCCACTGCCTCCCGCAGTTTGGTCAAACTCATGTTGGTAGCTTCGAGAACACTGTCTCACCATCTCGTCCTCTGTCGTCCCCTTCTCCTTGTGCCCTCCATCTTTCCCAACATCAGGGTCTTTTCCAGGGAGTCTTCTCTTCTCATGAGTATTGGTGACTCAGCTTCAGGATCTGTCCTTCCAGTGAGCACTCAGGGCTGATTTCCTTAAGAATGGATAGGATTGATCTTCTTGCAGTCCATGGGACTCTCAAGAGTCTCCTCCAGCACCAGAATTCAAAAGCATCAATTCTTCGGCGATCAGCCTTCTTTATGGTCCAGCTCTCGCTTCCATACATCACTACTGGGAAAACCATAGCTTTAACTATACGGACCTTTGTCAGCAAGGTGATGTCTCTACTTTTTAAGATGCTGTCTAGGTTTGTCATTGCTTTTCTCCCAAGAAGCAGGCGTCCTTTAATTTCGTGGCTGCTGTCACCATCTCCAGTGATCATGGACAAGGGGAAGCTAGCCAAACTAGTTCCTTTGTCAAGGTAACGGTTTTGGCAGCTAGTTAAATGCCACAAGCTGGCATAGCCAAAGAAGATGCCCTGTGCCACAGAAGCGAATGGAGGTATACGTGCCAATAAAGCCATATATCCTTAGGGCAGCACAGTCTTCCTTCATTGCAAGGAAACGGAAACCAAGTAAGTGCTACAAACCCCTAGAGTCTCTCTCCGCTTGGAGATTGGGGCTTTACCAAAACATTGCAATAAAATTCAATCCAAAAACCCATAGAACAGACACAGTAAAACAGCAAAAAACACTTTCGGTGCAAACCGTTTCATCCAGCCAGTCATCGCGATCTGTCCAATGCCTGGGAGAAGATGTAAAGTTTCAGCAAAGGCTGTTAAGGTCAGGGCTATGGTTTTGGCCTGTCACTATCCAGTGGAATTAAAATTTTGTCAAATTAAAATTTGAGTGGAATGGGAGGGTCTCCCCAGGGAGGTACTCACGCGCCAATGGCCATCTCCACCACATTCAGGGAGCGGGGAACCCAAAGCCCGAAACAGCAGAACACCGAGATCACCTGGCAGAGAAAGGGAGGCAAGGCTGAGATTGCAAAAAGAGCAGCAGCCATTGGATCCAGACCCAAGGCATCCAGTGGGGGCAGAATCCTGCTCTCACTGCCACCAAAGGGAAGCCCGGAAGCAGGACCTGAGCGCCACAGCAGCTGCTCCCCACTCATCGAATCATAAAAGTTGGCAGGGACCCCAAGGTCATCTAGTCCAACCCCCCGCAATGCAGCAATCACAGCTGAAGAATCCCCCACAGGTGGTCACCCAACCCCTGCTTAAAAAACCCCCAACCCAGGAGAGTCTGCCATCTTCCTTTTTTAAAAAATAATCTTTATTAATTTAAATTACACACCTATACAAAGGATTTACAATCTCATACTATAAAAAGAAAATTAAATAAAAAAGAATTAAGAAAAAAGAAAGGAAGAAAATAAAAAAGAAAGAAGAAAAAGCAGATTTACGTGCATAAAAAAACTTAATCTTCCTAATTAATACTTAAATAAACACTTAAATAAAAAAGACTTCTGACAAAACGAGTCTTCCAATCATTCTCATTGTACTGTTTATACTGCCGTGTTTTTTGCACAGTTTTATATTCTTTAATAATGTTCCCGTCTACTCCACAAACGGTATTTGGTGTGTTTACAAGTATCACTCAAGTTCTGCTAATACGGTGTGGTTGGTACAATACGATCTTATATAATCCTATATAAGATAGAAGAGTCTGCCATCTTCCAAGGCGCTACTAATTTTGGTCCAGGATCTCCCCAGCCCAGAATCATCCCAGCCTCAGTTACTGCTCTGCATACTAAATGCATTTGCCTGGCTGCCACCAAGGGCAGCCCCAGGGATCGTCATTGCAGTAGTCTAGGGGGGGAGGTACCAGAGACAGGTAACCGAGGGACGGGCACTTACGGTGGGCGCAGAGCTGCTCCAGATGAGGGTTTTCATCTTGACGAAGCAGCGGACCTTTCTAGAGAGATACAGGGCGTCTTCCACGAAGATGATGACTGACAGCAACGTGAGGAACGTCGCCATGCCAGTGATGGCAAGGTCCACGAGGTTCAGCTCTGCAAGGAATAGTGAGCCAATGTTTGTGGGAGCTCTTCAGAAACATCTCTAGGTAGAGCATGAGACTCACGAGTCACGGGTTCGAACATCATGTTGAGCAAAAGAGTCCTATATTGCAGGGGGCTGGACTAGATCAGCCTTTCTCAACCTGTGGGTCCCCAGATGTTGTTGAACTACAACTCCCATCACCCCTAGCTAGCAAGGCCAGTGATGTATGGAAGTGAGAGCTGGACCATCCAGAAGGCTGATCGCTGAAGAATTGATGCTTTTGAGTTATGGTGCTGGAGGAGACTCTTGAGAGTCCCATGGACTGCAAGAAGATCCAACCTCTCCATTCTGAAGGAAATCAGCCCTGAGTGCTCACTGGAAGGACAGATCCTGAAGCTGAGGCTCCAATACTTTGGCCACCTCATGAGAAGAGAAGACTCCCTGGAAAAGACCCTGATGTTGGGAAAGATGGAGGGCGCAAGGAGAAGGGAACGACAGAGGACGAGATGGTCGGGCAGTGTTCTCGAAGCTACCAGCATGAGTTTGACCAAACTGTGGGAGGCAGTGGAAGACAGATGTGCCTGGTGTGCTCTGGTCCAGGGGGTCACGAAGAGCTGGACACGACTAAATGACTAAACAACAACAGCAAGGCCAGAGCTCAGGGAGGATGGAAGTTGTAGTCCAACAACATCTGGGGACCCACAGGTTGAGAACGGATGGACTAGATGACACCCGTGGTCCCTTCCAGTTCTATAGTTTTAACTGGGGGCTGCTGCTCAAACGCATTCCGCTCGCCAACGCCTCCTCCCACTTTGCCCTTCCCCTGCACCGGACCACCCTCTTTCCATTCTACCCACCCTCTCACCCATCTCCACAAGCCCCTCCCTTCTGACCCCCAAGCCCCGCCCATCAGCTCCACCCATCAGCTTGTTAAACCGGCTCTGTGAAGCCCCTCTCTGCTCCGTTAAAATTCTGGGCGAGGGGAGGCACCATGCAAACGGCCCCCCTCCTTCCGATGGAGACGTGTTTTACAGAGGGAAGGGCTTGCTAAAACTCCCCCAAACTCTGTCCCACAAACCATCTGGGCCAGCTGCAAGTTCCCCACATTGCACAAACTGCACAGCATGACGACATCGTACATTTTTATTTATATAGGAGGAAATCAGCCCCCAGATGCACTGGTCCTTGTGGATAGGCATACACCTGCAATGCAGTCCTTCCAGGATATTTAGCTGAGATTCCTGCCTTGCAGGGGGGTTGGACTAGATGACCCCTGGGGTCCCTTCCATCTCTACAATTCTATGGTTGTTATCTCCACCGTAGTAAAATCCCCCCCCCCACCCTGAATTGCTGTCATTTGCCATTTACAGGTTTCTCTCTGCAAATATCCCCCGCCCCTGGTCCATTAGGTAGTAGACCAGGGGTAGGCAATCTAAGGCCTGGGGGCCGGATCCGGCCCAATTGCCTTCTCATTCCAGCCTGCGGACGGTCCGGGAATCAGCATGTTTTTACATGAGTAGAATGTGTCCTTTTATTTAAAATGCATCTCTGGGTTATTTGTGGGGCATAGGAATTTGTTCATTCCCCCCCCCAAAAAAATATAGTCTGGTCCCGCACAAGGTCTGAGAGACAGTGGACCGGCCCCCTGCTGAAAAAGTTTGCTGACCCCTGTAGTAGACCTTTCCTGACACCATAATTCTTTCCAGAGTTGGGTCCTGGGAGGATCAGGACACAACCATGGAGAGGTCTGGGGAGCCCACCTCGCCCTGGCCCTGTGGCCTGATCCTCTGGCGGGAAAGGGGGGCATTGGTGGCGCAACTGGAGGTGGCCTGGGGGTGGCACAGACTGCGGGTTAAGTTCTGATCATGTCCAGTTAAGACAGAGGTCAGTGACCTCAGGCCGTGGGCCAAATGCAACCCTGCAAGCTTCTCTGTCTGTCTGTCAACATGCTTCCCAGTCTCCACCCCCTCCCAGGCCAGATCAAAGAGGTGTGAGCATCTCTAGGAGCCTCTGACCTTAGGGAAGTGTGAGTGACACCTGTTGCTCTTGTTTGTCTCTGGCTCCACCCACTTCTATCATGCGGTCCCCAGAAAATCGTCCAAGGGTCCAAGTGGCAAAAGGGCCCCCTCTGACCATCTGAGCTTCTAGGGATGCTCTCTGCCTTTGCGGGTAAAGAAGTTGACTCTTTGACAGACCTGAACCACACCATTGCTCCATCTACCTCAATATTGTCTGCACTGGCTGGCAGTGTCTTTCCCGGGTGTCAGCCAAGGGAGTCTTTTCCAGCCTATCTGGAGATGACAAAAATTGAAACTGGGAGATGCTTCTCCACTAAGCTACAACCTTACCCTTAAAAACAGAACAAGATTCCAGTCCTCATTGTTCTGAGCTCCCTAATACCAAGTCAGACCATTGGGTCCAACTAGCCCAGTACTGTCTACACTGACTGCCAGCAGCTCTCCAATATTTCAGCCCTGGGACCTTCTGCATGCAACTCAAGTGGTCTGCCACTCGCCTCCTCTGCAACCCTGCAATTTCAGGTCCTCTGGCGCCACAAGGAGGCAGGTGACTTTCCTCCGCAGGATTCTGCAAGACACTTTGCCGCAAAGCAAAGGGAGCCAATGTTTCCTTCTCTCTTTTGTAGTTTCAAACCCCTCCAGCTTTGCCAACTTACGCTGCAGCAGCTGCAGGGCGGTCGGTGGGTGGGAGAAGCAGGCGACCGGGATACTGAAATTGTGGATCAGGAGGTGGATCAGTTCAGGGGCAAACCTGTGATGGAGATGAAAGAACCCCCCTCTTGCCGTGAGATAATAATAATAATAATTTATTATTTATACCCCGCCCATCTGGCTGAGTTTCCCCAGCCACTCTGGGCGGCTCCCAATCAAGTATTAAAAACAATACAGCGTTAAATATTAAAACTTCCCTGAACAGGGCTGCCTTCAGATGTCTTTTAAAGATAGGATAGCTACTTATTTCCTTCACATGTGAAGGGAGGGCGTTCCACAGGGCGGGTGCCACTACCGAGAAGGCCCTCTGCCTGGTTCCCTGTAACCTCACTTCTCGCAATGAGGGAACCGCATTAAGGGACTTTGAAAACTCTGCTCCTCTCCAACAAGCAGCACTGAGATGCTTTTGCCATGTAACGTTCAGAGGCTGGTTCATTAACAATAATAATTTATTATTTATACCCTGCCCATCTGCCTGGGCTTCCCTAGCCACTCTGGGCAGCTTCCAACAAAATATTAAAATACAGTAATCCATCAAACATTAAAAGCTTCCCACCCACTAGATTGTGTCCAAAAAGCAAAAACAAAAAAGTGATGTTATCATTTTATGCACTCTGTGCATGCACACCATTGCTCTTGCTTTATTATTCAAGTAGCGTGAATGAGTGGAGAAGGAAAATTGCATGCTGGGTGTCATTGGGAAAGCAAATGAAAGCAAAACTGCCGATAACATAACAATGTTCTACAAATCTATGGTGGAATACTGTGTACAGTTCTGGTTGCCTCACCCCAAAAAGGATATTATAGGGTTGGAAAAGGTTCAGAAAAGGGCCACCAAAATAATCAGGGGAATGGAGGGACTCCCCATGCAGCCTTTGGGACTTTTCAGTTTTGAGAAATGTCAGGAACAGGTGACATGATAGAAGTTTATGAGATGATGCCTGGCATACAGAAAGTGGGCAGAGAATTTTTTTTTTCTCCTTCTCTCATAGTACTAGTTCTTGGGGACATCCAAGGACGCTGAATGTTGGAAGATTCAGGACAGATAAAATGAAGTCCTTCAGTCACACTTCTCTGAAGTCTCTCAGCCCCACTCACCTCACAGAGTGTTTGTTGTGGGGGAGGAAGGGAAAGGAGAATGTTAGCCACTTTGAGACTCCTTAAAGGGAGTGAAAGGCGGGATATCAAATCCAAACTCCTCTTCTTCTTCTTCTTCTTCTTCTTCTTCTTCTTCTTCTTCTTCTTCATGATGCAGCACAGAGTTAAACTATGGAACTCACTGCCACAGGAGGCAGGGAGGGCCACCAACTTAGATGGCTTTAAGGGAGGATTAGATGAATTTATGGAGGGGAGGGTTATTGGGGGCTACCAGCCAGGACAGTTCTGCTCTGCCTCTGCATTTGGGACCACTTTAAACAGAGGGACAAAAATTACAGGCACACTCGTTTGCTTTTCATTCTGAGAGCAGTAACCTTCCCTGATTCAATTTTTCATGATTTATCTCGTGCTTCTTTCAGCATCTTGGAGAGATCACAAGGTTTTAGACACAGAGGAAACTATCCTTGAAAATATTTAACTGATGAGCTGACCAACATTTTGTCAGAGACGGATGATTAATGGGCTACAAATTAGGTTGCTGGTTGACAGACCTAGCAGTTACTTCAGATATTGTCCGCGTCCAAGGAACAGGTTCTGGGGCCAAGCCTGTGCGTGCAGACCCCTCTCAAATGAGACCTTCCTTGCCCCCATTCTTGACCATTGCACCTCAAAACTCCAGGCATCATCATGGATGGAATAGCCATACCCTCCAATATTTTTCCGATGAAAATAGGGACATCCTATTTAATAATAATACTCCACCTATCTGACTGGATTGCCCCAGCTTTTCTGGGCAGCTTCCAGCATATATAAAAACATAATAAAACACTGAACATTAAAAAATACTTCCCTATACAGGGCTGCCTGCAAGTGTCTTGTAAAGGTTGTATAGTTCCTTATCTCCTTAGCTTGGGGGGGGGTCGCATAACTCCATACCCTCCAACATTTCTCTGATGAAAACAGAGATGTCCTAAGGAAAAGCGGGACATTCCGGGATCAAATCGGCTTCTGTAAATGCAGGACTGGCACTGGAAAAAAGGGACACGTGGAGGGTCTGGAACCCAAAAGCGGCTCCACATAGAACAAGGTCCCTGGTTGCTTACCGTGGGTCTTCCACGAGGTCCCAAGACTCCATGGTTCCTTCCATATGGGCAGCTTCCTCCGGGGGTCCTGTCAATCCTGGATCAGGCAAGCAGCCGACTCCTTCTGATCCCAAGCCCCAGCATAGCCTCTCCTGCGGCTGTGTTTGCAAAGCGAGGTCAGAGTCCCGCTGCTCAAGGCTGCTTTTTGACTGACTCACATCCCTCTCTTCTCCGGTTCTTCCCTGGCATTTGTACGCCAGCAAGTTCATTGACAGAGAGGCCGCGGCACCAGCAATCATGCCACTCCGGGGTTAATGACCCAGCAAGGGGCAGCGGCAAGCGAAAGGCATGTCCAACGTCACACAGGCAATGTGCCAAGGAAACCTCATTTCCATAGGACATTCTCTCTCTTTCTCTGCCAGCCTTTGATTCCCCGTCCCGTGTCCTTATTAAAAACCAGATGCCGAGTCAAGACTTGGCCGGGACAAGGAATAAAGGGCTTCTTCATGCAGCGCATTGTTAGACTACACTCTTCGTGACCCTCTGGATCAGAGCACGCCAGGCCCTCCCATCTTCCACTGCCTCCCGCAGTTTGGTCAAACTCATGCTGGTAGCTTCTAGAACACTGTCCCACCATCTCGTCCTCTGTCGTCCCCTTCTCCTTGTGCCCTCCATCTTTCCCAACATCAGGGTCTTTTCCAGGGAGTCTTCTCTTCTCATGAGGTGGCCAAAGTATTGGAGGCTCATCTTCAGGATCTGTCCTTCCAGTGAGCACTCAGGGCTCCATTCCTTCAGAATGGAGAGGTTTGATCTTCTTGCAGTGCATGGGACTCTCAAGAGTCTCCTCCAGCACCATAATTCAAAAGCATCCATTCTTCGGCGATCAGCCTTCTTTATGGTCCAGCTCTCACTTCCATACATCACTACTGGGAAAACCATAGCTTTAACTCTACGGACCTTTGTTGGCAAGGGGATGTCTCTGCTTTTTAAGATGCTGTAATAATAAATTTTATTTATACCCTGCCCTCCCCCGCCGAGCCGGCTAACAACAGTAAAAATTACAGTAAAAACTTAAAACTAAAAGACAGAAGTACTGTTTTGGGGGGACAGGGGGTGGGCAGGTGTGGAGGACTCCCTGGTCCTGAATGGGGTGACTGTGCCCCTGAAGGACCAGGTGCGCAGCCTGGGAGTCATTTTGGACTTGCAGCTGTCCATGGAGGCGCAGGTCAATTCTGTGTCCAGGGCAGCTGTCTACCTGCTCCATCTGGTACACAGGATGAGACCCTCCCTGCCCACTGTCTGTCTCACAAGAGTGGTGCACGCTCTGGTTACCTCCCACTTGGACTACTGCAATGTGCTCTATGTGGGGCTACCTTTGCAGGTGACCTGGAAACTACAACAAATCCAGAATGCGGCAGCTAGTCTGGTGACTGGGAGCGGCCGCTGAGACCACATCACACCGGTCTTGAAAGACCTACATTGGCTCCCAGTACGTTTCCAAGCACAATTCAAAGTGCTGGTGCTGACCTTGAAAGACATAAACGGCCTCAGCCCAGTAGACCTGAAGGAGTGTCTCCACCCCCATCATTCTGCCCAGACACTGAGGTTCAGCGCCAAGGGCCTTCTGGCGGTTCCCTCACTGCGAGAAGCCAAGTTACAGGGAACCAGGCAGAGGGCCTTCTCGGTAGTGGCACCCGCCCCGTGGAACGCCCTCCCACCAGATGTCAAAGAGATAAACTTTTAGAAGACATCTGAAGGCAGCCCTGTTTAGGGAAGCTTTTAATGTTTGAGGCATTACTGTATTTTAACATTGTGTTTGAAGCCGCCCAGAGTAGCTGGGGAAACCCAGCCAGATGGGCGGGGTATAAATAATAAATTATTATTATTATTATTATTATTATTATTATTATTATTGCCAAGGTGCTGAATTTGAGGGCTTCCTATTGCACTCTGCCACTGAGCTATGGAAGCTCCTTTGTCAATTGCCATAACTCATTCTGGCTTCGAAGACCGGATCCTCCTCTACTGCCTTCCTTTCCCTTCTCCTCCCCTTCTCCCTGTATGTCTTAGTAATTTGTAAGATTGGTGGCAGAACCGCCCCCGTCCCACTCACCCACCCGGTTTTTATTGACGTGTGCTGCTTCAAGAGCCAATAATTGTATTTTATGGTTTGCATTGAAATTGTTTGATTGCTATAAGGAAATGACTCCAAGGCCACTTGTAACAGAAAGCTATTTGGAAATCCGGGACTCTGCAAGACAAAGTGAGAAGCAGTGATGCCTTTCATGAAGGTCCCGGCATTTTCGTGGCAATTGGAGGCTCCACCTTTATGGGGGACCCGCAAGCAGGATCCGGGCACAAGAGCAAGTGAGTCCCACAGTTGATGAGCTAGCCATTGGGGGCCGAGCGGGCCTGGCAGGTTCAATGGCAAACTGACAAAGCACACCCCCAAAGTCAACCCCTAATGGAAATGCTTTTGGAGAAGCAATGACTGATATGTGTCAGGCTTCCGGGAATCCAGTCCCTCCCACGGTGGCCGGCCAAGAAATAGATAAACAAAGAGAGTTCTTACCAAGTCTTTTATTCAATATTCACAGAGAGAGGTTTTGAAAAGTGCCTCTCTTGCAGTGATGGCATTGCTTCAAGTAAAGCCCCACCCCTTCCGCCTCTCCTATTACACATCTTCCCTACATTGGCTGATCTGTGCCTTCTGCCTCTGAGCTTTCTGTTCTCCTCCTTTCCATGCCCGCCAGGTTCTGGGTGAAGAGGGGTCTGGGATGCGTTCTAAAGACACAGAGTCTGTCAGCTGTCCCTCCCCTGGCGCTTCTTCCTCCTGCTCCTCTCCCAATATTTCCCAGCCTCTGATCTATGACCTTCTGCAAACCACTGTTGTAAATCTATACTGTCTCCCTCTTCTCTAGGAAAAGGGACCTGACCATTAGGTCCAGTCGTGGCTAACTCTGGGGTTGTGGCCTCATCTCGCTTTACTGGCCGAGGGAGCCGGGTCATGTACAGCTTCCGGGTCATGTGGCCAGCATGACTAAGCCGCTTCTGGCGAACCAGAGCAGCGCATGGAAACGCCGTTTACCTTCCCGCCTGAGTGATACCTATTTATCTACTTGCACTTTGACGTGCTTTCGAACTGCTAGGTTGGCAGGAGCAGGGCCTGAGCAACGGAAGCTCACCCCGTCACGGGGATTCGAACCAGTGACCTTCTTATTGCCCATTCCTAGGCTCTGTGGTTTAACCCACAGCGCCACCCGCGTCCCTTTTCCCCTCTTCTCTAGGAACTGCTTTATTTGTGATGAATAAATAATGGTGGTCTTAGGGTGAGTCTTGTACGGAGCACTCCCAAATGAGGGCAGCCTCCGATAAGCCACATGAGAGGCAGGTGTGAGCTCCCAGCATCCTTTGCACCGTGGGCCCATTAATGGACTTCTTCCGCCACCATGGCGACGTTCCACAACAGGGGAGACCCCCCGCTTCCGTCCTCGATCTCCTTTGCCGCATCACAACATCGCCCTGGCAACAGACTAAGGGGGGTTCCATCCAGCTTGGGCCCAGCGACTGCTCCAACAGCTTTCCCTGGCTCTTCCCCTCGAGACATGGGGTTTGCCCAAGATGGATGCCAATCTCTCACTTCCAGCATCTTTGCTTCTTTCCACTTCAGCACCCTGATGGGTCTCAGCTGCCTCTTCTTTACTTTCCCGTAAGTATGAAGGCGGATCCGGGATGTCCGAGTCAAGGAGCAGCAGTTGGCAATTCCGCTCGGCTGGCCATTTTGAATTGAACGATCCCATCTTAGGGTAGGGCAGCAGAGGTAAGAGGCTTGCTGGATCAGACCCAAAGGGTCAGCTGGTCTCACTCGATCCCAACAAATGGTCTACCTAGAGGTGCTACGCAATACCTTTTCTGTACTTGTAATATCTTAGTCCCTGCAATCTGGAGCAGCAGAATACAAGCTTCCTCCATCTTCCATGGGGCAGCCCTTTAGATCAGGGGTCGGCAGAGGTTTTTAGCCACGGGCCGGTCCACTGTCCCTCAGACCTTGTGGCAGGCCAGAGAAGCAGCACCGGGGGTGGGGAGCTGGAAGAAGAGGCGAGGGGGCAAGTAGTCCTCCCCCCCCCCAGTCGCTGTACTTACCTTCACAGGGGCTGCCACCACCACCGCTACTTCTCGTGGGTTGGCAGAGGGAGCTTGTCCGCTCCACTCTCTGGCCCACAGGAGCACCAAGGCGACGGCGGCAGAGGGAAGATGAGCAGCGCGAAAGGGCTGACTCCGGAGGAGAGGGGCTGCGTAAAATGGCGCTCAGCCAGCTCAGCCCAGCCCCCTTCCTCCTCTAGGCAGGGCGGGGAGAAGCCAGGAGGGAGGGAGGGAGGAGGCACCGCCTCAGTGGGGGGTGATGGAATGGCACGGGGGGGGGGGGAATGGCGCAGCCCAAACAAACAAAATCCCCACACTGATCCACGGACAGTCCGCGGGCCAGATCCTGAAGGCAACTGGGCCTGATCTGGCCCGCGGCCCTTAGTTTGCTGACCGACCCCTGCTTTAGATATTTGAAGATGGCTATCCTATCATCTCTCAGTCTCCTCCAGGCTAAACATGCCAAACTCCTTCAACCATTCCTCATAAGGCTTGGCTTCCAAACTTTTGGTCATCTTGCTTGTCCTCCTCTGCATGCATTCCAGCTTGTCAATACAGTGGTACCTCGGGTTAAGAACTTAATTCGTTCTGGAGGTCCATTCTTAACCTGAAACTGTTCTTAGCCTGAGGTACCACTTTAGCTAATGGGGCCTCCCGCTGCCGCCGTGCCGCTGCCATGCAATTTCTGTTCTCATCCTGAAGCAAAGTTCTTAACCTGAGGTACTATTTCTGGGTTAGCGGAGTCTGTAACCTGAAGTGTCTGTAACCTGAAGCGTATGTAACCCAAAGGTACCACTGTAACTAAAAGGCTGTCACATGGAAGATGGAACGAGTTTCCTTTCTCCTGGAGGGTAGAACCCGAACCAATGGTTTCAAGTTACGAGAAAGGAGATTCTGACTTAACATCAGGAGGAACGTTCGGACAGTGAGAGCTGTTTGACAGTGGAACAGTCTCCCTCAGACGGTGGTGGACTCTCCTTCCTTGGAGGTTTCTAAGCAGAGGTTGGATGGCCGTCTGTCATGGATGCTTGAGCTGAGATTCCTGCATTCCAGGAAGTTGGAGGAGATGAGCCGCAGGGTCCCTTCCCATTCTATGATTCTTAAACTGTGGTGGGCACAGGACCTTTTTCTTCCAAGGTTAGCTTCTTCTGTGGGCCGAAGCCAAGGTCTCGCCCCAGCCTCCACCTGCTTCCTCCCACAGGTGCAGCTGGCTGGCCCTCCATGTGTCCTGGGCCTTCCCTGCCATCTCCGGCCTCCTCTTCATCCCAACCATTATCTACTTCCTCCTCACCAGTTTCACAGACACTGGAATCCTCCACAAAGGTAAGTGTGCAGGGGCTGCCTTTCCACCCTGCCACCCTACGACCAAGCTGTAAGATCTGGACTCTCTCCATGCAGATTGAAGGTGTAAACAGGTGAATAAACCATATTTCTTAAGGCTACGACAGTCTCCGCTGTGCCTCAACCCTCCAAAGGAACACAGACCTGGCATGAGTGCCCTAGAACCCCCTGGAATCTTGCAGAGTGAGGGTGGCACCCAACCTTTGTAACACTATTTCTAAAAATGGAGGACTTTGGATCAAAGATTATCAAGTGAATCGGAGAATTATACATCGGTACCTTGGTTCTCAAACTTAATCTGTTCCGGGAGTCCGTTCCAAAACCAAAGCGTTCCAAAACCAAGGTGCGCTTTCCCATAGAAAGCAATGCAAAACGGATTAATCCGTTCCAGGCTTTTAAAAACAACCCCTAAAACAGCAATTTAACATGAATTTTACTATCTAACGAGACCACTGATCCATAAAATGAAAGCAACAAACAATGTACTGCAGTCACACAATCAATCAATCAGTAACTGAACTGGGCTCCATACAGTCACAAAAACAAAACAAAAAGAGCCCAGAAAACAAAAACGCAAAATAAATAGCAGAAACAGACGGACCTCAGCATAACACTCAAAACGGAAGTGTAACACTCAAATCGGCACACGTTCAACTTCTGAAAAAAGTTCGCAAACCGGAACACTTACTTCTGGGTTTGCAGTGTTTGGGTTCCAATTTGTTTGAGTACCAAGGCGTTTGAGAACCAAGGTACCACTGTAACTCTGTTAGGAAAATGGGGGAGTCTCCTAAAAGTTCCCAGAATCCTTTGGGGGAAGCCATGACTGTTTAAAGTGGCATCACAGCGCTTTAAATGTGTCTTTCTTCTTCTTCTTCTTCTTCTTCTTCTTCTTCTTCGGCGATCCCTTGTAGCCGAGTAAGATTGTCTTCCATAAACACGGTTTTAACAATGAGTCCGTAAGTGACTGTGGAGGCCAATTCTGGATCCACACGTCCTTCCACAGTGGGGACATTGGTTTCCAGGCGGGAGTTGATCCCGGTGAGGGTTTGCCAAGCGTGCCTTCCTCTTAGCACGTTTCTCCCTTGCGTCCTGAGTTCGAGTGTCTTCAAAGCCCACGACACCTTTGGTCAAGGCTGTTCTCCAACTGAAGCGCTTGCAGGCCAGTGTTTCCCAGTTGTCAGTGTTTATTCTACATTTTTAAAAATTTGCCTTGAGACAGTCTTTAAACCTCTTTTGTTGACCACCAGCATTACGCTTTCCATTTTAAAGTTCGGAATAGAGTAGTCTTTAAATGTGTGATGTCCACATGGCCTGACTCTGAAGCCGCCTTCTCCCTTCTCTGCTTCCTTCCACGGCCAGGCATTGAAGAAGAGCTGGCGAACCAGGCCTTCACCATGAAAGACCTCAACCAGCACTGGTGCAACAAATGCCAGCTCTACTGCCTGCAGCACACTTTCCACTGCTCCTGGTGCAACACCTGTGTGGAGGTAAAGAACGACAGCGGCCCCTAGGGGCAGAGGAGAGGAGGAGGAGGAGGAGCTCGACTTGGTTCGCATTTAAAGTAAAACCTGTTACCTAGTTTGCACTTTCTGGAGCACGGTGCAAACTGAAATGCAGCCACGCTTCAAAATTTGGCACGTCTCAGAATTTTGCGGCGCAGTTCTCCGGTCAAGCTCTGTGTGCAACAATGCATATACTGCTGCAAGGTATATGCAAAAAGGCAATATATTGGGGGATATTACTTGCGAAAATATGTATGTTAGTGAAAAATGCATACAGGAAAAGTGTTTTGCACCTGGGGTGCAAAATGCGGCTGAGCTGGACAGAAGGTTCCTTGGAAGTTCAAAGGTCAGGGCCCTGGGGTGCTCCCCGAAGCGCCGTGTCCTAACTCTCTGGCCCCACCTGCAGGAATTCTTTCCTTTCCTTTCCTTTTATTCATTTTTCTTTTTCATTCATTACACACATCTCATATTCATAACATTTGCTATGCATTCCTTCCTCCCTCCCCTCCTAGGCTTCCCCCAACTTCAACTTCTGCTTCCGATTTGTTTCTCCTTTCACCCACTTTGCTGCCTCCTAAAAGAAAAAAAATACAAATAACGTATTTATACAATAACATCAAACCTAAAAACATAAAAATAACAGTGAATACACCATATTATTTCTCTATCTACACATTTTCTAATACTAATAATGTGGATGTTCATTTAAATCCTACCATCAAGTCTATAGACTTTCTTTGTTTCTGCAAGTTTAATATAAATGGTTCCCATTCTTTTTCAAAGTCTCTGTTGTCTTTTTCTCTTAATCTGTCTGTCATTTTTGCCAGTTCTGCATAGTTCATCAACTTCTCTTGTCGTTGTTCTTTAGTTGGTATTTCTCCAGTCTTCCAATTTTGTGCAATCAACATTCTTGCTGCTGTAGTGGCATACACGAATAAAGTCCTTGTTATGTACTGAAGTTCTCACCCTGGGCCAACAGGGGGATACAGTGGTGCCCCGCAAGACGAATGCCTTGCAAGACGAAAAACTCGCTAGACGAAAGAGTTTTCCGTTTTTTGAGTCGTTCCGCAAGACGAATTTTCCTACAGGCTTGCTTCGCAAGACGAAACGTCTTGCGAGTTTGTTTCCTTTTTCTTAAAGCCGCTAAGCCGTTAATAGCCGCTAAGCCGCTAATAGCCGTGCTTCGCAAGACGAAAAAACCGCAAGACGAAGAGACTCGCGGAACGGATTAATTTCGTCTTGCGAGGCACCACTGTACTGTAGATAGTTTTCATTCAGGTCCACATATGCAAATAAGGGGTTGAAAGTGACATTCTGTGATTGGATAGTTACAGAAAGTAGTTACAGTTGCGTTGTACTGGAGCTCTATATAAGCAGGCTGGCTGAACCCTGCAGTTCAGTTCTGTTCTGGCCTGTGAATAAACAAGAGCTGTTTGAAGAATCGCTGTGTCGTCTGATATGTTCACCCACAACTCAACAGTCCTCTTTTCTTTCGGTATATCTTGGCTTAAAATACCTAATAAAAAGGCTTCTGGTTTTGTTTTTTTTACAAAAGTTATTTTCAACATTTTCTTCAATTCATTATACTGTATATCACCTGCAGGAATTCGACCACCACTGCATGTGGGTCAACAACTGCATTGGCTACCACAACCTCCGCTTCTTCATCTTCTTTGTGACCTTCCTGAGCGGCTACGACCTGGCGGTGCTGGCATCCTGCCTGGTGTACCTGGCATTCAACTCCCAGCAGGCTTTCAGCGTGGAGAAGATCTGCACGTATCCTTCAGAGAGAAGTTCCCCTCCCTCTCCTGTAACGCTGGGATTCACGTTCAACACTCACGGCTTTTCCCAGAGAATCCTGGAACCTGCTGAGGGTGCTGAGAGCTGTTAGGAGACCCAGATTCCCCTCCCAGAATTCTCTGCTGCTTCTTTCTTTCTTCTTTGATGGTCACTTGTAGCCGAGTAAGATTGTCTTCCATAAACACGGTTTTAACAGTGAGTCCATAAGTGACTGTGGAGGCCAGTTCTGGATCCAAACATCCTTCCCCAGTGGGGAGATAGGTTTCCGGATGGGAGTTGATCACAGTGTGGATTTGCCAAGTGTGCCTTCCGCTTAGCACATTTCTCACTTGCGTCCTACAAAGAGGGATTGATTACTAAACCACTCCAAGAATTGTAGCTTAGAATTCTCAACCCCCTTAACAAATGGCAGCTCCCAGTATCTTTTAGGGGAAGCCATGGCAGTTTTAGTGCTTAAATGCATGGTGAAAATGTGGCTTTATTTTATATTATTATTCTTGTTGTTGTTGCTGTTGTTGTTATACCACCCTATACCCAGGGGTTAAATCAAGATATAAAGCCACAAAATACATAAGAAAAATAGTAAAAACAACCCAATAACACACACACACACACACACACACACACACACACACGTTTTTTAAAGGGCATAGGATGTAAATCAGATCAACTAAAGGCCTGGTTAAAAGGGAATGTTTTTGCTTGGCACCTAAAGGTGTATAATGAAGGTGCCTAGAGAACTTCCCTGGGGAGAGCATTCCACAAATGGGGAGCCACTGCAGACAAGGCCCCATTCTCATGTTGCCACTGTCTGGACCTCTCGAGGAGGAAGCACACGAAGAAGAAGAATAGTTTTATTATATGTCACCCATATGACTGGGTTTCCCCAGCCACTCTGAATGGCTTCCAACAAAGTATTAAAACACTATAAAACATCAAACATTAAAAACTTCCTGATACAAGGCTGCCTTCAGATCTCTTCTAAAAGTTGTGTAGCTCTTTATCTCCTTGACATCTGATGGGAGGGCGTTCCACAGGGTGGGCGCCACCACCGAGAAGGCCCTCTGCCTGGTTCCCTGTAGCTTCACTTCTCACAGGGAGGGAACCACCAGAAGGCCCTCAGAGCTGGACCTCAGTGTCTGGGCTGAATGATGGGGGTGGAGATGCTCCGTCAGGTCTACAGGGCCGAGGCCGTTTAGGGCTTTCAAGGTCAGCACCAACACTTGGAATTGTGCTTGGAAACTTAAGTGCGTCCTCCAAGCTGTGACGACTAGCTCAGTCAAATATTGCTGAAAGATTACGCATCTATCACGGAGCCACCTCACCGTGACCTCCCACCAGCCAACCATCCCAGGCTGTCAGCAACACAGAGGAGCACTCAGCCAGCAGCTGCAATTCATGGAGGCTCCTTGGAATGCAAGGCTTTCCCAAAAACCTGCCTTTGCATAGCACACACCTAGCAGATGAAGACCAGGCTACAGTGACTATGCATGGAGAAGCCTGGTCTTCATCTGCTCTGGTTATCTCCTGCTTGGACTACTGCAATGCGCTTCACCTGGGGCTACCTTTGAAGGTGACCCGGAAACTACAACTCATCCAGAATATGGTTGCCAGACTGGTGACTGGGGGCGGCCGCCGAGACCACATAACACTGGCCTTGAAAGACCTACATTGGCTCCCAGTATGTTTCCGAGCAAAATTCAAAATGTTGGTATATAAAGCTACAAATGGCCTCGGCCCAGTAGACCTGAAGGAGCATCTCCACCCCCATCGTTCGGCCCGGACGCTGAGGTCCAGCTCTGAGGGCCTTCTGGCGGTTCCCGCCCTGCGAGAAGTTACAGGGAACCAGGCAGAGGGCCTTCTCGGTAGTGACACCCGCCCCGTGGAACGCCCTCCCACCAGATGTCAAAGAGATAAACAACTACTTGACATTTAGAAGACATCTGAAGGCAGCCTTGTATCAGGAAGTTTTTAATGTGTGATATTTTAATGTATTTTTAATCTTTGTTGGAAGCTGCCCAGAGTGGCTGGGGAAACCCAGCCAGATGGGTGGGTACAAATAATAAATTATTATTATTATTATTATTATTATTATTATTATTATTCCGTCTTCCTTGACTCCGGTGCTCCCAGAGTGCTGGTGACCATCCCCACCGCGTTCTACTTGGTGCCTCTGCTCCTCCTGGTTTGCACCCAGATCAGATACATCTTAACTGCTCATCACAGCTGCAAATTCCAGGTACCGCGTGCAGATGCAGGGGCAAACATGGCTGAGGAGAGAAACTGCTCCCTGTGAGTGGAGCCGCCTGGTCTGAGTTCCTGGGGATGTAGAGCACCAAAGGATGGTGGCCAGAGCTGTGTGTGCTGCTGTGCACCATCGCATGCGGACAAACTTTGAGAGCTCCCCAAGCCCTTGACCCCGAGCCCAGCAGAGACTGCCTGTTGCTGCTGCTTCCCTTTCCATCTCTGACCTCCCTCATCTCTCTCCACAGGCTCTGTCCTTCAAGCAACCTTTGGCCTTGAACAGGCAGGACTCAGGGTGGTGCAAGAGGCACAGAACCAAGTGCGTGACTCGGGGCTCAGGGCTTAGCCATCCTTCTTCGGGGGTGACCTCCGGGTGTGGAGGGTTAGGGGCTGCCATCCAGATAGGGGAAATCTTTAGCTGGCAGGTGACGGAATCACATTCCTTGCTTGCTTTTATTACAGTGGTACCCAGGGCCGTCTTAAGCATACCCAGTGCTGTGGTGCAAAGCTCCCTCCTGCCCTCCCCCCGTTTCCCTTGGTTTTTAGGGAGGGAGGAAGTCCAACACCATCTCCTTTGTCTTGCTGATATTAAGATGAAAGTTGTTCCCTAGGCACCATGTAGATATTTTTGGACCTCCCCTCTATACGCTCATGAGGAGTGGGCAGTGTTAAGTTGTGGGTGAACATATCAGATGACACAGCGATTCTTCAAACAGCTCTTTTTTATTCACAGGCCAGGACAGAACTGAACTGAAGCGTTCAGCCAGCCTGCTTATATAGAGCACCAGTGCAATGTAACTGTAACAATTTTCTAAAACTATCCAATCACTGAACGTCACTTTCGATCCCTTATTTGCATAACTATCTACAGTATCCCCCTGCTGGCCCAGGGTGAGAACTTCAGTACATAACAGGCAGGCATGGAGGAGGCGGCACCCGTGTGGCGCACTCTGCAGAGGCTGAATTTCAGAAAAAGCGCTCAGTAAATACCGGGTGCAATCTAACCACCTTCACACAAGCTTTGCGCAAGCAAATAGGGAGGATGCTCAATGAGCCAGTTGCCTGGAGGAGCTCTTAAGTCAGAAGATAGTCCCTCCCACCACAATGACACGCCCACCCCTGTTTCATCTGCACCTCCCTCCTTTCCATGCTCTTCTTGCAGGTACAGAGTGAGGTCCTCCGGAGTGATGGCCCTGGGGGCCGCCGAGGCCGCTGAGCTCTGCCACGTCCCCTGGGTCTCCAGCATGGGTTCGGCCATCCCCGGCTCCTGCCCTCACAGCTGCTCCCAAGACCTGTCCCGCCAGCAGAAGGTGCTCAAGGCTTGGCGCCACTTCCTGTCCGCCATGGGGAGCCTTTTGCACCGAGAGGGTCCCAGGCTGGGAGGAGCGTTGGCAGAAAAGGCAGAGAAGCAGGTGAGCAGGGGGTGGAAAGATATGCCTGTGGGATTGCCGTTTGCCTGACGCATGGGCCCGTCCGCACCTCAGTTTGATGTGGAATAGGTACCCATTGCGTGCCCTTTGATTCCCAGGTTCAAGGTGCCCTTAACAACTCGGGACCAGTTCACCTAAGAGATCGCCTTGCCCCATATATTTCAGTGGAACTTTCAGGTGCCACCCAGCACCTGTTTCACATCCGAAAAACTCAAACTTGTAGTGTGGCAGCGCCTAGCCTTTGGAACTCCCTGCCTATTGATATCAGGCAGGTGCCTTCGCTGGGCTCTTTTTGGTGCCTGCTAAAAACATTCTTGTTTAGACAAGCTGGTTCGAATCCCCGCAACAGGGTGAGCTCCTGTTGCTCGGCCCCTGCTCCTGCCAACCTAGCAGTTCAAAATCACGTCAAAGTGCAAGTAGATAAATAGGTACCGCTTCGGCGGGATGGGCAATGACAAACCTAGGCAGCATCTTAAAAAGCAGAGACATCACCTTGCCAACAAAGGTCTGTATAGTTAAAGCTATGGTTTTCCCAGTAGTGATGTATGGAAGTGAGAGCTGGACCATAAAGAAGGCTGATCGCCGAAGAATGGATGCTTTTGAATTCTGGTGCTGGAGGAGACTCTTGAGAGTCCCATGGACTGCAAGAAGACCAAACCTCTTCTTTCTGAAGGAAATCAGCCCTGAGTGCTCACTGGAAGGACAGATCCTGAAGCTGAGACTCCAATACTTTGGTCACCTCATGAGAAGAGAAGACTCCCTGGAAAAGACCCTGATGTTAGGAAAGATTGAGAGCACAAGGGGACGACAGAGGACGAGATGGTTGGGCAGTGTTCTCAAAGCTACCAGCATGAGTTTGACCAAACTGCGGGAGGCAGTGGAAGACAGGAGTGCCTGGCGTGCTCTGGTCCAGGGGGTCACGAAGAGGCGGACACGACTAAACAAAAAAAAAACCCCAACAACAACATGGCGGGTTGGAAAACGGCGTTTCCGTGCGCTGCTCTGGTTCGCCAGAAGCAGCTTAGTCCTGCTGGCCACATGACCCGGAAGCTGTACTCCGGCTCCCTCGGCCAATAAAGCAAGATGAGCGCCACAACCCCAGAGTTGGCCACGACTGGACCTAATGGTCAGGGGTCCCTTTACCTTTACCCAGATGTTTAGGAAGCTGGTGCGACTTTTAATCTGTTTTTAGTCTGTTGTTATTTTGGAAAGTTTAAGATGGTTGTTGTTAATTTTCCTTAGGTGATGGAGCCAGGGTAGAAGGTTCAGGCGATCCCTTGGGGTGCCCTGCTCCTAAGTTGTTCAGAGCTTTGCAAATTAATTCAAGGACCTTGAACCTGGCTTGGTAGAAGACGAGCAACCAGTGCAGCTGTTTTAACACTGGTGCCAAATGTTTTCGGCCAGATGTCGTCGTCCGCAATGTGGCCACTGCCCTGAGATCTACACATGAAGAGCAGTATACTACTACTACTACTACTATTACTAATAATAATAATACAAAACACGCCAGCTGGAGTTTCCAAACCACGCCCAAGGGCAGCCTCACAAATAAGGCATTCCAGTAACCTAGCCACAATTTTACTAATGCATAGGCCACAGGGGTCAGGATGATCAGGATGAACACGTTGCCTGGAGGAGCCTTGGCTATGGCCTTTGAGAGTTGCAGTGTGGGGAGTGGACCTGCCTAACCCCAACCTGGTGCCCTCTGGCTATTTTGAATTGGTACCTCCCTCTCATCAGCCTCTGCTAGCGTAGCCTTTGGGAAAGGTTGCGGTAGACAGGATGGGAGAAGGCCTGAGGTCTTGACAACATGAGGAGAAGCTCCTGCAAACCTTCATTGCAGGGGTTGGACTACACTAGACAGTCCTTTGGGTCACTTCCAACTTTGCAGTTCTATGATTCTATGACCCAAGCGCAGGGCAAGCAAGGTTGCAGCCCCTTTGTTGGGGCTAGGGACAAATCGAGGAGGCCCAGAAGAAAACAAAGATTGCTGTGCATTGCGGTGCCTTCCCATTCAGCGATGCTCCTCCTTCCAGGTTTTTAGCATCAGTCTTTAACATCAGCAGTCAGGAGCTTTTCAGCCCTGTTTTTGAGTTTGTTTAAAATCTAAAACGACTTTTCTCGTATTCCTTTGTAAGTTTTTTTGTTAAACCTTTTTGTAAATGCAATACTAGAGTTTTTACAGCTGAGTCTTCAATTTCTTATTACTACTGCTTGGCTCTCTTAAATAGGGCTATGTCTAAACCTTGTCCTTGAGGTTTTCATACCTTTTTTGTAAACTCAGTGAAGCGTTTCAGGACTGCTCTTGAGTTTGTTTAAAATCATTGAAGGTTTAAAATTTCTTTATTTCCTTCTGAGGAAACGGATGAGTTCAGTGAAACGAGTTTTGTAGCCGGCATCTCGTTAAGTCTTTGTTTAATTCTAGGTTAATTTTTTCCCTTAAACTTTTTCATTTTTGTTATTTAGTTTAACTCTATATCTGATTACTGATCGTTTCAGGGATTTGCACTGCATTTCATTTCTTGGTAAGGGACCCAGGTGGCGCTGTGGGTTAAACCACAGAGCCTAGGACTTGCGGATCAGAAGGTCGGTGGTTCAAATCCCCGCGACGGGGTGAGCTCCCGTTGCTCGATCTCTGCTCCTGCCCACCTAGCAGTTCGAAAGCACGTCAAAGTGCAAGTAGATAAATAGGTACCGCTCCGGTGGGAAGGTAAACGGCGTTTCCGTGCGCTGGTTTGCCAGAAGCGGCTTAGTCATGCTGGCCACATGACCCGGAAGCTGCACACCGGCTCCCTCGGCCAGTAAAGCGAGATGAGCACCGCAACCCCAGAGTCGGCCATGACTGGACCTAATGGTCAGGGGTCCCTTTACCTTTACCTTTAATTTCTTGGTTCCGTGACTGTCTTTTTTCCACTGCCTCCTTCCAGGTTGGCAAGAAGAAATCTAGCTGGCAAATGAACAGCCAAGAGAGGATGGTGGAGATCCCAAGTGAGTAGATCTCCTGCTGCGGCTGACAAATCCCAGCCAGCCTCTGCAGTGGTCCACTGAGGGGCAGAGAAGGCTGCTGGGGTAGATGGGTGGATGCTGAACAGGTAAGGCATCAACGTGTGCTTACCTGAGAAGGGCGCTGCGTCATGTGACCACTTTTATAGGTGAGTCTTAGATCAATCTCTCCCTGTATTCCCACAGCAGAGGTCTGCAACAGCTGTTTCTGGCAGCATTTATGTTCCAACAACTGCCAGGTATAACAATTGCGTGAAGGGAAACCTGGGAACGCTTCATCCTCACCCAGAAAAAAACCCAAGGACAAATAACTATTCCAAAATCATATATGCACCAACACTTTGGACTTCCTGTCTATCCCGTTGTATATTCCTTTTTTTACAAATGGATGTACTCTTATAAATAACCTTTTTTGACACCTGGGAATTTCAGTCTGAATTATCCCCAACAGAAAGGACTCTGGTTTTTTGGGACAGTACTTTTAATCATTTTTTTTCAGTTCATTATGGATCATCTCCCAGTACTCTTTTTACCCTTTTACAAGTCCACCACATATGAAAGAAGGTTCCTTCCACCTCTTTGCATCTCCTTCACTTCTCTGATTGGGACTTATAAATCTTAGCAAGTCTACTCAGAGTTAAATACCATCTGTTATTTTCTTTCCCTGCCAGTTCCCGACATGCTGGATTCTGTGGAGCTTCTGGACCCGGATCAAGACCTGCACTGGAAATGCCAGATCCACGGGAGCCGGCGACCTGCTTCCTCTCCCACGGCCACCCTCCTCTCCGTGTCCGATATCTGAAGTGGGGTCTCACAGCCTTCTCCTTTTCTTTCCAGTGAACCTAGTTTTGTGAAGCGAAAACTGGATAAAAGCGTTTGTAAAGTCGCCATCCTGCGTGCGAGTTCATTCTTGTTCGTTCAGGTTGGGGTTGCGGGGGCAGCTAAGATGAGCCCTTGCAGGAGGGTGTTATGTACTGAAGTTCTCACCCTGGGCCACCAGGGGGATACTGTAGATAGTTTTCACTCAGGTCCACATATGCAAATAGGGGATTGAAAGTGACGTTCAGTGATTGGCTAGTTACAGAAAGTTGCTACTGTAGCGTTGTAGTGGAGCTCTATATAAGCAGGATGGCTGAAGCCTTCAGTTCAGTTCTGTTCTGGCCTGTGAATAAACAAGAGATGTTTGAAGAATCGCTGTGTCGTCTGATATGTTCACCCACAACTTAACAGAGACCAGTAGAAAAAAGACAGTCACGGAACCGAGAAATTGCACAAAACAAATGAAATACCGTGAAAATCCCTGAAATGAGAAGTAATCGACTAGAAATATTATCTTATGGAAATAAATCAGAAAGTTTAAGAAAAATTTTTTGAAAAACCTAAAATTGAATAAAGCCTTAATGGAATGTCGGCTACAAACCTTGTTTCACCGAACTATTCAGTTTCTTCAGAAGGAAATAGAAAAATCATGAACCTTAAATGACCAAAATTCAAAAAAAGCGGGTAGAACTCCCAAAAATTCTGAAGTATTATAATCCTGGCTTGACCGAGGTGAAGCAAAGCGCAGTAATAAAGGATTGAGGACTTAAAGGTACAGTTTCTAATATGGAATTTACAAAAAAAGGGTTTGAAAACCTCAATGGCAAGTTTTAGACAAAGCCCAACTTAAAGAAAGCAAAGCACAGTAATAAAGAGTTGAGGACTCAGCTGTGAAAATTCTAGTGTTGCCTTTACAAAAAAGATTTAAAAAAACCTAAATGGCACAAATTCAAAGAAAGGAATACAAGATAAGCTGTTTTAGATTTTAAACAAACTCGAACAGAGCTGAAACGCTCCCATGGTCTAGATGTTACTGCTGATGTTAAAGACTGATCTTCTCCTTTTCATTCCAGTGAACCTAGTTTTCTGAAGCAAAAACTGGATAAAAGCGTTTGTAAAGTTGCCATGAATTCTCTCCCCCGCCCCCCGGTGGCTCCCAACAAAATATTAAAAACACAATAAAGCATCAAGCATTAAAAACTTCCCTGTACAGGCTGCCTTCAGATGTCTTCTAAAAGTCAGATAGTTGTTTATTTCCTTGACATCTGATGCGAGGGTGTTCCACAGGGTGGGTGCCACCACTGAGAAGGCCCTCTGCCTGCTTCCCTGTAACTTCGCTTCTGGTCTGACTCTGTATGGCTTCCCCTGCACAGCGAACAACCTCATACTTGTTTGCCGCTCCAGGTAGATGAAACGGGAGCCGAGGGCACCATCAGGCCAGGGGAGCAAGTCATTTTCCTGTGCTTACAGGTAAGACTTACCTGGCCTTCTTCCCAGAGCACTTTTATTGTCATTTCTAGGTGTGCCTCTAGGTGGCAGCAATACTCCTCCCTTTTCTGGGTCCACACTCTGCGTCTAACTAGGCACAGTTGCTAAATCATTGATAAGAATCCCTTCACACCCAGGTTTGTTGGTTTGTTTTTGTACATTCAGTGTTGTGAGTTCAATGCTATGGAACTCTGCAGCCAGGCTACATTTCAGGCGCCGGGTTAAAAGGGTTCAGGAGGTCTTTGTACCATGAATTGTGGCTCTCATGTTTCTATTTCTGATGCCTCCATCTCTGTTTCAGATTTGATGTATATTGGATGTTTGGAAGGTATCAAATCCTGAGCCTGTTTAGGTCAGTCACGAGGCTTCTTAACCTGATGTGAGTTAAGAAAGCGAAAAGGGTGCTTTAAGTCAAACTCTGTTTTCTTTTTTTTTCAAATTGCTTTTTACTGAATTTTTCCACAAACAAAATAAAACAATCTTTACAATCATTCTTAATGTCGTCTTATTTACATTGCGTATAATCACGCCTCGACTTCCCTCCTTCCCAGTTGCAGTTTTCTTAATATACATCTTCTCTCACAGTTTCTTCTTCATTTCTATACACGTCACAAGAGTTATATTAACCCTGCTGTAGTTTTTAGACTTCTGTAATTAATTCCTATATATGTTACAAATTTACTCCATTCTTCTACAAACTTTGCCCCTTTTTGGCATTGGATTTTGTACGTCATTTTCGCTAGTTCTGTGTATTCAAAAAGCTTAGCCTGCCATTCCATAACCGTTGGGATCTCCGGCGACTTCCATTTTTGGGCTACAAGGATCCTAGCTGCTATCGTAGCATATTGAAATAATTTATGATCCTCCTTTTTTATTTCCTCCCCTATTATCCCTAGTAGGAAAGCCTCTGGGTTTTTTTGGGAATGTGTATCTAAGAAGTTTCTTAAGTTCATTATATATTAGGTCCCAATTTTTTTTCATCTTTTCACATTCCGACCACATGTGGTAGAGATCCCCATCCTTAAGTAAGTCAAACTCTGTTTTCAAGGTTTGTGTAGCCATGCTCTTGGATCGGGTGCATGCTGGCTTAAAGGTGTAACTTGCTCTGGCTTTCCATGCCTTTAGGACTGCCCCCCTGACCAGCAACATAGCTCAGTCCATAGAGCACGAGACTCTTAATCTCAGGGTTGGGGGTTCAAGTCCCACATCGGGCAAAAGGATTCCTGCATTACAGGGGGTTGGACTGGATGACCCTCATGGTCCCTCCCAGTTCTGCGCTGGGTATTGCAGGAGGGGAGAGTGCTGTTGGTGAGAGCCTCTGGTGAGAGCAGGTTGCGTGGCGAATTCCCGCCCCCCCCCCCCAGTGGAAATAAAGACACATGACACAATTATTAAGGTTAATGGGCTAAATAAGGCCTCAACTTTATTGGTTACAGGTGATCAGCAATATTGGCTTAGGCATTGATCCTAACCAACTTCAGCCTGTCCGCTTGAAGTCTGGGAAGGGTTAACCACCAATAGGGGGAGTCCTGCTGATGCACAGCATCTAGGACCCCAGGGGTCACCTTTAGGGGACGTGCCTTGGGCCCTCACCTCCCCAGGCTTCGGACAGGGCCACGCCCCCTGGAATCCTTTATCGGACTACCCTTCAATATGTGGGGCAGGTGATGGCGATACCTCCCCTCTTCCATCTACAGAGCAATACCAATGCCTAACTGCCAATACCCAGAAAGTTGTGACGATTTGCTACGAGGTAGGCGAAAACCATGCTGGAGGAGACTCTTGAGAGTCCCATGGACTGCAAGAAGATCAAACCTCTCCATTCTGAAGGAAATCAGCCCTGAGTGCTCACTGGAAGGATAGATCGTGAAGCTGAGGCTCCAAGACTTTGGCCACCTCATGAGAAGAGAAGACTCCCTGGAAAAGACCCTGATGCTGGGAAAGATGGAGGGCACAAGGAGAAGGGGACGACAGAGGATGAGATGGTGGGACAGTGTTCTTGAAGCTACCAGCATGAGTTTGACCAAACTGCGGGAGGCAGTGGAAGACAGGAGTGCCTGGCGTGCTCTGGTCCAGGGGGTCAGGAAGAGCCGGACACGACTAAACAACAACAACAAAAGCGAAAACTGAGTGCCTGGTGCCAATTTGCCAAGTGGAAAAATTCCTACCAGGCCCCTCAACAGCGACCAACCAACCAAGATCCATAGGAAAGGTCAAAGAACAAAACCTTATGGGGCGGGAGGGTGGGAAAACCTGAACAGCTGATGAGCCGCAAAGAGGGAGATCCCCTGCCGCTTCCTGCCTTTATAGGGCAGGCCACGCCCCCTGAGCCAGCTGACTGGCTGACCAGGGGGTGACGCAGCCAGGATTCCCCCTAATCGCGTGGGGGCTGGCCTCCACCCACCGCGTGCGTGAAGCCCGCAACCCCACCTCCTCCTTAGGGCGGAAGTGGCTATGCTGGACTAGATGAGCCATTGGCCTGATCCATCTGTCTCTTCTTACGTTCTTTTGCAAGCCCTGACATCAAAACCAAGCTGGGTCTGTGCCCTGGAGACGGATTCTGTTTGTTTCTAAGGCGCCAGGCTAGGATAGATCTGCGGGCAGGGAGCAACACACCCACAAAGTCCCAAACAAATCTGGTTATCTGTCCTCTGTCTGGCGCCATCCTCCAAAAGATATGAACGTAACCCTTGCCAGAGGCTAGTTCGTTAATGGAGCAGGGCCAGGCAGTACAACATGCAGCTCAGGGGTGCATCTTTGAGATTGCAACACCTACATGCTCAGTAGAATAAGAATAGAATTGTAGAGTTGGAAGGGACCCCAGGGGTCATCTAGTCCAACCCCCTGCAATGCAGGGATCTCAGCTAGAACATCCATGACATGGGGCCACCCAACCTCTGCTTCAAAGGGTCCACCACCTCCCGAGAGAGTTCGTTAAACAGCTCTTACTTCCCAGAAGTCCACCCTGATGGAACCTCCTTCCTTTTCACTTGAATCCATTGATTTGGGTCCTACAGGAGAAAACAAGCTTGCTCCCTCTTCCTGTGACAGCTGCTTAGATATTTGAAGGTGACTAGTTCTGCCTTTCTCAACATGTGAAAAAAGGATCAAGGGGCCTTAGTAGACCACAAGCTTTAACAGCAGTCGACAGTGATGCATCAACGAAACTATAGTGTCTCGTTCAAGGGAAGTAATACAGTCCCACTCTATTCTGCCTTGGTCAGACCACACCTGGAATACTTTGTCCAGTTCTTGGTGCCACAGTTTAAGAAGGATATTGACAAGGTGGAAGGTGAGAGATCTAGGTATGTTTCGCCTCAAAGAGTAAAGACTGAGAGGAGATATCAGAGCCGTCTTAAAATATCCAAAGCGCTGTCACACGGAAGATGGAGAAAGCTAGTTTTTTGCTGTTCCAGCTGGTGAGTGTGATGGCCTGGGACTCAGGCTTGGGCTCGGAACCAGAGGAGACTCAGTCTACACCGGATCCTTTGCCTCAGGCATCATCTGAACCAAGTCTGGGGCCTGATCCTGAAGAGTCCCAGTCTACACAGGTTCCCCTGCAACAAACACCAGCTGGGCCGAGTCAGGGGCCTGAGCCTGCCCTGGCTCCAGATGCGGGGATGACCTCGTTGCCTCCAGCTGGGCCATCACTTACAGCTGCTCCACTTGGGTCAGGGGAGGCTGAGGTGGCCCCTGGGTCTAGTAACCCACCGACGTCTCCCGAGCTGCAGAGACTAAGGTCTGAGAGAGGGAGAGACCTGAGTACTCGCAGGAGGAGTGCTCGCCTTCGGGCGAAACAAGGAGGTGAGTTGCTGCAGGTTCAGGACCAGCCGCTACCCCGACAAAGATAAAAGGCTGTTGGACCACGCCCCAGGTTGCGGGAGCAACATTGCTGTATGCTAGATCCTGCCTGAGATCCTATACCTGTCCTTGCCTGGTTTCCTGCCTCGTGTCCTGCCTTGGCCCTGTTGGACTGACTCCTAGTGGAACCTTCAATTCCTGCACCAGTCCTGGACTGCGTTTTTGGGGTTACCCCCGGGCCCAGCCCAGTGGGACCTGAATGGATTCAATTGGCAAGGGAGGAGATTCAAACTAAACATCAGGAAGAACTTTCTGGCGGTAAGAGCTGTTCGACAATGGAATGGACTCCGTTGGAAGGTGGTTTTTAAGCAGATGTTGGATGGTTACCCCTCACGTATGATCTAGTCGAGATTCCTGTATTGAAGGGAAATGGACTGATGATGCTCAGGGTCTTGTCCAACTCTGATTCTATGACCATTTAGAGAGCATCATGTTGGCTACCTCTGCATCAAGCCATCTTCTTCCTGAAAGACGCAGTCATAACGGGTAGGAAGAAGGAGGACTTGCTGCCCTCCACCTCCTGCTGCATTTTCCCCTTTGTTTCCTTGTGCTGAGCTCTGTACATGCTCAGAGAGCAGGTCTTCTCTGTGAGTCCAGCCAGTGCTGCTGCAGCAACAAGCCCTGGCACACTAAAACCAAGCTGGGTCTGTCAGTTGGAAAGTGATTTTGTTTGTTTCCAAGGCACCTGGCAGTGATAGCTCAGTGGGCAGCGAATGACCACTGGATCGCAGACAGATTTGCTAACTGTCCCGCGTCTGGTTCCATCCTTGAACACTGTTTACTCCAGAAGATATGAGTTGAGCCCTTGCCAGAGGGGTTTTACAATCAATCCCTCTTTTCGTGGAATTGTGAGAATCCGTTTATTCTCGCCAATATATATAATTTAATAACGAACCATCAGGTCCCTCACATGGCCCCTAAAAACATGCAGACTCTTGACCCTTTCATTGCAGGGAATATTCATTTGTTCATTTGCTGTTTCTTTTAGCGTACTCTTCAGCTGAAAAAATAAATGCTTCCTAAGCCTTGTGCTACAAAGGTTAATAAGACAGTCCCAACTGTCAGGCTTACAATGTAAAAGACACGACACAAAAGGAAAGGGGCTTGGGAGGGAGGAGGAAAAAAGCAAACTGGTTCTTCTTCCTCGCAAAAGGGCTCCATCCTCTCATCATTCCAGCTGCCCTTTTCTGCACCATTGCAAGGCCTATAGTTTAGTGTCATGGACCGGCTGGAAGCAGAGGAGGGGTGGGAGCCAACATCTGGGGAACCCCCAGGGGAAGATGGCTGGGGAAGAGAGCAGTCAAGAAGCAGAAGCAGAGGCTGGAGAGGAAGGGAGTCCAAAAGGCAGAGATGGGTCATGTTGGTGAAGAAGCCAGGGGGTCTCTCCCTCCTGCTGCAACCAGCTCTCCACCACCCACAGTCACACAGGACCAGGAGAGGTATGAAGAGGGCAGGGCAGAGATAGACAAGTCTACGGAGTCTCAGATTGCTTGGGAAGGACTCGGGGGAATCACAACAGACAATGCTGGGGAGTACCAAAGGTCTAACTCTGCATAAGGCAGCTCTACATTCCAAGGCACAATAAGGAATAATTAGAAATCAGTCCTCTTCTGGTCTTTCTAAACGTTGAGGGGGCAGAGGGGAGAGGAGGCCTGCGGACCAGTAGTCTGTGAGCTGGACTCAGGTGAGCTATGGCTTGTCTGTAAAAATACTGTTCAAAACACGACAGTGTCTGGCACAGCGCAGTTACTACAGGAGGCAGAAAAAACATTAGGTGGTCTGCCAAGGCCACAAGCTTAAGCCTGAGTCAACAGTGTGATGCAGCAGCAACAACAAAAAAAGCTAGTGCAATTCTAGGCTGCATCAGCAGAACTATAGTGTCTAGAGATCAAGGGAAATAATTGTCCAACTCTATTCTGCCTTGAGGACGTGGATGGCGCTGTGGGTTAAACCACAGAGCCTAGGACTTGCCGATCAGAAGGTCGGCGGTTCGAATCCCCACGATGGGGTGAGCTCCCGTTGCTCGGTCCCTGCTCCTGCCCACCTAGCAGTTCAAAAGCCCGTCAAAGTGCAAGTAGATAAATAGGTACCGCTCAGGTGGGAAGGTGAACGGCGTTTCCGTGCGCTGCTCTGGTTCTCCAGAAGCGGCTTAGTCATGCTGGCCACATGACCCGGAAGCTGTACGCCGGCTCCCTCGGCCAATAAAGCGAGATGAGCGCCGCAACCCCAGAGTCAGTCACGACTGGACCTAATGGTCAGGGGCCCCTTTACCTTTACTTTATTCTGCCTTGGTCAGACCACACCTGGAGTCCTGTGTCCAGTTCTGGGCACCACAATTTAGGAAGGATGTTGA